TTTGCAAAGAGGGGGAAGCATGTGGCGTAGGCAGGATAGAGGTGGGGAGTGGTTTGGAGGGTCGAAAACCTAAAATTTTTACGAGCCCCGCACTGCAACAACCCTCCTACGAGGCGCAGGGAGAGGACAGACATGTCGCCAGTGAGGCCGAGTAACTGCGGGATTAACGCCGAAGACTGGCGTTTCTTTGTGTCCCAAAGCTGAAGGAGACTCGACGCATTTGAAGAAAGGGCTTGTCCCTGCTTCCCCCCAACGTAGGAGCTCTCGCCCACTCCAGGAAGTGTACACATGCATCCTCACTCAGGGGAGGCAACAAAATGTTGCACCCGCTCTAAAGCTCACCTGGTGCTCCCGTGGTTTGTCCTGTACTTGAAGAATCGCGTGCTAAAGGGCAACGTATAAAGGTAAACACTTTGCGTTGCCTTTCCTCCCAAAACTCGAAATATGCAGGCCTTCCAAGATTCGAAGGGCATTCGAGAAATCTTAGTAGTAATTCCCCCATGTTTACAAAAAAAAGGAATAAATAAACAAGTAGTTTTGGAAAGTACTATAAGTACATGGTACTTAAAGTACTACTTCAAGTAGGTTTGGAAAACTTGTACTTTACTTGAAGTGCGCTCTCTAAATATGTACATGTACTTTACTAAAATATGGTATTTTCGAGGACAGTTCAGCTCCCGACTTAAAAGCACATTCCCCAAATTTGAAAACAAAGATGACGTATCATCATGTGAGAATGCGCTATCGTCTTTCGAGACGTCATCTGGCCATTTCGCTGAGTAAAGTAATGGCAGCTGTAAGACCGATAGAAATAAGTGCCTTATAAGGTGATGCTGTTGAATAATTTGTCAGCGAAAGCAAAACAACTACTCTGTGGCGACTCTTCATCAAATATTTGCGACCATTTCCTTAAAAAACTGATGCACCTCCGATTACCCCTAATACAATGCATACCAGTTAAAAAAACTGTATAGGAGTTGAAAGGGCACCATGAAATATTGTGTTAAAATGTACCTGTACTTACGTTGAAAGTACATTCTATCTATAGAACTTTCCTTCAAGTACATTGCACCAGGCAGTCATGGGCACGTAACCAGAAAAAATTAACAGTGTTACAGTTACAGTTACCTAGTGAGAAAAAGTAACTCAGTTACCGGCTTCAGAAAGTGATGTGTTACAGTTACCGCAAAAACAGTAACGCCGTTACTTTCTCGTTACAGCTAGTGCTAAATTTGGGCGTAAGAAATCACAAACCAAAACAGTAATATTTTATTTGTTACACTATAGTGAGAAGAAAGGTAAACTGAGAAATTAGAAACATTTGAACATGAAGGGTGTTTCTTTTCTGCGCCCTTCGCCGTTTCAGCATTTTGATGCGCATAACTTATTTGCAACAAATGTTATAACTTAAAATCAACTGCTTTTCAAAATTGTCATCGGCCTGCCATCAGTGGACGTTTTCGTGTATTTTTCACTCCGACACGAATGAGGACGCAGATGGTCGCATAATTACCTTGTGGGATATACTCGAAAGCAGGCATAGCAGGTCAAACAGTTTCTAAGAAATATAAAGTACAAGGAGTGAGGCCTTATTTCCGTGCTCTACGAGTGTACGACGATTACGGCGGCGTCTGTGTCCGAGACGCCAACTGTGGAAGACCAGTCCGCATCCACGCATCAAAAACAGACGTTGCTCTCACTTAAGACACGTGTTTTTCTGGAAATCTCTTCAGCTGGAGCACTGCATAGTTTCCATGACGAAGTGTCCTTCCATTAGGGTGTTTCTTGAGGCTCTCAACGACATGCCTTCGTGTTTATTCGAATGGCTCCGAAGAGAATGAATAAAACCTGAAAACTATTAGGGAAGAGGAAACGGCGACCGGCTGGGTTTAGAAGCAACAACACGGACATATCCGACAAAGGGAGGGAGTGGGCGATGGGGGGGGGGGGGGGGGGGGGGTGGCAGACCCAGCTTAGACGGAATACTCGGAGACCTATCACACGACGACCGACACCCGCGGACGCTCCCAAGAGAAGGTGAGTCAAATTCGGTGAAACAGACATTGCTTGCCGCCCCTACCACCGCGGGCGCCGCTTCCTTTATCTCCCGGTTCTGTGCCGACTGGGTCCGTCGTCCATTCTCGATCGTCGTGGCCACGCTTTTTTTTTTTTTTTTCTCTCAGGGAGGAGTTGTGAGAAAAATACTTCAAGATGGCAATTTCATCATGTCCGCGGCAGTGGATTCTAATTTATATAGTAAAAAAAAAAAAAAAAAAAGTAACTGTAACGGCCTATACAGTTACAGTTACCCAATAAAAAAGTAAGCGTTACAGTTATAAGTTACCAGTATTAAAGAGTAACGCGTTACAGGTAAAAGTAACCGAAAAAGTAACTAGTTACCCATAACGCGTTATTAGTTACAGCCCAAGACTGGCACTAGGTGTACTTACTACTTCACTTAAAGTACATAACTTCTCATTTACTTTGTACTTCAAGTACTTGTTAGATGTACTGCACGCAATCCTGTAAACAAGCAAAAACGATCTGCAAAATCAAGTTAAAGCACTGCTAAACCTCAACGTAGAAATCATACATCCGCACCACATCGTTGACCAAAAAACAAAAAAAAGTGCAAAACAATTAGGCACGCAGAAGTAGAAGCAGCTATTAAAACATATCTGTAAAAACACAAGCTACTTTATATTTGGCTAGCAGAATTTCGCTAACAGATCAAAACCTATATACTTTCTTACTACCATAAAACATATAAAAGTAACTTCAAAAGTAATTCACTACTTTTTAGGGTAGTTAGTAATTTACTAAGTTACTTTCTATTTGAGTGATTTCAACTCTACTCAAATTAATCTTGAGGCCAATACTCAGTGAGTAACTTGTGCATGCTTGCCCTCTACAATGACGGCTTTTTCCGTCATGCACGCGTGGCTGCTCGCGTTAGTTGCGCGCTTTGGCCACGGGTAGCAGGACCGTTGACGCAGGGGGGGTAAAGGTGGGTGAGGAAGAGTGGCTAATCCCGCGCGCCGACATCCTGGGTCCCAAGTGAAAGATCGCGAAAGAGAGCGACAGAACACGAGAGAAAGAAACCAAAGTAGCCAGCTGAAGGACGACAGTCGCAATGGTAATCGCGAAGACTGAAAACACTCAGCAATATAAACAGTGATAATTTAACGTTGCAAACTAAATTCTGAGCTATTCTAAGGTTTATAAAAAGCAACATACTCATTACGCTGCATTAACTTCCCTTCTGTAGAAATCTCGAAAATCTAGTAGTTGCGCGGTTTCGTATTTCCGAGCGCGGCCACCCGCGCCCGGAAATACGAAACTAAATCAGATAACCGAAGCCGGTTATCTGGTTTAGTTTAGTGTTGACGGGAGGCCGTACATCTGCGTGCTAGGCAAAAAGAAAGCTTCGAAAGGAACGCGAATATCTTTTTACCGGCAAGTTCGTGGATTGTTGAAGTTCACGAAACTGCTCTGATGATATATTTGTGAAATCGAAGGCAGTTGGTAACTATGTAAGACCCCGAGGTTCTGCCTGCATGCTCCGTCGCTTGCGGCAGCCAGAATGCATGGGAAAATGGCGGACCTTTTCCTCTAGAGTTAGTATGTATGATCTCTATGCGTTGACGCCAAGATGCGTAGAGAGCCTAGATTTGAGAGAGGGAGCAACTCGTACCATGGACCATAGCCTACGCATGGAGAGCATTTGCAATGAAATGGCGGATGTCTCCTGCGCCGATCGGTAGCAAATGTGTACGCGTTTGCGTCATCGCCTGGCGAGGAGAAAAACGGGCGAAGGGACGGAGACGCTTGTGAAGGACCAACGCTCTCGTCGTCTCACAACTCGTAATGTACGAAAAGTGGGTTTTGAGTTGAAATAGAAGTAGAGGTTTTGGCCGAATATTTTCGAATCTATTATCGAATACTTTTTCCTAAGCCTCGCACTACGGTTGCAACATGCTTAAACGAAAACCCAGCTAAACATGCGAAGGTTGTTCCACCTTCCCGAGCTTCCCTTGTCCATTTATTAGCTAATTTTAACCCAGCTATATTTATTGTCAGTGACCTCAGAATGTCCGATGCCTTGGGATGGCAAGTAATAAACGACGGATTTGACATAAGATTAAACTTATCTATATGCCCATCTATACTTGATTGGATTTAAAAATCTTGATATATGCAAATATTCTGTCTTCAATCTCGAATAAAAAAAATAATAATCACGAATGATAAACGCAGCTTGTCAGGCATCTGCCTAACATACACGCATGCATAACAGCCACAGTTTAGTTTAGAAAATTTTAATGCAAAATCAATTGTAACAATCACAAAAAAAAATTAGATACATTAGGCATTTGCGTGCAATTTTAATAATCAAGAAAAAAAATTTTTTTTTTTTAGATACACTAGGCGTTTGCGTGCAGTGTCCTGCTTTGAAAATGTGATTTTCTCCCAAACACGCAATTGTGATATCCAAACTTTTCCAAGTGATCGCGGCGGGTTAGCCCCGTTGAGTGCGCTTCTTGCCGAGCACCGGTGCACTGCGGAGAAGCGAACTCAACGGGGCTACCCTCCGCAGCATGAATACTGTACCGCGGCTTATCTGCAAGCGAATATCGAATAGTCGTAGTGCATCATTCGAAACTGTACTATTCAAAATTTCGAATATTCGCACGCGCGCGGCACGCCGGCGTGCTAACGCGTTCGATGAATGCAATGGAGAGAGCTGCTAGCTTTAGCTCCACTCACTAATCGTTCCCAACCTTCTCCTCCTCTCCCTCACTCTCTCGACGCACAGGACCTTTTCTTTCTGTGCGATGCGTACTTCTTGTACGAGCGATTTGGCCCGCGTTTCGATAAACACCTTGTATATATCTTCGGGCACACAGATTAGTACTTTTTTCTATGATAAGCTCTAACGTTTTATGCATGATATGCCCACAATACGCGAGGTTGAAAGATGGGAAATGAGACATCGAGTATGCAGTGGAAAATAAAAAATAATAAAAGAGACAGTTCTTTTATTACTTCCTCACTTCTCACGAAGGAAACACACTTCTGACTGCCCGTTGGTTCAGCCGGGAGGCCAGCCCATTTGGCGCCCGCCAATGACGTGAACATGCAGGTGATACACGGACTGGCAGCCATCTTTACCGTTGTTGATCACTGCAGATAGATTGATATCACAACTATGAGCCGATATATTCAACATACTGCGTTTAACCAATATGGATTTGTCAAGACACCGCTTTCACCCCCCCCCCCCCCCCCCTTCCACAAGAAAAAAAAATTGTTTTAAGCGTCTAAATAAAGCATTTATAAGAAAAAGAAAAAAAAATCCGCCCATTCCAAAAAGAAAAAAAATATATATATATATATATATATAGCGCAATCTTTACGTTGCGAGACTGATTTCATCGATTATGCTTCGGAATCGCTCTCAACTCAAAATAAGTCTCCACTCTCGCAAAGTAAAAATTGCTTTTTGTTTTCCTGTAAAAGTTTTTTTTTTTTTTTTTTTTTTTTTAACGCCCATGTCGTACCCAGGCACTTAAAAAAAATATACCTCTGGGAGTTCGGTGGGTCACGGGCGATTCCGAACCGTGCTTATATTTCGGGCTTGATGCCTTCAGACGCAGACAACGTTTCAGAAGCGCACCCAACTCCGAATCATTCCGATAATTTAGTTTATTTTGTGGTAGCTTATTCAAATTTTCTCCACGACGTGGGGTTCTTCTTTGTTATCGGCTAACGCTGAAACTCCATTGGCTGCGCAGCCATCATTAGATTGCCAGGACTCGCCGCACTGCGCATTTCTTAAAATGTCAGTTAACTATAAAAGTTATATACTATTTTTTGTTTTGTTTTTGACTGCAGAAACTCATTGACTTTTGAGACATACATCAATCACTTCCAATTCTTTCTGCCGTCTGATTTCGAAACGTAGCAGAAAGAGTGCTCCGTCCTATCCATAAGCACAGGGAGCGTCCGTAAGAACTACCACATTTGGCAAGCCTCGCAAAATTCAAATTCCAAACATACATACCTGAAATGGGGCACGCAAACATAGTCTTGCGAGAAGCTGTACGTGCATTTTTGTCAAAGCTCAAGTCAGAGCTGGTAAAATATTAAATAAAGCAAAACGGGCGACTGTGCATTTCCTATGTCTTATGCCGGACGTTCCTCGTCTGCACCCTAGTTTGTGAGCTTGCTCCAGGAATTTCCCTAGACCCCCCCCCTGGGGGGGTTGGAGACCCCTCCTAGTTTCCCTGGACACCACCCTTAAATCTAAAAAAGAATTTTTTTTTTTTTTTTTTTTTTCAGATTAAAGGGCAACTCTGCTTCTTTTCCAGTAGTGCAAAACTATACAGTTCTCTTTGTCATCATCTACAAAACCCCCATGGCAAATATTACGACTGAATTCCGCCTAGAAGTTCATTAAAATCGCTGTCAAAGTTTGACAAGCACGAATCCGCTGGTTTTGGATGAGACGTGCGGGCCAGACAACACTGCCTGGCTGCATTTCCGCTTCCTCCAAATTCCTTCTCCCGGCACGTCCGTTACGTCATCAAGCATGTACAGCTTCTTTTTTTTTTTCTTTTTTTTTTTTCAATTTCGTTTTCTTTCCCGGGGAGAGCACGGGTGGCGCCAGCGCCGTGAGAGACGTGAGTGACGCGCTCGGCCGACCCGACACTCGACTATTGATACTACTGATAGGCCCATCGCCTCGCTGAGCGCGGCTTGAAAAGGAGGAGAGGGAAGCTGCTTTTGTAAGAATTTTGAGTGACAGGTTAATCTTCTATAATCTTCTGGGAGGAGAATAGCGACGCCTGGTGCTAATCCAGGAGGCACAAAGTGATGCCGAATATACAATGTTGTCCGGCTTTGCCACCGTTTCGGTTTCGGTTTGTGATCATGGCTAGAGTAAAATTACACGAAAAATATTTTATTTTTCCCGAAACAAAGGATTGGGGATTGTTTTTGAGTGCTTCAAAAAGCAAAATCGGCCACTATCTCAAAATTTTTGAAATTAAGCGGAGTTGCCCTTTGTAGAAAACACTAGGGTGCCTACATGTTTCCGCCGCTCCGCTGTTTAGGGTGGCGACAACGTTTGTGATACCTGTTGCCGACAAACCAGCGTTGCCGACCTCGTTACCATGGCAGCCTCCGCTGTTTCGTCGACCATTTTGTCACACTCGCCAGTCGTGCGCTCGCGCTACTCCGGTAATCCTCGTTAGGGCTAGGGAGCGCCCACCGCTCTCGTTCCGACGGCGAGGTTTCGGCGTGGGATGCCGGTCTGTTGCGTTCCATTTTGTCGAGGGGACTCACGTTTCGATAAACGCAACTCATACTTCCTGCTCGCAACTTCAAAGTATGAAACACCCGAATAAAGAGAGCGACAGCCACGACGACCACCATCCCGCTGAGCCTCCGACTCGTCCGACTCCTCTTATGAACGGAAACGGAAGTGGCCTCACAGTGTTGCCGGTGTGTCGAAACTACGAAAACTCAACGTTGTGTACGTTTAGCCAAATAAGAAGTGGGTCAAAATGGCGGTGGGAGAGGATCTGGGAAAGGGTAACAAGAAGTTGGCGCCACCCTAAAGCGGAGCGGAAACATGTAGGCACCCTAGAAAACACCACCTCTCAGGTGTATATACAGAGAAGGGAAACATACATTACGGGTATGAGCATTTGGTTAATAGACGTCTGTAATTTAGCTAGTGGACTAAAAAAGAAACAGTTTTATATTTTATCTAGCCTCTCCTCGGATCGCCCCTCCCCCCTCCCCTCCCCCCACCCCTTTTCCCAATCCATTGGGACACCCCCCCCCCCCCCCCCCCCTCCCCCCCTTGATTAGAATCCTGCGGAAACCCCTGGCTTGCTCCCAGAAGATAATTGTTCATGTTTCGTTAAAAATATTAATTACCGCAATTATCTTGCCCATCGCCAGCCTCGGCTATTAGTTCTTAGCGTTTCTGCGTTCAGCAAGCTACCCGGGAGCGAGCTCGTAAACCAGTGTGCAGACGACAAAGAGGCTGGTATAGGACAGAGGAAATAAACGTCCTCCAATTTGCTTTATTTTCAATATTGGGCTACCTCATAAGTGAGCTAATATATATATACAGGGTGAAACAAGGAGACGCCAGGCTCTTCAAATCGACCGGAAAATTCGGTTTCTTAACCTATCGCGCTACGACTTTGTGCAGCGTTGCCCACAGATGGTGCATTTTTTTTTTTTTTTTTGTAAAATTTGCGAAGTAATATTGTGAACGAAGAGGGGGGAAGGTGATTATTGAATTTATTGCATTAAAGTTACGGAACAGGGGGAAAGGCGAATGTTGCGGGTTCAATCCCCGCTCCTGGCCCAATTTTTCGCCAGCTCTATCTTTTTCTTTCCCTAACTTTAATGCAATAAATTCAATAATCACCTTCCCCCTCTTCGTTCACATTTTTTTTTCTTTTTTTTTCCTGGCTCCGCCTTTTGGCTTTCGGCGGGTTCCTGAAAACTTGGATTCTTTGATTCATTGGATTAAGTACAGTTCATTCATCTGCATATATTCGTTTATATATATATATATATATATATAGAACAGCACCTGAGAATAAAAGACGGCACTCGAGAGAAATATGTTCACAGAAATATATTGCCCTTTAAGGAGTTGGTCGAGGAGGTTGCCAAAAAAGTGATCTTGAAACGTTTCGGGCCTGGTAGGCTCTTCGTCAGTCAAAGTAAGAACACTTCGTTCTCCTTTTCTTTCAATCAAAGGAAAAACGGCCGGAAAAAAGAAGTTAATTCGAAAAATGCTTACCGTTTAGCGGGTATCTACTCAACTGAATTCTCGCTTAAAAGTTTAATATATCCCGATACCAAAGCAGCAAATACATGTCCCAAAAACTGGTTTTATGATAAGAATGGCAGTAATAATATTATATTTAATTATTTCCATAGTATTTGCTGCTTTGGTATCGGGATATATTAAACTTTTAAGCGAGAATTCAGTTGAGTAGATACCCGCTAAACGGTAAGCATTTTTCGAATTAACTTCGAATTAACGAATTAGCAATGTCAGGCTCACATGCCTTAGATCGTTAAGTTTAGTTCCCCATAAAATGTTTGTTCAACCCTAAGCTTTGCCTTATAGGTTGAAACCATGCACATTTTGTTTGTATTGTTAAAAATAATATTCTGCAGTTTCTTTTTTTTTTTTAGATAATCGTTTTATCTTTTTTAGCATACTACTTGTTTTTGGAGTGTTTACTGTGTCCTTTAAAGTCAAGCTTACCTAGTCTATACCCATCTTGAAGTTTTTCTTGGGCAGCCACTTTCTTAGACACTAGCAGTAAGTGGCCTAGGAGCTGCAACATCAATGTTTATTAATTACACTTTCGTAGTGTCTGAAGGTCTTGCACACAAAAACAGCACACCAAGCATATATTGAGCAAGTCAGCACAAAACTAGTCTACATGTAGGAAAGAAACAAGGGTTAGAGATCGTTTGGAACATGTAGAGCATCTACAAGGTGCCAGACAATGCTGAACCTGTTTGTGAAATCTCAATCTTTGTTAGTGCAATGTTTGTGGATGCCCAGAAGGTAGACATACTTTCTCTCAATCTGCAGGGATATCAGAGGTGTAGACCTTTATTTCAATTCATAATTAATATGCCCTGAGCTACTTCGGAGTTTGGCTTTCAGCCTACGGAAGCTTGTTCGTGCTCACATTACGCTTCGTGTGTCAGCCCAACTGTCAAGCGGGCACAATCACTGAATTCATACATAAGCACAAGCTGAGCAAAAAGCAGGAAGGAGCTTGTGGTCTTTATGGTAGACCCCATGACGTGTACACCCAAGTGCCAATCAATATCTATAAAGTCTCTGATAATTCAGCTCAGGTGCAGACACTTAGAGCATTTGTGCAATGAGCAAGACTTCAAGCCCTAGATAAACACAGTTTCTTTTTTCTTCTTCTGGTTGCACCATTCAGTCTGTTGAAGATGGCCAGAGGCATTGCTGAAGATGCTGAAGTACTCCAAGATCTCCAAACTTACTCTCACTCAACGAACATTTCAAGGCATCCCATAAATTGGAACAAAATATTTTAAAAGTGAAGCAGCAATGTCAAAGGAAGCTTTCCTCAAGCTCGCTGATACAAATTTGTACTTCATATTATTGCAAATTAGATTCTCATAGTGCCAACACATGCTTTTTAGACCATGTTGAATAACCTGAGACTGGGGCAGAAGTCTCAGGTTATTCAACATGGTTAACATTCACCAGTTCGCCTGCACCCTTACTATATATTACCGCTTTTTAGACATTCACCAATAATCATTTCCTATCACAAACTGGACCAGAAGTTAGTATGGAGAAAAATCACAAATAGAGAAGTCACCTCAGTGTCCTCAGTGCCCGCATGATCAAGCATGGGAATATGCTTCCTGGGGATAACTAAGAAATGAACCTTGGCCTGAGGGTTCACATCACGAAATGCAAGGCACTGCAAAAGCCAGGAAAAATCATTACGGCACATTTTATCTGTAAAGGCATACAATACTGATAGCAGTGAAACTCCGAGAAGCTGCAAAAACCTGAATTTTCTAGGTAAAAAAAAACAAAAAAACTGGAGTAATAATCTGAAATTATTTTTATGTGGTAGATGTGTAATAAAAAAATGTAAGGCATTCATAGATACTTGAAGGCAATCTTGTGTAGGAATGAGTGAGATTATAACCACCTTGTCATCCTCATAGATGATGTCGGCAGGAATACTTTTGTCGAGTATCTTCGAAAAAATTGTTGGTTTGCCGTCGAAAGCCGGTGCACTTTGTGCCTTCTTTAATTCTTGATCTCCCGTCGAATAACACCTCTATAGACAGAAGAGAAAAAAAATGTCATAGTAGTAAGTTTTAGCAATTTAAAGCAGAACAGTCTGTGATAAACGAAGGCAATTGTGACTATTTTGAAGTCCTCTGCCAACATAACTGCAGATATTATTTTGACGTCCGTGACATCACCTTTAATAGATGCAATAACAGTGTTATTTCGAGATTCACCATCAAAATAATGGAAATCTAATTATTGGCCTCACTTTCAGAAGACGTGAATTTGACTTGAACTATCAAAACAGTAGAGGGCCTGCTGTGTGCTTTCATCTGCCTAACACCAAATCTGTATTTTACGGCCCTTGCCAGAGATAGGAGTACTATATTGACATTTAACTTCGCTGGATTTACCACATTTTATTATGGGTGCAACCATGTTGGAATTGGTTTGGAGCTACTTGGGCCTCTCAATATGTTGTCGGACGACATATGACACGGACTTGAAAAATTTACCAATAGAAGATGACAGGTTAGGGAAGCTGTAGATGCACCGCCACGAGCGCAAATTTTCTGCCTTTCGCAACATGCTGTCGGATGTGCCACCAAAGCCAGGCGGAAAATGAGTGCGTGCTGGAGTGGTCTAATGGGTTCACCTGCAACTGACCATGGTCCTTTCCTAATTAAACAGCTGACTGATGTGCTGTTTGCACCTACACTCGAAAACCGGTGCCATTCATACCCAATGCTTTAAAACCTGCCGTTTCGAAGCTTTCGAAGACTCTCCAGAAATGCATAGAACTCCACAGGAGTGAACCATTCAAAGCAGTCAGTGTTTGAACAGGTTTAATCTTTCAGTCGAGAGCCAGCACGCATGCCTGTTAGCAGTCTTTCATCCAGCAAACAACAGTTTGTTCTAAGAACAAAAAACAACAACAAAAAACTGCTTTGTCTTTTCTGAAAAAAAAACAAAAAAAAACATTTGCACCGAATCTAGCTAGAGGACTCACAGGATGCTGCACAATGCTCACGTGGTGTCAGTCCAGTTCAATCTTGGTAAAGCCTCCCACTATGGGCGGGTTCCAAAACTTGGTAGCTCTAAAACATTTACCGCAAAATCCCGAGATGCCCCATCCCTGAAAGATCGCCCAGCCCTATCTTTGGCTTGATTTGCATAATATTCTTTTCAACATCGAAAGATAGCTCACTCCTGGTAATAGCAGTGTTGGAATCAATAATGGCATTGGCGTAAATGTGGCTAGTTAGCAATGGCTAGATATAAGTGAAATTGCTGACCGGGAAGTAGTCATCTTTACTTCATTGCCCTTTGCCACCTAAACAAGCTTGGTTCTCTATATTTTCACGTGATTTGCTCTTGATTTTCGGTGGGCTATCTCTCGGATATTACGGTAATTGATTTTCACACCTCCGGAAAGTCACGCCTGGGAGGCAAAAATAAAGTTTAGGTAGGTAAAGTCGACGGTCACTGTCATAATGACAAACCGGAATCCGCACGTACTCCGAAAATGACCGGACGGACGTCGAAGTCCACTATCAAGTCCAAGTATACACATGTGCTCTTTTCTATCGTCGCAGATAACGCAAAACGGGGTGGAACGACATACGTAGCTGAGCTGGCATTTTCCAGACGCATTTTCGAGTGCGTCATTACCACAGCTGCGAATGTTTCAAACATGATATCATAAAGAAGAAAAAAAAGTAATAAGAACGTTCTTCTACTGTAGGTGTTATCCCTTATCCTGTTGATATGATACGTGGTTCTCGAGTGACGCTCGCACCCTTCACAGAAGCGCATCTTTCATACGAACAGTGAAACTGAAAACAAGAGATCGTGACTGCGTCGAATTCGGTCTAATCCTGACTCCAATTCAAATTTCCCGTTACGTTACCCCGTTTCCTGCGGAAAGCACAGGAAAGCCGGCCGAAGTCAGGAGAGCCGCGCGCGCCGACGGCTCGCAAAATCCAAAGCAACAAACTCGGAATACCACATACCCTCAGAAACAGAGTTCTCTTCACCTCAAGTGGGCAGTAAGCTTGTTTACAAACTCGCAGAAACGGACTGGAACCAGCGCAGAACATCCGCCGAAGCGAATCAGCTGACGCGAAAACTTTGTGCGCCGCCATCTTGCTTCTGCGTTTTTTATATTTGATTCTGTTTCCTGTCTCGCACGCTCTCGCTTCGTTTCGTTTTCCTGTTTGTGTTTTGGAGCACCCTCCGCGCATGCGCACGCGGCCGTTTAAAAGCCCCGATAAAGATGGCGCCGCGGAGGTGAGGCTGCACTGAAGCGGTGACGAACAATGTCAAGTTGTGCCCCCGAAAGATGACTTCCCTGGGTTCCGTGTTCGCGTCGGAGAAGAGGCTCGTGGATTACTTCGCGATCTGCGGTCTGGACCTCGACTCCGGCTTGGAACCGGACGCACTGTCGGGTAAGAGCTCGCCCGCCGTACCGTACTCTTACGTCGGGAGAAATTGGGAACAGCAGGAAATGAGATCGGTTTCGTTTAGCCCCCCCTCGAACTTTACCGATTCCCTTCGTCGTTCGACGAAAGGAAAGTGTTTGCACCGGTGTTAGCCCTGCAGCACGCTCGCGAGCGCTGTGGCAGACTGCACGATGCTATCGAGCGTACGCGCATTGCGATCCATTGTGCGAGTGCTTTGGTGCACGCACTGTTTCGTTTTAGGATGAATCTTTGAACGATCGCATCTGGCTCGCGTCGGAAGTGTCCAACGAGGTGAGCGCAAACCCGAATATCCCGCTTTTATTTTCTTTTGTTTCTTTCGAGTCGGTTAATAACTTTAGAAAAAAAGAAACAGAAAAACTCTTGCCATTTTTTTTTTTTTCTGTTTTCTTTTCTTTAATTCCGATGGAAAACGCGCAGTGAGACAGTAAACGCAAAAGCTGAAGGTTATACAATAGCGCGTTGACACCCGAGAGCTCGTTGCTTGTCAACCCGACTGATTGCTGTAGCAGTTGCACATGCCCACAATCCCCGAGGAAGTTCAAACGCCTGTCAAAACGTCTGGAATTCCTCGCGTGCTCAAGTGTACAGTGGTCGACCTTCTTTTTTTCTTTTTCCTTTGTTTATTTTTGTTTGCATTGATATGCCCCGCACGTCAAACTCGCATTTACTTTTTTCTCCTTTCGAATAAGTGTACTCATTTTTATTTCTTTACCACTCATAAATGTCTTTCAGAAGGCGGAAAATTTCACGTATTGTATGTTAATTCAATTACAGTGCAACCCAGTTATATCGATACCGCATATAACGATGTATTGCTTATAACGATCAGTTTCTAGACTGGAAATGATCAGTTTCCAGTCCAGATACAGCGATAGTCGGTCATAACAATTGAAAGTTCGAGTTTTCTCATCATATCGTTATAAGTGGGTTGCTCTGTAGTCGTGTGGCACATTGATTACAAGATTTTCTCGCGTGTACTGTTCACGCGCATCGGTTCTAGGTGTGAATTCTTATTCATGAACTTTGCCGTGTCGGCCCGTTTCAGGCGACCACCTGCATTTCACCCCGTTGGACCGATCATACAAAGGCAAGACCTTGGCCCACTTTCCCGAAAATGTGCCATGGAATCCGTTCGACCCAACTGCCATTGGCATGGTGAGTTCTTCGGCTAGGTGCACATTGACTATGTGCAAATTACACAGAAATTATTCACAACATTGATGGGTTAGGCAGTTCAAGCAGAATTCATTCGAGGGAAAAATCTCGGTGATTTCTCTCCGAAGCGTGCAGCATGTGACGAAGCATCCGGTCGCTGTGAGAGGTCCGGTCGCTGTGAGAAACAGTTCTGGTTTGGTGGCGATGCAGTTTGGTTTTGACAATATTTTGTTGCTAAAAGCCTCGGTGCCAAAAGCCGAAGCCTGAAAATTCATCTGCAGTGGTGTCATGAGTGAAAAACACTACATTAAACCGCTAACGCCCACATACCTCCCACGGAAACCTCGTCCGCGCGAACACCAAAGCTGAGGGGGGAGTTCCGCTCGCCGTTCATCACTCGTCTGATTTCTTTTTTATGTAAATACCGCCTTATTTGAAAAGGTGAGTTAACTCTTTTTGGGTGATATGCTTACCGGTCATCAATCACCTGTGATCGGCGGCTTCCACACTCCGCTAAAATTCTGATTGGACACGCAGGAACACATCGTGCCATCTTGTGGATGACCGAAGAACCACAGCTTTGGTTTTTAAATTTTGTCTGCGCTTTCTTCCAAGCTGATGAGCTATCAAATATAAATCTCTGCATGAAGGTGACACTTGTCAAACAAGGCATCTTGCTGAATTCCCAAGCAGCACAAATGTCCTATGAATGTCTACAGGACATCCCTCGAACGTTGGGACATCCTAAGGACATACACAGGACTAAGTATGCTACTAAGGACATTGGGGACGGCTATAAAGATGGCCTGAATTGCACAATTTAACTGTTTTTGCTGCTTGTTTCGTTGGATGACGGCGGCAACGAGGACTGTGGGTATTGTTTGATTGTTCGATTTGAGCTGCTACTGCAACGTTTCATTTCCGAGGTGCAGAATGTCGACAGATGCTCATTGGAGTGTCTCCTTTCGGCTTTCTAGACTGTCCTGAGCTGAGGCACACATTTTATTGGCAAGTCATAAAAACATTAACAAAGGAGAAGTTGGAGCAGTGCTAGGACAAAGCAAGGTTTCGTGCAAAAACAAAACAACAATTTTTTCTGGAGTTCATGCCCCCTCGCTTGCAACGGCATTTCTGAATGGCATTACGCCATGAAAGGCATACTTGCCGACATTGTGTGTACTGGACACACTTTGTACGTTTAGGATTTTTGAAAATCACATGATTTAATGCAGCTGCAAATGTTTACACTTTTTGTTTTAATTTTTGCACAAATTCCTAGTTCAGTTCAGTTGACAAACTTTTTTTAGACTTTAGTATAAACTCTTTTTCTAAAGAGCTCATTGGCTACTTTTTATTGTGTCATAATCAGCCATATGCTGAGTAGTTCTTTAAAAAAAAAAAAATGTTTTGTCCATTCTTCAAAAATCACCACTTTTCCCCGTGGTACAGAAAGAATTAAGGCAATATATAGACAGGGTTTGAAAATTGTAAGCGATACTCAGTTTCAGCGTGACTTCAGAAAAGGCTGATGCTGCAGCCCTGTTAGACAGTTAGAGCAATGGAGCGAAGCATGGGACAGCTCTCCACGGGAGGAGTATGCATCGACGGTACATGGCCACATGCCTCGTTCCAACGCTCTTGATTGGCTCACTGGGGTCGTAGCTGTCGCCGTCTCACGAGTTGTGCCCAAACAGCGTACTGGGGTGCAGGCTACCACCCAATACAAAGGCCATAGCCACTAGTGTCAAGGGTGGGACGGTCGTGCCAATTGCGCCATTTTGATACATCACAATTTCCCGCGCGCCAAACAGCGTGAAATCGACCAAAATTGCACCACGCTGCACCAAAGGTCACGGTAACGCTGGATTTAGTGAAAAGTGAAAGCTCGGTTGACAACCATCGCTATTCCATTGCCACGTGACGCAAGCCGCCGTCCGATTCCTTTTGTTCAGCCGTATCTATCTGTTTATCCATTCATCCAATGGATCATACATGCTGCAATGTATGTATGATGCAACGTAGCATATAGCATTAATGTTCTCGATTCGTGCCCCTTCATTTTTAATCAAGATTTGTTCCTAAATTAAAATATATGGCTGTGTCCAATTTAATGCATTTCACTGTAAAGTTCTTTTCAATGCTTTTCAACACTTGTAGTACAAACCTAGTTTGCTTGAATTGCAACTGGTGGTATGCTGTTTAGAGAAGTTCCTTTTAGCAAATGCCGTTTTACCAATCCCAGTTTACAAAATCCCTTTATAGAGAAACCCAGTTTAGAGAAAATGGTACGAGCCTCCTTTTAGCAAATGTGGCTACTGCAAAGTGGCATGTACAAGTGGGTGACCATTTTTGTAATGAGCCGCTGCAGTCTTTCGTTGCAAAGCAGCTTAAACAAGAAAGGGGGAGGGGGCCGGCCGGCCAACCCATTGGTTGGCCGGCTGGGTTAGCACATGCCCCAGTGATACACCCACGGAGAAGGGGAGCGTTTTTTAAAACAGTGTCCCCTTTCTGATAATTGGCATTTCTCTAAACTGAGGCTCCATTCTCTAAATTGAGCTTCGATAAAACGTGCCTGTTCTCGAAATTGTGTTTCAATGAAATGGCGTTGATCAACCGTAGTAGACCCAATTGTAGCTCATGGTATAACTGACTGAGATGCTTTCTTAAAATGGCGTCACAGTTACACCTAAGGTGCTCCAAAATACAGATTTCTTTTTAATCCTTAGTGCTAAAAAAAAAAAAAAAAAAGAAGATTTTTCTGTTTTCAAGTTTCCTCGAGAGGCAGCTTTTCTGCTCCTAAACTGCTCCAAAATGGAGATTTTTCTGCTCCAAAAATTGCTTCGAAACCAATTTGATCTGTCCCTCCCACCCTTCGTACTATCCGTCCATTCACATAATTGCGTTTACTTGCTAGTTCAAGCTTGATACTACTATTGTGATGGTTGATTTGGAGTTTAGTAGTGTGCAGAAAAACCGGAGTAGGTCTTTCTGCAACTATAAACATGTCGAGGCACTTCGACAATATTGTTACGTTTTTGATTTACAAAAGGACGTCCATATTTAAATTAGACAAGATTAGAAGTGTGTCACGTGCAATCTTCACGTGCACCGTCACCATCTTTCGTGGTTTCTGGCACGCACCTTAGCAGCACCGCTACAATATGATCAAACACTGTTCTAATTTAAAATACTGTTTTACTTCAATGTGTGCACTGCCCAACTTTTATATTGATACGGTAGTTGCAACGAGACTGTCGACAGAAATAAAAATTTAGAACTGCCTAGACATGTGAAGAGAGTATTTGCAAACAGAACATTTATTGTGATCATAATCGTCAACTGTTAGTCAGTCAAAAGAACCGACGTTCCCTTCTGTGTCTGTTCGCTAGACTAAAAGCTTTTTTTCTTTTCTGCACCGCGGTTTCAGGTGTTAGACGACATGATTAGCTACCACCAGCTCGCCTGCACATTTACAGTCTTTTCACGACATTGGGTGTAGTGTAAATAAACATTGCACCATACTTTGAAGTACCACTGTGTATTTCGAGAGTTGTTGTCAGCCAGGTTCCCTCTATGCTATGCTGTTGTGGGACCATTAATACTGAATAGGTGGGCCACTATACAAGCCTTTATACAGATGGGATAGTAAGGTTGTTTCGCAGCCTGCTGAGAAATACCGAATGTGTGTATGGGAAAGGGACCCTTCGTCGAATCAAGGCCATAATTCAAAACAATGGCCACAAAGAAATAAAAATGCAGCCAGTGGTATGAAAAGTGTTCAGTATGTTGTCTGCCTTGATTTAAAAAAGTTATTTACTAACTCTCTTCAATCAGAGTCATAGCCACATGTATTTTGTTTGTGTGTACGTATCTATTTGAATTAGGTTGAAACTTGCACAGTCGTTTTATGTATACACTTTTGTGTACAAAGTGCCCAGAACAAAGCTAAATTATCATTGACATCTTACTTTGATGACAACTTTTCACTAAAAGCTTGTAATCGATATCAGGAACCTGGTTGCCACAGACACTTAAGGAGATAAGAGAACAAACTCGTGCCATTTATTTAGGCAGAAGGGTCTGGTAGGGTGCTAAATGGGTAATGTACAAATGTGAAAATTTTAGGAAAATAGTGCGGGCACTTATACAAGTGCATGTTGTGGCAATGAAAATAAATATAAAATTTTATATAAAGAAAATATTATTGCCCAGTTCTCTTCAAAGAAAGGTTTCACGTAACTAGCTCACCTAGTGCAACATTTTTACACTGAACACTGAAAATGAGGAATGAAATTGGTTTCAAGGTAAATTTAAGACCATTGTGATATAATGCCATACCTTTGTATGCCATTGAATGTTCAAGCCAGCAATACTTGTGGGGTATCCCACCTGCTTTTTATGTTATATAATTGTCTAGCTTTGTTTTTGCGACACTATGGAACTATACCCCAGGCCACCCACGGAAAAGCACGCACAGAGTGTATCATCCCTGCCTTGTTTGCGTTTGAGCGACCGGACTCCGAAACCAAACTCCCCTTAGATAAGACGAGGCTCGTTGACAACGCCAAGTCATCAACAACGTTGCCCAGGCGTACCAATTGCACATGAACTCTAGGTCAGCACTGAAGTGCTCTGGTGCAATGAGTGTGTTCTGGGCTGTCAATTTGCATTGACATAAATTTAGAGGGGGAGCGAGAGTTCACTGCAAACATTCCATTGCTGTGAACCAACTTCAAAAATTTAGCTGTCACTGTGTTTATGTACTAATCTCTTTAATAGACAGTTCTGGTCTTGAAATAGGCTGAGCATCATGCTGTTCTTTGCTTTGTGCTTGTTTTCATTATAAAAGCTTTAATAAATGTCTGGCTTGTTGCCGCACATTCATAATTTCAGCAGAGAATTGAGATACTTGCGTGTGCTCATCTATTCATACTTTAATCAAACTGCCCATCTTTCAGATTTAGTGTGGATTGTCTTTTTGTTTTGGCAATAAAATCTTGTGAGAATTACATTGCACAGAATACAAACTGTATGCAAAACTTGCTCCTTCTTTGGAGTGCACAGCAAATATGGTATAGGTTACACACAAAGTCCAGCTGGTGAGCACAATTATTTGATGCGCGCAGGTCGGAATATGCGATCGCTGCTCATCGTGATGCATGAAATGACTGGTCTGTAACAGTACTTTTTATTATCATTAACCATCAGGGAGAACTAGAGGGTGAATGAATTTAAAACTTTGGAACAGAGCACATGTAACCAGCAGAACCTTTTCAGTGTTCTGCACGGTTGAGTAAAAGAAATTTCAGATAACCAGTATTTGTTACTTGTTCAAGCTTTTATGAACACATTGGAGAACTATTAATAATGAGAAAACAATGTGATATGAGAAAAAAACACAGAAAGTTGCATGTTGTCTACATAATTTCCATTTTATGCCTTCTCACAAACAGGATAAAAAAATCAGAAATCTACCTCTTCAAAAATTTTGGGGAGGAATTAGAAGGAGAGCTTTTTCCCAAAATGTTTGTCCAAAGGCTCTGTTGCTTTGAAGTTCTCTTCTCTGTTAACCTTGGTGAAAAATGTTTATAGGTACATTTTATCAAGATATAAGTTGATAAGCAGCTGAATCGATTTCCCCTTTCCCTCTTCATGATGGCTGGATGAAGAGGAAATAAGTCTTTGTAGTAATTTCTGGGTGAAAGATCATAAGGGGATACAGGGAATTTAAGCGGCACCATTCTAAGTCACCGTAGTAAACAAAGCCTACAGCATGTGGCCACTGATACTTTAACATGTAAGTTGAATGGTGGCATACGTCGACGGAACAGTTACCTTATTCTTTCCCTGTCAGTCTGTTGGGTGGAAAGTGCATGCACTCAGTTGCGAAGAGCCCCTTCTGTCGCACGGATCGTAACTTTTAGCTGTATTGTTATTAAAAGCCTTAGCTTTAATGTTTGGTTTATAAGGTAAAGCTTAGCTGTTGACATTAAAAACACTGGCTAGATGGCACAAGCCACCCCCTAATTGAAGGGGTTCACTCCTATTAAACATCACAAAAAGGTTGCTGTATTTTTCAACCTGCAGCACAGTTGATGTCCTCGCTAAAATAATATGTGCGCGCCAAATTGATTTTTAAAAATCGGGCACAGCTGTTTTGTCAAGCGCAAATGAAGTCTTGTCCTGCGTGGATGGCTCTTGACGGAGACGTTGTTGAATCGTAACCGTCTCTCCTCGCAGTTGTGCCTGCCCCACGGCCTGTGCTTCCGAACCCAGAAGCACCCACGGCAGCCCTTCTTCCACCCATTCATCGTCACCAGGGAGGACGGGTCACGCACCTACGGCCAGGCCCTCACCTTCTACGAGGAAGTCACCGACAAGCAGATCTGCTCTGCCATGCAGACCCTGCAGGTGAGCTCGACCGCCGCTGGGTTGCTTACGGGAAGGTCTCGCCAGACGCCGTTCTGTGCTGTGCCACCGCCCTGTGCCACCGATCCTGCCGGTAAACGTACCCGCATTCACCAGCAGCTGCCCCTGGCAAGCTGTCTCTCTTATAGTCTATTGCAGGCTAAAAGTGGTGGGACACGCTCTTCCTACAAGGCCCTTTCACTCTTTCTGCCTTAGCAGAATGAACGCTGTAGAGGAGGCTAGTGGAGAGGAAGAAACTGTCAATCATGGCAAGCAGTGAGTTTTGTGTGAGAGGCTTGTCCTGCTGTTCATAACTTGCAACGAACTGTAGTGTCCTCGACAGAAGACACTAAAAAATTACCTTGGTCCTACCGGATCATATCATTATGCATGAAACACGTTTCTAAGTCGATAAATATCGGTGACTGACAGTAGGCGATGGTGGGCACATGACCATGTGGAGAGACGATGCATGATATGGTTGTGCGACGTAACCGTGTGGAGGGATGTCACCTCATATGACATGGTCGTGTGATGGGGTCACATGGTGTCTTGTGGTTACGGATGTAACCACGAGACACCATGACGTTGCATTGATTTTGTGCGTAAGTATGTACAGATTGTTTGCGTGATGCTTTTCCGTAATGCTGGGAAGTGCCCATATCTATGCTGCAATATTTTAATATGAATGCTGTGCTGCACAGGCAATGCACCTGACAGAACTGAGCTCGAGCGCCAACAAAACCCCTCTGAGTCGAACGGCAGCGGTGAAGCAAGAGGCGCCGGTCTCAAGGTCTCTCCCAAGGTCATTTCGACTCATGGCCACTTCCAGGTCTTCCGACTCCACTGCACCAGCCCTCTACGACATCACCAAGGTTGGCTTCCTTTCATGACGCTGATGGCACCAGTGTCATTTTTAAAAGCTTTCCCAAAACTTTCCAGGTGTAAGCGAGGTAGATCCTCTGACAGGAAGGGCAGAAAACAACAAGACAACAGTATAAAGCTTTTTTTTTTTTAAATCTTGTTTGAGAGATAAGGAAGGTTTCAAGAAAAGGAAGAAAAAAAAGCCATGGCCAGCTGGTCATTTAGCTTCTATCGGTGGTGTAGCCAGGGAGAACGCTCATGGGGCTTCACCCTCTTCCCCCCCGAAGTCCAGCCGACCCTGTAATTAGTGATGGACCGAATCTGCCAAACTTCGAATTCAGCAAAATTCGACACATGCCAAACTTTTTTTTTGAAGGGAAGTTCGGCTAAGATTCGACAAACATCTGTGCATGCACAAGAACGCGATGGGGCCATGGATTGCATGTGCAAATGGACGCCGTTCGGTCGTGCGGTTACCATCGTACAGCGTGCTACTACCAGCGGTTACAACGAGGTGCGGAGTGGGCAGGATGGTAACTGTGTGTTTGTCAGCCTTTGTGAGTGTGGTTCTCTTTAATATTTTCTGCCTCAAGAACGGAAGATTGACCAGTAATTGATGCAAAAAGTAACCAAGTCCCCTGTGCAATTGACAAATGATGCGGTACATTTGGCATAATGTGATTTTCATTTGAACTTTCCAGTGATTCAATGATGTAGTTTCAACATTTACTGACAAGTGCTTTAAAGCGCTCCTTGCTATTAGACGCACACATCCATGCAAAGTTGAAGTGACTTAAATCGAAAAGCATGCATATTTACGAGAATATTATTGCTTCTGGTGAGGGCTCAGCAGCCAGTGCATTCATTTTCGCACACGAAACAGCGACTCGCAGAGAGAATAAGAACACAGTGTTACCTCCTTTATTTCAACAATACACACTTGCAGGCTTGCGCTGATGAGACCTCAAAAATGAAAGTTGCTCATCATGACTGCTCTGACTGTGCAAACCTGTTGTCACACCACTTCTCCAAAAATTCACTTTAAGATTACCAGTGAACACACAAAAACTACACCGATACAATTATCTTGTAGAATATCACCTAATTTAGTAATAACTGGGTCAATAGGCATTAAAAAAACCTAAAAACTTTCTTCACACGCAAAAACAATATATCAACTTTTAGGTCTGGCACCAATGCATCTTTGCCGAATCTTTAGAAATTTTCAGCAAAAATTTGGTTTTGCCCAATCTTAAGATTCGATGCCGAATTTCAATTCGGCACCGAATTGAAATGGAAATTGCGTACGGCCGCCGATTCACCGTTTGCGACGTGGTCCGTCAACAAACCGAGTCCAGCCTGGTTCTTTCACGGGAGTAGGATTCCGCTCCCCGTTTATTGGTACATAAAACACAACACTACAAAACACTGAATCTGAACTACAAATACACGTGACATTAGACAAATATTTACAAACGCACGTTAAGCCCAAAGCTAAACAGAAAGAGGGCCCCCAGGCCTCGTGTCCCGCGATTACCCTAGATCCGGTCGCCACACACTTGCCTGGGTTCGGTAACGTCCATAGTTCTAAGAGACTCTTTGTCCCCTGTCTACCGAGTATATCTCGATCGATGGGCAAGGAGGTTTCTCCTCGCCCGCCATGGGGCGCCTGCAGTGCCATCCAGTGGCTAGGAGAGAAAGCGGCACGTCGGGAGGCGAATTCGAGATCCCGATCGATCCTGCGTCGACACGACCATGTGATCATGTCTGAGGCGAGGCAACTGCATAGCTGCCTCGCAGCCAAGATGGCAGAGTGGTTTGATGGGCGCCCTCGTGAGTGCACGGTGCGCTATAACGCGACGTCTAGGCCAGGCACTTGTTCATGTGTGCTCGAGGTAGTGGTTTCTGGGGACGTTGGCCGACCCGGGGATGTGCCGCTCCTGTCGCAGGACACCCTGTACGTGAGCAAGGTGCTGTGCCTGGTGACCTCGCTGCCCGTGGTGAGCGCCAGCCGGGTGATGCTGCAGACCCTGCTGGGTATGGTGCAGGCCAGGGAGTCGCCCCCACTGCCCCTCGAGTGCTACATCTACAACATCCTGTACGAGCTGCCCCTGCCCCCGCCGGGACGCTCGCTGCGCCTGTCCTACCTCTATCAGGACCATGTCTGCCAGAGGCCGGGTAAGGACTTGGACCACTTCGCGTCCCCAGCGTACGATTGGCACAGGGGGTGGGGGAACCTGTATTACTCACCCGGGTACAATGTGGGTCCCGTCTCACTCGTGGCTTGGATGTACCCATACTCTGATGCCTGGAACATGTCTCCAGCGGGTGTTTACCGCAACCGAAAAGTTGTATTGTACAGCGGAGCTGTCAAGGGCCAGTTTTCTGAGGATTGCAGCCCCTGCAAAGAAATGTTGACACAAAACTCTGGACAGCTACTGCTATCTATGAGTGACGGCGGCAACCAGACAACCAGCTTGCCAGCCTCGCTCATAGGTGGCGGCAACCTTTCCGGCCCTTCCACTCTGGTTTTCACCAGAGTGGAAAGGCTGAATTTCTCTAGGCATCGTCCTAGATGTCGTCCTCGAGATTGTCGTAGAAGTCGTCCTTGAGGTCGTTCAAGACGTCGTCTTCGAGGTCGACCTTGAGGTTATCCTTGAGGTCGTCCTAGACTTTATCCCTAAGGTCGTCCTAGGCGTCGTCCTTGAGGTCGTCCTAGACGTCATCCTCGAGGTTGCCCCAGAAGTTGTCCTCAAGGTCGTCCTAGACGTCGTCCTCGAGGTTGAGCTAGACGTCGTCCTTGAGGTCGTCCTAGACGTCGTCCTTTAGGCGTCGTCCTTGAGATCGTCCAAGAAGTCGTGCTTGAGGTCGTCCCATCATGGTACAGCTTCGCTGGTCTTCCTTCTTCACCAGAGTGGAAAGGCTGAAAGTATTTCTCACTCGCAATGCGTGAAGAAATGAAAGCAATAGCTGTAGCACGGTCGCGCAACGCGGGTGGGACGGTGCCGTCGCATACTTGAGGGCGGAGGTGCGACGCGGTTATTTCTCGTAGCCGTCGTGGTTGGCGTCGTGGATGCCACTGACGACTGCCACCAGTGACCCATGAAGTGAGTGGGTAAGCGCTTTGGAAGCTTCTAAAGCCATCCAACATTACGCGTAGCAACTGGTAACTGCCAAAGAGAGATTTCTCATAACGTGAGTAATGTTTTTAAACGAGTCTTTCAAAACGGACAACACAGTGAATTGGCCTTCATTGCGCAATTCTTAGCGGGACGCAGGGGCTGCCCTTTTCGCTTGCCCACACTCGCCTTGCGTGGCATGACGGACAGAGCCCCAACTTCGCTCCGCAGAAAAAAGGAGAGAAAAATAATTTCTTTATTTTTTGCGCCCATGGCGACGACGGGCATCGAGGACAAGATCTCTGTAAAACGTCGCCCATAAAGCTGTCAGTTAAAGTTGTTCCTCCCGGTGGTGTGGGAGGCAGGTTCCGCTTCGATGGTCTGGAGCGTGGTGGCACGAACGTCGCTGAGTGACGGGTCGACTCACTGCTTGTAGAGAACTATGTGCATTTATTTACACTCTAGTTACAAGTCCCAACTTGGGAAACCATCCTGCCTCGTCTAAAGTCTCGACCCCCGTCCCCAATTTCTCTCCATCAAGTCCAAAGTCCGAATCCCTCAAAATCCTCTCCGCGCTCCTTTTGTAGGCCCGTAGGGGCCTCCTTTCCCCTCAGGAACCGACCAATCTCTTCAAATTCCGCCACTCACACGTGGTACACTGTTCTCCAATGGTCGGCGAGCTGTCATTTTAGCGTCCCAACCGCCAAACCCAAACTCCTTGTAGAGTTGTTCTCTGCAATTTTCCCAGCCTGACTGGCGCCAACCGCTAAGTTATGGCATCGGGCAAAAAGCGACAATTTTATACAAAGCGGCAAAACCCTCTGCATACACGCACATTCGGCTATAAGCCACAAGCATCTTCCAGCGCGGGCTCTTTCGGTCCCGGTCCGAGCAGACCCCCGAAACCCGAGACGCTTCTTAACGACCGCGGTGGGGACCGCTCCCGCACCGCGGCCGCTCTGGCCCCGCCGACCCAAACGTAGAAAGCTAAAAAAACACAATGCCGACGCAACTCTGGAAAGATAAACTTTCCTAACCAAAAGAAAACACCTTAATTAATAAGCATGACTCCTAAATACTTAACTCTGTCGCTTCAGAAAAAGTGGTCCCTCAATTTCCACCGAGTGGCGTCGCAGAAGTAGCCTGCTGTTGCATGTCGCATGTCGTGATCCTGGCAGCGCCTTAGCAGCGGCGTTGGATGCAGCAGGTGCCTGTTCCGCTGCGGGTCGCTCACCAGTTTGTCAGTCCACGGAAGCTCCGACCGCCAGAAGTTGGGACGCCGCGACGACAGCGACACCCACCTTAGCTTGCGCTTTTCGCCGGCATTTCTACGACCGACTGCCAGGATTGCGACATTTGACAGCGTGACAGCGTTCTGTGACGTCATTTGTTGCCACTTCAGGACCATTTTTGGCTCGTGGGCGGGATAGGACTCTAAACACACCAATCGGAGACACGTTCCAAGCGCCATACCCATACTCCGTTTCACTTTAGATGCGAGTGGATCCGAAGATACAAGCACTACAACAATCGTACCGGCCATTTTTTTTTTTTAAAGAGAGCAGTGTTTTCAGCTAACGTAAACCAACTATAAATCGCGGAAAGTTCGAACGCCGCGAGAATGCGCTGCTAGCAGTTGAGATAGAGTGCAAAAGTTTGAGAGCTTGAAGTTACGAATGAAGAAAGAATAAAACAATTAAAACAGGGACAACACAACCCCCTGAGCCTACTATCGTCTAATCAAGGACTGACATTTGAACGCTTGTGGGATTTATATCGGTGAAAACCATTTGTCAAGAAGAAAGAGAGTATTGTTTTCTTTCTTGCTGACAAGATATTTTTCACTGATGTAGCTGCCAAAAGGCGCCCGCAATGTCGGTTCTTGTTTTGACGAAATCAGGCTTTAGGTGGACGTCGGCTGACAGAGAAATTTTGTCTTTATCAATTACTGTAAAACCCTTTATTTTCGCGGCCCCTATTTTTCGCGAATTGATCACAGAGGACATAATCGCCGCTGTTATATATTGATTGATATCGATTGAATCAGACCCAGACCCATGGATTCAGACGGGCCGCCAACATGTGTGTGTCCCACACAGCTAGGCCTGACTTTTATTCACAAGGGCAAACCGCCGCTAAGAGGGCGCCACTAACATGTCGATATATATATAACAGCCGCCACTAAATTTCGCGAATAGCAGACGCCTGCATTGAAACTCTTAAGGATCAAAATTTTCGCGTGCCCTTAAATTTCGCGAATATTTCAATTCGCGAAATTCGCAGAAATTAAGGGTTTGCAAACATTAAGGGTTTTACAGTATCTTTCAATCCAGGTAACGTCACATTCTCAAACTTTCGCATTTGGTCCTAACCTCTAGCGTCACATTCTCATCGTGTTTCAGCTTTCTATGATGCTTAGTTCATTTATCTGGGCCAAAAAACACAGTTCTCTTTTCTCAGGAGCGCCCTGTCATTTTTTTTCTCTTCATTCCTTGATAACGCTATCACTCGTTGGGGAATGCCGGCTTTTTTACTTCGCCATCTAAATGTCCAATGAAAATATGCAATCAAAGCATTTGCCTTAATTAAGGACTGTTCTCATTGGCTCTTTCGAGAATGGGATGTGGCTTTTCGTCGGCTGGCGGGATCGGTTTGCTTCATGCAATTGTTGATTCCTCTTTGTGCAGGGACAGGAGAATTGCCTTTCTTCGACTACTCCTTCCGTGATCTCTTCATGACGCTCGGTTTGGAGAACTGCGTCCTCCTCTTCACCAGCGTCTTGTTTGAGAACCAGATCCTGCTCTGCTCTGAAGGTGGGCGTCGCATTTTTTTGTTTTCTCTCCACATCATCCAAAAGATGCCAGCTTGCTGTGGTGTGTTTACAATGTGTTTGTTGCAGAAGTTGAATTATGTAGCAATTAGCTTTCGTGTTCTCGAACCTGCGGAACCCGCAGAACTTTTAGGAGCCTGCGGAACTTGCAAACAGTAATGAATGGACTAGGAAGTGTTTGGCTCGAAGTTATGCGTCGACATGGTGGCTTAGATCACCTAGAATAGTGCTCCAGCTGGGAAAACACTTTGCTTGGAAGCAGAGACGGTCGAGAAAACTTGGGAACTCGGGGGAACCCACGAGGAAATTCTGGGAAATCCCTGTGTTCCCAGGAACCCTTTTTGGGAGCCCATGCTCTGGGTCAGGGGTCTCCCAACGTTTTGGCTAAGATGCCGGATTGGAGACTTTTTTCATTTTTAAGTGCTGGAAAATAAGTATGTAAATATAAATGGCGAAAAACTTATGAAATAGACCTAGATAAGCTACCGTCTAAAAATAAAAATTCAAGTTTGAGTAAGAATAAAAAGAGAACCTAAGGTTGTTTAATGCATAAACTATATATTTAAATTCAGTTATTATTTTGTCATTTACGACATTACACAATAACTGTGGCAGGAAACTCGACCGGGCATTACTCAGGATGCGTAGGAACTTTGGCATGTATATGCGACACAGAACAATGAGTGGCAGGTCTGATAATAATATATAATATAACACGAGACATTAAATGCAACCAGACACAAGAACATGAAGGAATTTTAACATAGTTGTACGGGCATGAAACGGGGAATTATAGGGTTGGCTCTGCAGGTGACAATGATGTGCGTTAAAGATAATACATTGCTATCAACGCGATATCACTCAGAGTGGCTACGGTGCGTTTGCTGCGTGTCGCCGCGCAATTTCTTCATGCATGCCCTTTTTTTTTTTTTTTTTTTTTCGCCGTGTGCAGTGGGTTTGTTAGAAAACCAACTGCGGCCCGATCGAAAGGCTTCCGCGGACCAAATGTGGCCCTTGAGTGGGGGTTTGGAGACGCCTCTTCTAGGTCATGGAATCTCAAGCTGGGTTCTCCGGTGTACCCTAGGGAGATCCCCAAGCTCCCGAATGGCCTTGACCGTCCCTGCCTCCTAGCAAAGCGTCCTTCCAGTTCAAGGGCTATTCAAGTGGATCTGACCCATCCACTTGGCTCGTTCAATTTACCCGCATATTGAACGCAGCAACCAATAGTAACTATGAGCTAAGCACTCCCTAGTATGCACATTATAGTTTACAAGGTCCGTAGACTTCTGCACTGCTTTATCGCATCGATGCCGAGGTTCGAAGGGGTTCCTCGGATGCCATCCGAGCTCGATGTGGGTTCCTTGAGGCTGAAAAGATTGAGAACCCGTTCTCTAGGTGCGCCGCCGTGTTCGTCCGCTCCCGCCACAATGCGTGTGTCCCTCCCCTCTGCGCAGACTACCAGAAGCTGATGCTGGTGGCAGAGTGTGTGTGCTGTCTGCTGCTACCCTTCCAGTGGCAGCACGTGTACGTGCCCATCCTGCCCCATTCCTTGCACCACTTCCTGGATGCCCCCGTGCCCTTCATCATGGGCCTGCGCCATCTGCACCAGGATGCCCTGGACGCGGTTTGCCCCGGGGAGGTAGGATCGGTCGATTCGTTGCTCGGGTTTTTATCGGTGCAAGATCTCCCCAGGCCACTGAGTGCCGCCCTGTTACGCTCAATTCATAAAGGCTGGTTCACACGCTAACGACCGCTTGTGGACGCGTTCTTACTATCTCTTCCGGCGAGAGAATGCGCTGGGGCCATCTATGAGGTGGCCCTGGAACCACGTTTCACTACTGTAAAGGTTTTGCAGTATTTGCGAGGTCAAATATGCATGCTGCCTACGAAAAATGGTCGCTCATAACGTTGTCAAAAATTCCTCGAATTAAGTAAGTAAAAATGATGTGCGAGAGAAACAGGAAGTCTGCGGAAATCCCAGGTGTTCCACAGCTAGCCCGGAGCCGTTTGTGCTAAGAGTGTTTGTCCGCCTTAAGGAGATTTGACAGTCTGGCAACCACAGCTGCATAGTCTGACAGCCGAGTGGTGACTTCTTCTGTCCGCCATTTTGGGGCTCTGATTCGTAAGTATTCTATGCGATTTCTCAGGATAAACAAAAAAAAGAAATAACGCCAGTTTGTGTTATCGCAAAATCCGCCAGTTCTGGCAGGCAGCAAGCTCCACCTATTGGCCATACTCTTCTCAGTATAAACGGCTCTGGGCTACCCGATGGATGGCTCCAGTATGTTTTCTTGTCGTAAAAGAATGGCAAGTGCCCAGTCCTAAGCAGTCGCCAGTGTGTGAACCAGCCTTGGCGCTTTTCGCATGAAATCTAGCCATTAGATGGTTTTGTGTCACGTTATCCGGCCATGCTTGCTAGGCAGGCTGTTGGATTGCACTGTTGCCAGACCCTCGGGTACTTGTTGCTAGACTGTTGACATCTTCGAGAGAGGTTCAAACTCTCCCAACAAAAGTGGCTCTGATCTATCTCCCCTGCCCCCCCACCCCCCCCTCTCCCCCCCGAAGCCAGCCTCTGCCTGGTAGATGTGGCAGACAGGTTTTTTCGGTGATAGTTGTTATGGGCTCTTCCACACCCATTTGAAACAATGATGTAGGGCATCTGCTGTTCGTGTTGCCAAACGCTCAAAAAAGAAAACCTGCTGTGATTTTCTCGGGATTTGATCTTGTGTCCCCCGACTGTGAAGCGAGCGTGCTGTTACAGAGCCACATCAGCTGCTTCAATGTGGCACCTAATAAACTGCATGTGTTGAGGACAGCTGCAGTCTTGTACGGCTCCCACTGGGTGGCCCCAGTTGCAGTGACGTCTCGTCACGCCATTGGCTTCTATGTGTATAAAATAAATGAGTGTCACTTTCCGAGCGGACATTGAAGATGGCTCCTCTTAGTAAGGTGCCATCTACGGCAGAAGAAGCAAAGCGCACCATCACGAGGTCATTGTAAGGTTGTTGCAGATTTACTGCACGATACATGAAGATACATTAGGGTTTGATGAGGTGGATTCACACAGGACTAATCATTCTTTGGCTGTGCTATTGCCAGACCATGGACATCTTTAAAACAGTGCCAAACCAGATTATCCCAAAAGGAGCGGCTCTGACCCGCTTCTCTTGTCCCCTTTCAGGCCAGCCCCTGTCTTCTAAACGTAGCAGAGAGGTTGTGTGATTGCCCTGTTGCCTGATCGTTTGGTTCTTCCTGCCCTGGTTCTCATCGTCGGGCCGTCGACACCTTCGAAAGCGTTCCGAACTCTCTCGACAGAAGCTTCTCTGTCTTCTCTCGCAGGCCAACCTGTGCCTGGTGGACATTGACGGGTGCAGCGTCCAAGTGCCCGAAGACCTGCCCAGCTTCCCGAACAAGCAGGACCTGGTCTCGGAGCTGCGGGACCTACTCACCCGCTTCGGCGTGCTCACCCCCGGCGGGAGCCACCCGGGCCACTCCCCGCTGGTGCCCCCTTCGGCCACGCTGGGGCGCAACCTGAACAACCAGCTGCAACACGAGCGGACGGCCAACCTGCCCTTCCCCCGGCGCAAGCTGTCCTGGAGCCTGGAGAGCGGCGACTCCGGGGTGAGCAGCACGGACAGCAGCGCCCGCAGCTCCTACAGCAGCCTCGGCGGGCCCCCGCAGCTGCTGCAGCACAGTGAGGCCTACCAGCGCATCGCCGCCGTCGCCAGGAAGGCCGGTGAGTTTGGTGCGGCGGTCGTTTTGTGCGTCGCCGTTCCTCCGCAAATTAGGTGTTATGTTTTACGGCAACAGCTGTTAGTGGGAGTTCGTCCCGGGAGAGTTGCATCGTTGTCCTTCTCGAAAACTCTGGTTCCTCGAGCGTACACATGCGGCCAGAATGTGCGTCCAAAAGCAACGAGCGCGTGCCGGAGGCCAGGCGTTAGAAAAAGACGTCGTTCTCACTTCGACGGTGGCTGTACCCGGTGTTTCGCCATGCTGCCGCATGCGCACAGCCGTCCAAAGAGACAAACTTGCGTGTCGTGTGGCTACACGTTGGAAAGTTTGTGGCACCTCCGAAGAGAGCGAGTTTGAGTTACAGCATGCTGAGGAGGCTCGGGAGGTAATGCAGAAACGTCGACGTTGTTGCAACAATAGCGACGCAAGTTCCGAGCTGCTGTTGCCGTTCCGCATGTTACACAATGGCGTAAATGCTCTCAAGATTTTTGTTCGGTACATGCCAATGAACCCTGAAAAGTGACCCCTGAAACGGTTCTATAGAAATCTGGGGATGCCGCAGAACCCCAAACAGAAGCTGTCTTCAAGTGAGAAAAATCAGAGCTCGTGGGATGTTTTGGGCAAATATGATTCTCCTCTGAGGTGTTATCTCAAGAAATTGGGAGTTTGGGAAGCCATGGATTGTCTTGACTCGGCTGCCAGCAGTTTGCGTTTGGGAAGCTTGCACTTATCCCTGGAATTTTCTAAAATGACTGCTTTACAGGGGTTCTGTGTTTTCGGTATGTATCAACAAATGTTGAAAACTGCTCAATCGTTTTGCCATACCTCGGTGTTTGGAAGTTACAATGCCCCGAGTCGCCAGCCTACGGATTGTCCTGTTGCAAGATTGCCAGCACCATGGACTTCATCTGGGTTCTGCTCTGAGGCGGCTGGGGGACCAAATACAACGAGAACTCTTTGACTGTGCAACGAGGGGCATTTTTTTGTGTCCTATTGTTGCAGTTAGATGAATGGTGCTCAAGCATTTTTTCTTCTGTGACTGCAACAACAGGCACTCTTTTGTGGTCTATTCATTATTTTATATGTTTATTGAATATATCCTCGGAGCCCGAGGGCATTATAGAGTAAGAGAGCAGATACAAAATCGAGTAGTAAAACTGTAACAAATGACTGGTATTAATGATATAACATAAATAGCAAACAGGTCATGGATGATTGTAAAAATTGTTAGTGATGGCATTACGAAACAGGCTAGGGTCAGTAATGGTAGCACTCAAACCGGAGAGGGGGTTCCATTTTTGTGTTGTGCAAGGAAGGAAAAATTAGTCGAATTCCGTTGTTTATGAACTTGGGACTTTAACTTTATGCTAATGATGCATACAGGATGATGTGTAAAAAGGAAGAGTTATCATTTATTGCGTAAAATAAAAATTAAAAGCTAAATTTTATGAAACAATTGTGAAATTTTACGGCTGAGAGAGGGAGACGATAAAGATAAACTGATTTTCATTGATGCGACACTTGCAGTGCGATGATACTTCGACATAATGAAACGAGCTGATCGGTTTTGGGTGGACTCTTAATGCAGTGATGAGGGTGTCATGACCGGTGTCCCAGATGGAGGCTGCATATTCTACCTTTGGTCTAATTAATGTTTGATAGAGAAGTTATTCAATGAAACCGATTGTCGCAGTCAGGTGAACAGTGTTCAATCGCTGTTTCCAGGGGTGATGAACTCTCTGGAGGACCTGCGGAAGCCCTTCACCCACGACAACTATGAGAGCAGGCCGAGCCTCCTGCGTCGTTCCACTGATCGCCGTTCCGCAGACCGCCATTCCAGCGATCGCCATTCCATTCAGCGCCAGTCCTCGGACTACCACTCCACCACAGACTTCAACAGCACCGACCGTCACCCTCAGCTCGAGGAGCTCAGGCTGAACAATGCAGTCCGGGAGGTCTTCTTCAACCGCTTCCTGCATATGTTCAGCTCCTACGACCACTTCGTCATCCAGCCAAACCAGGTGGGGTGATGCTGTGTAGTTTTTGTTCTCAGGACAACGGTCTGTGCAGCTGCAAGTTGCAGAGACTTCAGCGGCTTAACGAATAGTGAGGTAACAAAATCTTGCCTGACGTATATATTAAAGCATAGTGAGGGTCTGCATAAGCCACAGGGTTCAATAGCTCATTCATGTGGAGGTCAAGTCTGGTATCGACAACATTCAAGTATCCCAGCCTACCATCTTGCCTATTCGCGACTCGAGCGACCTATAGGGGGCGCCACCACCAAACAAACATGGCGGCTGAGTCCAGGTCGCGTCGGCTCGGCCGGGCCGCCTGAACAGGTGGTGCACTCAATTTAACAGACTTTCTTTTGTTTAATACCCAGTTTTATAGGTATTTGAACTCAGACGGTTAAGTGTAGCCGGTGCACATAAACTTGCAAAGCATAGCTTTGTTTTCCCGGTGTTTTTTGTTCATGTCAAACTTTAGTTTCGGAGATTTCATTCAAAACCGAAACTATGGGCTCCGGAGAGACGTTAACAGGCTCTAATCAATTTTGATCATCTAAGAAAAGCGGCGATGACTACAGAATTGTTGCACTGAGAGTAGTTTTCAGCTAACCCGCATACCTCGACAATGCGACTTATCTGTCCCCCGAAATCGAGCTTGTGTGCGTATCCGCGTTTAAGAAACAGCTCCAGTCGTCTGTTCGGTCAACAACACAGGCTGCTGGAACATTACGAAAATTAAACAAGTGCTTCTTGAGCCAAGGACCGCGTTAATCCGCCGGTGCCCCACTAAGCAGCTGATACTCATATTTCATTCAGGTTTTAGTAGCAATCAAGAAGTCATTTTGACGGGCGGGTTATGTATTTATATTACGTACTATGGGGGTCCCACTAAAGCAATATTAGTATATTCTTCGGGTTGAATATGAGCTTAGTTGACTAGCTATTAGTTGAACTGCTGAATAAAAGCATATTTGACAGGCAGAGATACTACTTAAACTTAGCCAAATGGTTCTATAGCCGGCAGCACGGAGACAAACTGAAGAGAGTCTTTATCGGAGATTCACGCGGAACCTCTCTGGGCATTGAACTCTGCTTCGAATCCTGAACGGAGAAAATGAGCATTTTTTGTGGCCGGTCAACCTGACCAATCTAGACGTATATTGCTGCTGGCTTCGACGGGGGTATAATATAAATGTTGGAAGGCGCGATAGATCATAATGTCGTGACAGCTTCTAACTTTGCGAGACGCGTCCCCCCACCCTTTGAAAACAGATAATTTCCCTCATTCATCATTTGCAGCGAGCAGGTTTTCCTGAATCAAGTGATCAGCCCCACTGCTTCAGTGCGGTCCAGAGGCTTTTTCGGCGAAAAGCAGCCAAGATGAATAGCCAACGCACCGACCGGCATGGGTGGCTCAAACTTGAAGCGAACCGAACACAACCAAACCCAAGAAAAGCAGCTATCGAACCTTCCCATTCACTTGACTGCAACATTGATGTTCCCTCCAGTGAAATGCTTCGTCTGTCGTCCTCAGTCCACTGTTCTAAATGCTTATAAGGAAATCATTTATCAGTTACAAAGTATTCGTCACTTTGAATGTGATTCGAGACACACAAGAAATCAAAACGTTTTTCCGTGATTCCTCCTCATTCAAGAAATCGAAAGCACGCGACCGTGTGCTGCGGAGTAAACGGTCTTTCAAACACGTGATAGAAGACAATCTACTGAGGCTTCACCACACTAATGATCGCTCGGGCAAACTTAATAAATATGTGGACCTTCGTCAAATTACACTGTTCGCCATTGCGCCGACAACACGTGTCCGCGAAAGCCACCAGAGGCGCGGAGCGACCTGGTCCGGCTGGTTCCCGGTTTTCCCGCTTGGTGGTGTCCGTTTTGCTGGAGTCGCGAATTGTTGGTAAGATGGTCGGCCAGGACCCGGAGGACAGAAAAACTTGGAACAGAAACGCCGCAAACCCGAAGACCCGAAATGCCCCTCTTGATGTGCGAAGCGGTGCACGCCATGCATGCTGCGAAGACGGCAAACTTGCCGAGCAGGGCAAGTTCCTCGCTCGGACAAAGCGTGGCGGGAATGCTGGTTGCATTATCGGTAGATGGCTGTTTGTTTCTGTGCTTAGTTTGTACAAATATATCGTAAATAGCTTTTTCTGCATTTAATGTAAATACCCATCTTTCTTCTTCCTTTTTTCTTTTCTCTCGTCATTTTTTGTGGCGGACTTTTCAAGGTTTTTCGTCACAAGTGGGCTTGCATTGCATTAGGTATACAAACAGTAATGGGAAATTGCGATCCGTTTGTTACATCAGTTGTTTCGCTATTTCCGAGTTTGTTATAAGGAGGCTGTGCTGTACGACCCACAGGTCCTTTTATAGGGCTCGGTGGTGCATACAGGTCTGGGGCCGGTATTGCCTTGGACTCATCTAGAGAGCTCCCAATGATTTGGGGGTCTGGGATAATTCACCCGAGGCGGGATGACCACCTCGTGTTGCTTGAACCACGGAAGCAGATCCTCCTCTTAGCGGGCCCACGAAGGTCTGCTCTCTCTTGCTTGGGGCGCAGAAGGACATGGAGCAGTGGCTGGCATCCCGGGACACTGTGCACAACTTCGACAAGACCACGTTCCTGTCGGAGCAGCCGGAGCCCCACCTGCCGTTCCTGTCCCGCTTCATCGAGACCCAGATGTTTGCCAGTTTTGTAGACAGCAAGATTCTCTCTCACTGGGAGGACGCCGACCCCTGCCTCAAGGTGGGTGAAACCAGATGCTCTACTAGGGAACACGTCTTACTCCGCGAAAATTCGATAGCCTCGGCACTGATAGCTTTTACATAGTTGAATTGGCTGGATGCGTGTGGTTCTGGGGTTTTCCCCCTTCGAATTAGGGGAGATGGCTGCCTGTCGTCTGTCGTCGTGGAAACCCGTCGAGACAGCAGAGATGGCTGTGGACAGCGCCAGGGTGGATAATAAAAATCGAGGTGATTTAAATTGTGATTTAAATCGCTCCGGTTTTATCATAATGATTTAAATCAAAACTTTCCCACAAAAGTAATCCCCAAAAAAAGCCATTTTATTTACTGTTAATTTGGCTATCACTCAATGCTTTCTATGTGCACTTGTTTTGTATTTAAATAAAAAAAATCATAGGGCAAAACAATTTCAAGCTAATTGAACAGAAGCAAATCTTCTGAGAAAATCTGAGTTTTTAACTTTTTTCTTAAGTTCCACTTCGCTTGTCAGCTACGTAATGTAGCTACTGCAAGCAGATCAAAATGTGAGAGAAAGAAACCATAGCGAGGCAAGTAACGTCCTATTGCAAGCTATTCAAAACACGGAAAGAAAAAGCCAGTACAGCTTTTTCACAAACTTGAAAATAATGCATGATTCTAACCGGAGATGACGGCTGACAAAGTGGACAAGGGACAAACGCACACGTCTCTGTGTTTTATATGCCATCTCACACACAACCTCCACCAAGTTTGCACACGTGCACTCAGCCATCATCACACCTTCATAGCACAGTCAATGGTTCTGGTTAGAATCATGTGCAACGTTAGCCAGCTTGCCTGTTTCTTAACTTTGTCTTAAAAAATAAGCGGCTTTTGTTCTAGTATGGCGGGTTTACATCAATATAAAGTTGTTAATTAAACTGTGCCTAAAAAGCTTAAGTGTACAGTAAAAGCTTAAGTGTACAGTAATTTGATCAGATTAATCAATTTGTCACACTTAAAGATACATAAAGTGATAAAAAATTACTTTTTTTTTTTGGCTGCAGTGATTTAATTCAAAATCTGAATTAAATTAAATAAATCTAATTTCATTAATTTTCTTTTTTTTTTAATTTATGTTTTTTTTTTTTTAATTTGGACATTGCAATGCGCTTGTGTTTTTTAGGACGCGGGGTTTCAAAACCGCTCGATTCGAGGCTGAAGACACGCTGTCTAATGCAATTGAGAATCCTAGTGTGTCTTCAGCTAGTAAGGCCCGCTTCAGACGGGGCAACTTTTCCAGCAATTTTGAAATTGCTGGCGGGTTGTTCCCTTGTTCCCTAGCTTTCCCTAGATCTACGCGAATTGCTGAGATCGGGTCCGGCTTGAACAAGCGAGCAACTCGGAGCAATTCGAAGACAGTTGAAGCAGCTGCAGCCAATCAGAGACGCAATATTTTCACGTGACACTCCTGTGGTGATGAGGATGACAGCTAAAGACTTAGTTCTGGTTTGGAATGGATCGTTTTCGGAAATAAACAGTTTCAGAAAAATGAGTTAGTATCCTCAACGCCGTTCAAACATATAAGAACGCGTTTTTAGCGCGTAGCTGCGCGTCTAAATAGTGAAAGAAGAATCAAATTTAATGATGATTATGGCAAGTCGGAGCAATTCGGTTGATATGTGTGAACGCGGGCGGCCGGTGTTGCTGGTGAAGTTGCTGGGTCAAGTTGCTGGGTGAAATTGCTCCGTCTGAAGCGGGCCTAAGGTATTTGGTGAGACATTCTTGGAGAATTATTTCTGTTGGGAAACCTCGTGTAGCAGACGGTTAGTCGGGATGCAGTTAGGTTTACGTGTTTTCGAGGTTTTTCATTCTTCAGGTTTGGGGGTGGTTTCTCATTAAGGCGACAGGCGTTATCAGCAAGGTTTGGCGCCGGCTCCCCGAGGGTGTTTCACGAAGGGTGATTGTGGCTTGTGACGTGACAGTGTCCTGTGACACAATTAGAGCGGAGCTGTTAAGGACTCTCGTTGCTGCCGTCGCTCATAGATGGCGTTAGCTGTCTAGAGTGTTGTGTTTGCCGGTTGTCCGCTTGCTGCCGTCGCTCATAGATCATGGCAACATTTCTTCGGAGGAAGAAGAGCAGGAACGGAACGAGCGGCGAAGTGCGCAGCAGCGCAAATGGTTTCAGAACTGCCCCAAGGCCGCTATCACCTAAAGTTACACTGCGTTGAGCGCTTCAGATTCCCTTGCGAAAGAAGAGCAGATCGCTCGCCTGGAAAGCCACCGCCGAGAACAGAAGCTTCAGCTCCGCTGCTCTTCCTTCTTCACCAAAGTGGAAAGGCTTAAAAGTTTTTTTGCTACTATACTAAGAGGAAAAATTTTCTCGTTAAAACTAGCGGGGACGTGCCTGTGTGTAGTCTGCGAGGTGCGATTGTGCAGCACCTCGGCTGTTGCCCCAGTTCATTTCCAAAACACGGCAAGGAACCAGGAATTTTTACAGCAAAATCTGTTACGGGCTCTTTCTACCACTGGAAATAATGTCTGTTGTTGATGTTTTAGTATAAAAGTAGTTGTTGATGTTGTAGGGCTTTTGTCATCGATGTTGCCACATCCTCGAAAAAGATTGCCCGCCGCCCGCAGGAATCCTACCTGGGTCCACTGCGTGCAAAGCGGAGGCATTACCATTGGGCTACGCCACAGCATCAACAACTCGCTCTGTACTTGATGTTTTTGTTGTATCCAGTGCCCACGGCATGCACGCTCTGGAAGGAAAAAAAATAGATAATAACAAATTTCCGTCATAGCTCTGTCAGTGCCAAGAGCTCGTGCCGGGAGATGCACTTTCACGCGGTCCGGAACAAATAAGAAACAAAAGCATTTGGAACAAAACGGTCAGATGTCTATTTTGTTCCAGACGCTTTCGTTCACGCACCCCAAAGTGTGTGAATGCGATGCCAATGCCCAACGACTTTGCCGAGACTTGTCGCTGTGTCTGTACTGTGGATTAACACAGGACTGCTCAATTTTTTTATATTGGTCTCTGGTGTTGGATGAAAATTTTGTACTTATCGGGGCTCATGTTGAAGAAAACGTTACACGAGCGTGGAATTCCCCAAACTTCAGGGAACATATGTATGACCCAAATACTTGGAAACCTCTCTGGTACGGATAAGAGGGGGAAACGAGATACCGTATTTGCTCTATTCTAGGCCGACCCCCAAAACTGCAAGGCCGAAAAAAAAACCAAAAAAACCTTGATTTTAGGTTGATCAGAAAGGAACAGTAAAACACCATAAATTAAACACAGACCGGCTGTTATTTTTGATATACAATACTAGATCGGCTACAAAGCCGACGGGGGTGTTAGCGGTTTATGTCCGCATTTTCAAATAAAGGTGCGAGCAACGCCGTTACGAGTCGCCGTAAACAACAAACAAAAATATACTTTTTTTTGTGTGTTTGTGTGTGTGTCTGCGGAGGGGAGAACGGATGGGGCAAGGAGCAAGGTGCATGGCTGGTTTGGCGTCTTGCGTTTTTCCTCCTTCCTTTCCCCTCTTGCGTAGCGAGGGGAAGTGCGGGAGCTGCGCGGCTGCGTAGACGCAAAACCCGACGTCCGAGGTGTACACGTGAGCGGCGGCCACTGCAGGGAGGGGGCCTGCTGTTGTTTTGGTTGTTTTTTGTGCACCAAAAGCTTTCTGAAACATGAAGCGGCACGACCCTACTGCGACGAATAAATACGGCAGTTTCGGTTTCGGTAGCCGACCCCCGAGTTCCGATTTTAATTTTTTTTATAAAACCTATCGGCCTAGATTCGAGTAAATATGGTAAGCGTTGTGGCTCCCTAAGACAGAAGCAGTCTTTTGGACAGTTAAGCCATGTTCTGGGCCAGCACAAAACCTGTAGATACAGATCTCTTCTCGTGAAGCGTGGATTTTCCCCTTTCAAGGACAGCCCCAATTCAGGTTTATTTATTTCGGTTTACTCCGATTTCAATCAAACCTTTTCAGGGTTTGTCGGTGTATACCGAAAGTGCTGAACCGAAAAGGCGAAACCTTCGTAACTCGGACACCTCTCAAAAGCACCGATGTGGTATGTGTCCCATGATGAACACCTCGTGAAGCTGCACAGTTCAAACAAGCACTGTTTGAGTCCGAGTTGGAGAGATTTCGCCGTAGTACAGTCGAACCCACTTGTAGCGAACTTGAATACAGCAAATTATTGCCTACGTCGAACACTCAAATATTTGGAACAAAATTTCACGTAAAAATGTATCTTTATTACGAACAACGCATTGGCTATATCGAACTAAGAAAAACACGGACATCAAAAACACTTGCATTGTTTAAAAGAGAAAAGAAAAAGGAACGCATAAAGTTAAAGCCTCTCAGACAGCAAACAAAAACGCCGACCAGAGAGACATACACAAAAAAAAAAAAAAAAAAGAAAAACAAGCAAAATAAGTTAAGGTCAGGATGTCGGCTGCTTTCGAATTACCGCTTGCTATGTTTTGTTTGTTAGCTCTCTCTTTCGTTTGACTTTCGCTTGCTAATCTGGCTCGTGCAGAAAATGGCAACCGTTTTTGTCATTCTTCGATAAACTGGAAATGATTCCTTGGAACAAAGTACAGATTTTAGTGATCATCAAAGCTCTGCCTGCTATCATGGGGCATTTGCTGCTGGATAAACTGCGGCGTTCGCATGCAACCAGCAATCCTCACTGTGTCCCCGCTGCTCTGCGCAGACCTCTTTTTCGTCTCTGTACGGTTTCGCTGGTTTTGTTTGGACTATGGCTTCACGGGAGCAAAATCACATTTCTTTCAAGGATACTATTGCCATACTGCAGATAGTGGATCTAAGCCTACACGAAAGGCTTTACAATCAGCTAAAATGGTAAACGATTTTCCTTTCTGCTCGCACCTGGGTGCTGCAATTTCGTAAACGTCCTCGCAGAATAAACAGCTCGAAAGCTACTTTTTGTTCCAGCTGTTAGCCCGTCTAGAGCATTATCGGTTACGTTTTCGTGGGTCATGGATGTCTTTCGCAGTCTGCCGAAGAATGCCGTAACGCATGTTTACCAAAGTGTCAAGAAAATTCTTCATTACAAAGCCCAGGCATTAAAATTTCCAGTAGACCTGGTTTTGAAATAACGAATTATGGGATACATAGAACTAAAATGTGCGTCTGACGGAGTTTGGCATAAACGGGTTAGACTGTATAGTAGTGGCAGTAACTTGGTTGATATTTTTTGTTTCTTTTTGACAGATTTTTGACAACCGGATAAAGCTGCTGCGGAACCAGTCCAGCGAGCCCATCGTGAACTGCTACGAGCGCTGCACCATGTACAGGGAGACGGGTGCGCCTTTTGTTCTTTTGGTTGCTCTGCTGGGTAGAGGCTGGCTCACACATGTTCATTTGGCTGCACTAAGACCGCTTGGAATAGCTTATGAGAGAGCACACAATCTATCAGTAACCTTGAAACACTTTCGGTCTGGGTATATAATTGGATTGAGGGCATTGCAGCAGTTGCAAGATCAGATCTACACCCTACCTATGAGAGATGGTCGTGAATAATCATTGTCGGAATTATTTGAAGCTCACGGTGAAGGAATCATATGCGTAAATGAATTGCAGACGAGAAGCATTCCTGGGCCGACGGACAGATGGCGCCATCGTGGTATGTGTTTATAAGCCATCGCAAGTGCTTGTTGTAGTGCAGTTGATTGCAGTCAAACGCAAATGTGTGAGCACCTACACAAAGCAAGGCAGCTGTAGTAGCCAGCTGCGTAAAGTGGTATGCGGTGTGCCTCAGCTTGTTTACAAGACCTGCGACCGCAATATAAGATGTCTGAACGTGTGGACGCGCAGCATGGCGAACGCTCGGGCACAATCAACCAGATAAATAGCGTTTTGTTGCTTTGGCATCTTTGTGCGAGCCCATTCCACTCTGCGCGTCTGCTTTCACCTCGACAAACGCTGGCTTGAGCACCGTGTCAGAGATCTCTAGATCTCTTCACTTCAAAGCATTCATATAACTGTTTTTGTCGCTTTTGAGACAAAACTAGGGTCACTGGCGAAGTTGTGTCTAAGCAACACGCACATCGCAAGTGCCGAGTTCTATGTGGAACACAAGTTTGTCTGCTTGTCTTGCAGAAATTATGGCGACATCAGAACGCCGAGCTCTGATTGGCTCTGATTGAAGGATAGTGGGCAGACCTCAAAGCAAGCTGTTTTGAGGTCTGCCCACTATCTTCAATAAGAGCCAGTCGGAGCTTGGTGCTCTGATGTCACCTCCACCCCTGCAAAAGAAGCAGACGAACTTGCGCTCCGCATATGATGTGGCACACCCAGAAAACGACCTTATAAACAAGCATGTCTCTCATGAAGGAGCCTGGGAAACTGGACCCGCGAAAAGCAACCACAGGCCTATCGTTGAAGAGTCATCTGGTGGTGCCGGTTGCAACCGAGGCGAGGAACGGACTTTATCTGGCAGCTGCTAGACACACAGTGTCCACATCTACAAATATCTTGCACCGTACCCGCGACTGGCCGGGTCGTCGTGCTTGACTCCTGTCCTCCTCGGTGCAGAGGTGCCCATCGAGAACCGGTTGTCGGCTCCCGACCTGGCGGCCCCCAACCCAAAGGTGATCGACCCCTCGGTGGACCTTCCGGGGCGGAGGAACCACCGGGCAGGCGTCTTTCCCGCCCTCGACTCGGGCGTCCTGAACCGGCAGCCCGCCCAGTCCAAGTGAGTGCGCCCTTTGGTTGAGCTATCCACCTATACTCCATTTCACCTTGCGACAGACCGCACCAAACTCTGCAAGGTGTTTTCAAATGTTGTGTTGGCGTAAAAAAAAAAAGAAATTCCTTTAAATAAATCAATGAACTATGTGCAATAAAACTTTCCTCCAGGGTGTCTTTTTGTGCTGCATTTGTCGTTCTCAAAATTCGTGTGTAGATTTTAGGAAACAAATTCAGGCCTAAAAAATCTTTTTTTTTTTCGTATGCACAAGGAGAAGAACGGTAAATAATGTCTGGTTGACGCCATCTCACAACGGAAAGCTAAAACGCGAACGCTTCTTTGAAATGAACATGTGAAGGCAAACCCATCAGATCCGAGCGTATGTGGCGCCATCTGTTAGTTGCAGCATCAGCCAGACAGTTTTTTATTGTTTTCCTCCCTGTGCATAGGAAAAAAACTGTATTTTTTTAGGCTTAAATATTTTTTTCCCCAAAACCACACTCTTGTGGTTTGAGTACGATAAATGCGCCACCTCAAGACACCTTTGTGAAAAGTTCCAATGCACTTCGTTCGTTGGCTTATCTGTACGAGGATTTTCTACGCCCGCATAGCACTCGGAAACGCAGTGTACCAGCCGTCTCTGCCGATCCAGCGCTGGGAACGTATTGCGTGACCTCGCGCCCCACACACTGCTGCGCCTCTCCCGAAGGTCACGTGTCGCTCGCACGGCGTCGGATTCGCTAGGTTGGCTCGTAGCATCCGCTGCTATCCATTGTGAGATGAGACGGAGTGTAGTGTTGTGACTTGTGCATATCAGTTTGTTTCGCTTATGACCTTGAGTTCATCCTGAACATTTTTGGGGGGCATGGGCAATAGTTTGGCTCAGATGAACCAACAAATCTTGGTGGTTTTCTTTCATTAGATGCTTAGATAATAGTTTAATCTCTGGGATGTTGCACTCGTCGAACATGGCTTGACCGTGTGTCACCCTTGCAGAATCAAAAAACGGGCGCACGCCCAGTTTCGACGGAAGGACCGCTCCCTCCAACACGCCGAGCATTTGAAACTTAACGCAGAGCAACGGGAGGTGAGCCCCCTTCTTGTTATTTTCTTTTTCTTTGAGTATTGTATTTTAAGGTTTCAAGCATGAGAATGATAGTTGCTTGTTGCTGTAGGTGTACTTCCTCTTTGCTCGAGACAATCCTCAAATGTCTTGGAATAAAATTTGTTCGCTACAAATGCTTTTCTGTCATGTGCTGGACTTTGTATGTGCCATTATTGTGTGGCTTTAAATTTCTAGAAACAATTGCATGGTATATTATTCATTAGCTTGGAAGATATTAATTAGTAGCATGCACGGCTGTGTGATTGCAAAGCCACAGATTGCGAGTTTCCATCAACATACGCAACTAAGAAATGTACCAGGTATCTAGGAGATTACGTATATGCATGTATGTTCCAGAAAAGTGGACGTTGCATTGCATCACGATTTCAAACACCTTGCTTGAAGACTATATATTTTGTGCACATTTACTCAGTTTGCTCGTTTTGCACCCTTAGTGCGATATTGTTATGTTAGGAGTACCAGACGTTTTACGCCTGGACAAGTGGCTATTTGTTTGTTCGCCTGCCAAGTTTTGCAATTTTACACACGCTGCATGTCACCAGATGCATTTTTGACACATGGACATTCTGTTGCGCAAGGATTAGCGTCACCTGACGAAGTCACGTAACTTGTATCATTTCTGAATCTTGCGTCTAGTCTGCCCGTGCCAGCACAAAACCAACGCATGCGCAGTTGTGGCAAGTGAGTAGCAATTTGTGGTCCTTTTTGTTTGCATTTATTTGTGCCTGTTTTAGCTGGGATGCTACCTAACATTTCTCAGTGTATTACTATGTTTTTGCCATTCAAATGTGTGCATTGTGAAAACACCTAGTGCAGTGGTTCTCAACAACTGATGTTTAGGGGACCCCTTTTAGATCAGCGGAAGTGATGGGGGGGCTATTGGACGATTAGTATAATTGTGTTGCATACAGAAACATTCTAGCATCTCAAACATTTTCATTGTCATTTAGCAGCACGTCTAGCCTGTTCAGCCAGACGTCTACATTCACGGCGCCCTTCAGCAGATAATTTAGCGTGTGGCGTGTGTACACTTGAATTGATGATTCTGGTGATCTTCCAGAGCCTTGTAACCCACTGCTCCTCTCTCACCTTGCCTCCTCGCCTACCTCTCCTCCTCACCCTACCCCTGGTCACGTAAACCAATTGGCATCGAGCACCTCGCTCCTCCCCTCTCACCCGTCAACCAATCAGTGTCTAGCCTCGTTGCCACGCTTTTATCCAGGCGTCACTTTTGGGCTTCACGAAAATCTGAACACCTACCCAAATAATGTTTCACATTAAGCATGCAAACGAGGTTTGACGCTTTGAAAAGGAGAATAATCAACCTTACTCTCATTTGGATCACTTGGTTTGGTTTATTTAGCTTTGTGAGACAGCCAGTATCAACAAAGAAAAGAGAGGTTTATTGCTCGGCTTGACTGACAGTCGAGGGCTTTGCAGACCCTGATAAGACCTTCAGGGGCTGTCGTTTTGAGAACCGCTGACCTAGTGCATTTGGGAAGTTCCAAATAACTGCCTGACATTACCTCTTTTTTTGGGGGGTATTTTCTAAACTACTATATGTAAGGTGTCTGTGATACCCAGGCTCGATCTAAAATTGGCCGTAAAAATTGGTGTTTGCACGTAGCAATCTAAACATTTGGTCAAAGCTGTATATTTCACAGGCCGGTTTTATCATGCAAAATTACAAAGCATAGCTCCCTTTCTGTAAAAAAATGGAGCCAAGAAACTTGCCTGGGTCAACGGCGGACGGCGACGCAGACGATCGAGTCAAGTGGCGGAACACGTTAGGCATTCATATTGGTAGATGGCGTCAAGAGCAGCGTCAGAAGGTGTAGCTGACCAGAGAAAGAAAGCAGGCTGCGTGCAGACAAAATCCGTCAACAGCAAGAGCGCCATCGTTATGCAACCGCGTTTTCTTTAATTCTTGCTACGTCAAGTTTTGCTCTCATTGTCTGCGTTTATTTTTAAACCAAAGGTACATTACAAAAAGGGTATCTTCACTTTAATAGACCACAGTTGTCACGAGCAGTCTCAATGATAAGGAGGTAGCATCATCTATCAATATGTGCTCCAAACGCACCCCGCCACACGACTTGGTTGTCTGCATCACCATCCGCCGTTGACACTGGCAAGCTTTTTGGCCAAATTTTTTTACAGAAAGGGAGCTACGCTTTGTAATTTTACAAGATAAAACTGACTTGTGAAGTACACCTTTGACGAAAAGTTTAGATTGCTACATGCATGTGGCAATTTTTACGGCCCAATTTAGATCGAGCCTGGGTATTTCAGACACTCTAAATATCTAAACATATCTAATTTTTTTTTTATGACACTGTTTTTTTAAAATTGGGGTCCAACTTAAATAATTGGCACCAGTTCTCAGCTCATCATGCTAACCAAGATACTCTGCTGCATCATCCGCGTCTCTGAGCGCATTCTTCGAAGTGGAAATGCTATTGAGCATCTTGTTTTTCTCTCTCTGATTTGATTCCTGATGTACAGTCGCTGGCTGATTTTTCGGACTCGGAGGGGATCCTGAAATTGTCGGAATAATCAACCAGTCACAAAAATATATTTCAGCCAAAATATCAAATTTCCTACATATTCTTCTGTGCATTGACCACTTTCCACTTGGTTGATGTCAATTTTAAAGGGGCACTGACACATCAAAATCATATTTTTTTTTATTATCCGAAACGATTGAAAACGATGCCGGGACATTACCCTCAAAATTTGAAATCTGGGAATTCAGTATTTGTGACGTAAAAAAACAATTTCCAAATGCCGAATTCAAAGTTCCCGCGCGATCTGCGCCGGTGCGTTGACGTCAAATATTGCGGAGTCCTGAGAGTCCACTTTCTTTCACGACTCCCTGTTGTTGCCATGGCGACCCAAAGCGAGGAGGAAAGGAGCGAGCGCCGGCGTTGCGGCGGACCGGTTTTGAGCGGTGTCGCCTGTTTCCCGTGGGAGGATAGAAATCCAGTAGACGGCACCACAACAAACTCCCGATTTTTGGTATTTCAAAAAGAAGGGCCGTAGTGCGTTCGCAATTGCGTTAAAAAAACATGTTTTCGGATTCCCGTTATTAAATGTTATAAAGACGTCGCCTACAAAGCTTCTAAATTTCATGATTCTTGACGTCGCAAATCAAAAGAAGCGAGGAGGCGAGAGGCGGGAGATTCAAACGCCAAAAATAAAAAGGCGCGCGCCGAAAAGTTTCTTTTTTCGCGATGCGTTTTTTTTAACGTTTTTATGACTGCAACTTGCACCGTTTTAGACAATAAAAAAAAATACGACCTTTGGGGTGTCAGTGCCTCTTTAAGTTCTTGTGAAACTTCCGCTTTATATTGTTCACTTTTCACTTGTTTGTTGTTGTTGATCTGTTGATCACGGTGCTGCGCTTTGTTGGCGCCTTCGTTGGCACAAACAGTGAACTTGAAGTTGGCGCCATTTGGCACATCTCACTTCAATACTAAGCCTATCGGTAAAAAACTTTTGAGCTCGAAAACCACAAGAATGGCGGATGGCCGCTCTTCTCGCAGTCGCACTCAAAAAACACGGACCACGAGAAGAACTGGAAGTCATAAGAATGGGCAGGCGGCAGTCATGTTGGCTATAGTGGAACCGGAAAACCTGACTATAGCCTCAACCTAGCTTGTTTATTGTGTAGGACATGGTATCGAGGCTACAGGCCAAAATTATGACAACCAAAATGGCAGTGACTAAGCTCACGGCACTATCGCAGCGGCTGTTTAATGGCTGTAAACTGAGTAAATCACACAAACTATGTCAGAAATATCAAACAATAAGCTTTAAGGCGACCGAAATTTTTGGTTACTGTTATACGTTAACTCTATGGGGTAAGTGACATTTCAGCGAAAACGTCCAAATAATCGGTGTCCAAAAAATTGGTCGGCGACTGTAGGTCTTATTGCTTGCTAGAGTTTGTTGTCATCTGGCTTTGATATTATAATGGGGTGATGATAAAGAAAATTTAAATTGGAATAGTACACGAGAAACAATATTCAGAGATAACTAGGGAGTTTAACATTTGCTGTAATATCCTAAAAGGGATGAGTCTCACCCCCGAAAGATAACTCGTTCGTAGTTTTGACATGATTTGCTATTTGTTTTTTCAGAAACACCAAAAGATAGTCCACTTGTAGTAGTAGTAATTGCAGTGCTCTGGCCAACGGTGACCTCGGCTAAAATGGGGTTAGTTAGCTCTGGCTGGAGAGAAGCAAACATAGCTGACTGGGAAGGACCGTTGTCCATGTTCTGTTGTTCCGCAACGTAAAAACAAGTTTGGAAGGTCGCAAAACACGGAAATACCGTTATTTAAATTTTTTTGGTCGCTCCCTCCCGTTAGTTTACTTCTCATTTTCACGCTATTTCGTCTCAGTTGTAAGTGAGCTATCTATATTATGGCAATGAAGAAAACAAATACATTTAAAAAGAAAAGAAAACTTAAAGGAGCATATGCACTCACTGGGTTGTTGATGCAGCATAGTACAGGAGATTTAATTCACAGCACTTGAAGAACTTGATTCACCGGCTTTAGTACATCTTTTTTTTTTTTTTCTTTCTTTTTCTTTTTTAAGTACCAAGTGAGTTGAGCAACCAACGATCACACCTTCAGCATGCTCTGGTTTGTAGGTGGTGGCTTCAGCTCCGTGGGAATGCCTTTTCGAGCATGCTTCACTTCCGGGGAATCTGTTGGGAAAAGAGCATTGGAACTGGAGTCTTGACCCAGTTGTGGCCTATGCCACCGGGTCCAGCTTGTCCTTGCACGAGGCATCCCAGTCTGAAATTTGTGGTTCTTGGACCAGGCACGTAGCCAGGATTTTGGTTCGGAGTGGGGCCCGCCCATGACAAAATGCTGTCTGAGGGGGAGGGGGGAGAGGAGGTTCCAGCAAAATAAAAGATATCGGAGGGGGCCCGGGCCCCACGGACCTCCTCCCTGGCTACGTGCCTGTCCTGGACACTTGCAGCGTGGACCCAATGACGTATTAGTCCTTCGAAGAGACGGCACAAATTGTTTTTTTCAGCAAAGTGCGATGTAATTCAGTATAGAGGTGTAATATTAGGTGGTTCGTTTTTTTTTTTTAACAAAAACATGAAAGGAAGATACCACCTGAATGAAAAAAAAATTGCAGAGAAAAAACTTTTTTTATTTTTTATGGGTTTTACCTAGCTTACGTAAAACCATTAAATGACACGGTGGCCTCACTGTGTAGTGCACTTTGGCAACGTGAAGGAGATAAAATGTGAGACAATTTTGGTTCCTGTTTTTTGCTTTTCTTTTTTTTAATTTTGCAATTGCTTGCACTGTTCTTCGATGACTTCACAAAAAAGGCTTAACTAAACATTGCTCTATTTAAAACAAAACCAAATTTGTTTGTTCCTTTTTTGCTGAAGCGGGCTTATATTTTTGCACTTTTAATAATAAATACTCTGCCTACAAACATTTTTGTAGTAAATCGTATCATGATACAATAAAAAAACAATTTACGCGGTCCTTTTAAAGAGCCGATGTGCCGTCAGGTCCACGCTGCACTTCTCTGCTTCACTGCACCAGTACAGTTATTTGAGTAAAATGAGCGTGACTTGATGTTATTCGAGTAATGCAACACGATCAAGTTTTACGATATCTGATTCTGTTACAACATTCCAGTTGTGTGGCTGGTAGCACTGCCCTTGGACATTCAGCAAGATGCGTTAATTATATGGCATTCACTGTGAAGTTCTGTTGAATCAACCCGGTTGGGGTATTTTTTTCTTCACATTTTACCACGGAATCCTTGTATAACTATACATAATGAAAGATAAGTTTTTTGTCAGCTGTAATACCTATCGCAGGGTGTGTACATATAGATTCATGCAGCAAATGTCTGCTGGTACGATGGAATACATTTCTTTGCTTTACTTTATTTAGCTTAGCTTTATAGAGGGGATAGGCTCTGTTCAATTTCTATGTCCTGGAAACCACAAATTTGAGCTTGGGCTGACTGTTCTGAAGGCCTCTTTTTGCACAAGCAAGCAATGAATTTTCCGTAGCTGATGTGGGTATGCCAAGATTGACAAAAAAAAAGGGGTTTCGCATTTTGCATAAATAAGCTGTGTTGCAGGAAGTTGAAACTGAGCATGAAAGTATCTTTTAGCCCAAATGATAATGTTTCTCGAAATTTCAGCTTGTAGTGGTGCTTTAAAAAATAAAAAAAAAAGAGATGGAAATGTTTTTTGGAAATGAAAAGAAGTAGTGATTTACTATCGACGGAGCAATTGTCATTTGTTTGTGAGGATTGCTCCTAACTTTATTTCTCAATGTTATTACCGAAACTTTACGTTTAGGCTCCGAGTCACTCGTACTAAAAGAGTTTCGCCTAGAAGTGAGGTCTACTTCTAGCCGACGGGTCGTTTTATCTCCCACGTTTGGCGGAACCCCATTCGTGGTTGCTAGACCGTTGACATTCTCAAAGGTCTGCCGAACATTCCCACAACAATCTGCTCCGGCTAGTGTCAGCTTCGGTCGGGGTTTGAGCTTCCTGCAAAGCGTAGCACGATTGTGCGACATGGAAAACCACAATCCGTCTTCCTGGTGCACGTGGATGGTGGTGGCTGTACTCTTTGTATCGGGCAGTACCTCGTGTCACCCAATGTAGCCACGTGCCATTAGGAGTACGGTGGTTGCCGGACACGTGTGTGGTGCGAGCTCCTTCTTCCCACCTTGCCACCCCGGTCAGAAATACATGCACGAGGCGCGGGCCAAGCACATGAAGCAGCCCAAGCTGAGCGACACGGCGTCGGCGGCCGTCATCGCGCAGACCAACTGGAAGTTTGTGGAGGCTCTGCTCGGCGAATGCAAGACGAGGGTGAGTGGTTTGGGCGCACTTCCTGTTGGCAGCACTCATTGCACGGGACTGTGAGGTTTCGTCTATTGACTCCATCTGGTTGATGAGTCATTTCACATGGTGCAACCCTCTGAAGAGGCGAGTGCACGTTGCCCCGGAGGAATTGTCACCGTTCTCAACTCCTAATGCTGATGGTGACGTTGAGCCAATAAATGTTTTTGTATAAAGTAGCTTTACAGCGTTGATAATGTTTTAGGGGTGACTTCCAAGCTTAGAATGCCACGGAATGTTGCAAAGAAGATGCGGTAATACGGCAAGTGTTTTTTTACAGAAGACTGCGTCCCTCAATGATTATTGAAACGCTGTTCTCTTGCTGAGTAATCCGGTACTCAGCCAAAGCTGCTCTGCGCCAGCAGAGCAGCTTTGGTTAGCGTGGCAATAGCTGGTATAAATGAACTCGTTTTGCCGTGGACTAAGATGCATCCAAATATTTTTAGACATCTTATCGATTAATGCCTATAAATACAGTTCAGTTTTTTTTTTCTCATCTTCATCCTTTGCCTGGCGGTTTTGTGAATTTGTCTTAAATTATACAAAGAAATGAGACAAAAGCATCTGTTCTTGCCTCCTTTCTCCTAAACGTCTTCCTAATCTGAGAGGTAGAGCAGAATTAGTTAAGATTTAAGTTTTCCTTATTAAAGTGAGCCTTGGGATTTGCACGAAATTACAGTCGGTGTGCAGGCAGCTCGTAGAAGTTTACCATAATGATTTTAATCCAAAACTGGGGCAGAGAGAGGAAGAATTTTTTTGCAGTGTAAGAGAAAGTAGCGGGGTCAGGCATCTCTAACTCGGCTGATAATCTTGTCAGTTTCTCATATTTGGGGAGAAATAAAGCTTAAATTCGGAATTTGCATCACAACATTATTGGGGTGCCAAATCAGTGGTTTGGTGTTGGATGTTTTTAACAAAACAAGTTGAATTAAATGCTCGGGGTCCCAGAGGTTCTGTCGCACATTTAATTGAGTTGTTACAAAATTGATGTTATTGAGAAAAAATAATTTAGGGTTTTAACATAAAAGATTATACAAGCTTGATCATGCTGGCAAAGATGGTCAACGCAAAATGTGTGATAGGCTTCCCAGGGAAGAAAAGAAGGGCACCTGCAGTGCCTACCGAAGATTCACCTTAATTTTTGAAAGACACCGTGAGTTTACTCTACATTACTGGAAAGGTCGCAAAGTATGCGAGCTCGTTTATGCGCCACGCGAGCGAGCTTGCTCTTGCGTGGTCCCTACCGCTGACTCTGGATAGCTCAGTCGGCGAAGCACTTGGCTCATAATCTTAAAGGGATACTGAACCAAGGAATTTAGTGTCTATAATAGGTGGCACACATTCTTTCCCCGAGCCAGCAGCCGCCGGTGTGCACGAGCACAGGCAACAAAAATGACGTCAAAGACCTCCATTCGCGGTTAAAGGGCCCATGAAACGAATTTTGGGTTGGGATAAATCATTTGAGACTGGGATTTTACTAATAGCACACTGTTCAGTGGGCCAAAAGAAGAAAAGTAGAAAGACAAAAGCCTGGCTTTCAGTGCGAAAATTTCAAAAAACAGCGGACTATTTCGTACCTCCTCCCCTTCGTAAGCTCTCTGCCTTTTCACTGTGATACATCCGCGGTCCCAAAAGCGCGTCATCGGGTCCAAACGCACGTCACAGGAAACCGGACCTCACTTATTCCCTTCACCCCTAACCTGACATAGTGGTGGAAGCTACGCGCTTGCCGGACCAATCAGCCGCCTCCCTTTCATCACCTTACCTCATTATCTGGGGATTGATGGCCGAGTGGGCTGAAGCGCACACCCAGCTCGACGCGTGTGGAGCGAAAGCTCGCGCTGCAGAACCCAGGGATCCTGGGTTCAAGCCCCACCCCTGCCCGTTTCGATCTGGATGAGCATCGTACCGGCGTGCGGTCGTGTATCACTACTGCGTAGGCACGTTAAAGATCCCAGGTTAGCAGTCGTACTGCACTGGCAAAATTGCTCATCTACAGTGTAAACCAGTGTCGCCTCTACTGGCAGACCAACCTTACGCTGTATAAATTACAAACGTCCAATTTGACTTTGATTTTTGACCTCATTATCTGCGCGTGGGTATGCGCGAAGGAGCGTGATCACGTGTCAAGTGTGGCTGGCCCAAAGAGCACGTAGCTTCTACAGCACTGTCAGCTACGGGGTGAACGGGGTGGGGAAAGCAACTTTTGTCTGAATTTTGAGCGACGGGCTAATCTTCTAGGGGGACAATGGCTCTGTCCAGCTATACAAACGAGATCCCGAGCAAGAGGGGACTCCCCCCTTTCCGTCTTCTTGAACTATTTAGTGGAATGCGCGATTTATGAGTCGAGGAGGAAAGCTAAACAGGAAAAAGTTGGAAAAGCGTTTCATGACCCCTTTAAAATGACAGTGAAATGTATGGGCTTCGGGCCAGAAGAGAATAAAGACAAGTTTTTCATCTGCAGAGTGGTGTCTGGTGTAAAAGATAAGCGATTAATTGGACTAACAAGCACATACCTTTCACTTGTAGAGATGAAAAGCCTGTCTCTATTCTCCGTTTCGCCCGAAGCCCATGCATTTCACTGCCCTCTTAAGCGCGAATGGAGGTCTTTGACATCATTTTCCCTGCGTGTGCTCGCGCACACCGGCGGCTGCTGGCTCGTCAAAAGAACGTGTGCCACTTATTATGGGCACTAAATTCTTTGGTTCAGTATCCCTTTAAGGTAGTGAGTTAAAATCCTGCCTGGGGATGGAAGTTTTTTTTATACAGTTCCCTATGGGCGTTACGTTTTTGGCGCCATTATTTCGTCATATCAGAACTCGAAAACAATCATTGCAGAAAAACTTTGTGGATATCTCGAGCTCAAAAACGTTTTGCACTCCAGGTGCTTACGGCGGGTAAACCGACGGGCTGCGTTCATCGCACCCTAAAACGTGTGGTCTCAGTAATTACTTTATAGGCAAACCAAAGCTAATGTCTGGCAGAGTGGAATTTCGGTCGAAATGCTGGAGAAGGCAACCGGTAACTGAGAAATGAGAAACAGTGAAAAACGGACAAGAGGATTACAGCACCGTGTCTGTCTACTTCTCATTTTATCGTCTGTTTAGTGCCCTTTCTCATTTTCCTTGGAAGGGTCTAAAACTGTCAATGGACCCGTTTGATTGAGCCCCCAGTCCCCTGGTCTGTGGCACGGGTGTCAGACTGGCACGTTTGCACTGTCCTCATTTGTGGCCCCTGAACTTTTGCCTGGTGATGTCATAGAAGCTTCATGCTGTCACCTGTCCCGATCCTGGCAGTAGCACAGCAGCAGAAATGGATGTGGCAGACGCCTCTTTTGCTACAGGTAGTTCTGCAGTCGGACAGTTGATGTAAACCAGGGGTCTTAAAACCCCGGCCCATGGATCAGGCCCACGAAAGCCTTCCGACCGGCCTGCGGCTGGCCGCACGTCCTCAAGTTAGGCCCGGCCCGCGGCCCGCTTTTGGCAGGCCCGTTGCCCTTGGCGCGAAAATGAGCGCACGTAAAGAAACGGCGTTGTGACGTGCAGTAAGCGAATCATATTCGTTCCGATTGGTATCCCACTGATAGTTTTGTGCCATATTTATGGCATATTGTCATCATAGTGTTCACCAATGCTAGTCCTTTGTGCTATGTCACTCTGTGTTAAAATACATATAAGGAGATGGATGGCACATTCACGAAAAATGTGACTGTTGTACCTTTGCGTCTTATGAACACATTGTGCTTAGTGTGTTTTATCATAACTGTCGCATATTTTTCGCACAAGTTCTACCATTCTAATATAGTTTTCTGCCCTTTGTAAATATGTGAATCTTCTATTCGCTCATTATTTATGTCTTGCATGTTTAGTGGGTCAAAGCTTTTTTAATGTCACAATTAGCTAAATGTGTAATGTCAAAATAAAGTAAACGTATTATACACCTTCCTTTATTTTAAGATTCCTATAAATTGAATTAATTAATTTAAACGATGATTGATTTACTTTTTTGTCGTTTATATTGGCTTATTTATTTTTCGGCCCTCGAAACTGCGACAACTCCCCAACCGGGCCCCTCATCCATAATGTTTGGAGACCCCTGATGTAAACTAAAGTAGAGCCAATGTGGGACGCTGCAGTGACGGCCACCTTTGAGTCTGCTCACTTTCTTCGCCAGAATCGTGACAACTGACAGATTGACATGTCGGGTCTTGGACATCATTTGTTGCCGCCTCGGGACCGCTTTTGGTGCCTGGGCTGTACGGGACGCCAGAGACGCCAGTCAGGGATGCATTCCGGACACTGTACCATTGTGAGAGTTGACAGTTTTTCAATGTGGCTTCCCAGACCAAGCGCATGCTGGTGGAGAAGATGGGGGTGGAGGCCGTGGAGCTGGGACACGCCGAGGCCAGCATCACGGGCCTCGAGGAGAACACCCTCCTGGCGTCCTTTTGCGACCTCCTGGAACGCATCTGGTCGCACGGACTGCAGACCAAGCAGGTGCGTCCGCCCGCCGCCTGGGCCGCGGCACGCTCTCCTCGTTTTGCATCGTGCTGTTTCAGAAACAATGCCGTTGAGAACTTTGGTTTTTACGACCGTATATGTAGAGCGTTGTGTAGTTGAGTGTTACTGGATGTCCTCGTTGAGAGTAGTTGATTCAGCCATCAGAAGATGGCGTCACCACCTCTGGTGTCAGTATAGACCGGCACGCTGTTTACAAACAAGCCCGCGTCTGCCCACACCAAATGTGGGCACTGCGCAAGCGCAGAAACCGAATTTGCATGAAGTGAAACGTCTGAGCATGGGCTGCACCGTCGACAGCGCCACCGCAGCTGCGTGACGTCAGGGCCGCATGTTGGTCTGTATGTTGTACAGGACTGATCAAAAAGGTTCCTAAATGCGTGCAATGTATAAGGTTCGCCCTTTTTGTTTTGGGGGTCCGTGCCTGAGATGTAGCCTCGGTGGCAACATTACACTAGAGACGTCGCAGTGTTCACGATAGCTGGTGTCTGACTGCGGTGCTGGTACAGCGACAAGTCCTTAGAGATGGAATTCTTGGGTCATCTTTTTTTTATGTGATAATGTGACTTCGTGCAACTTTGACATGCCACTCTGATAGTTGGAGCTTTGCGGAGTGTTTGGTAATTTTTTTCAAAGAATGGAGTCTTCTTGCTTCTGACGAATGGAACTTGCAACGGGTGAAACAGTGTTTCCTAGTCTCTTGTTGTGATTCTTGTTAACTAACCTGTTTATCCTGACGGAGAAAGTTTTTTCGAGGACCAAGATATTTCTACTACAGTAGTTTGGTTCCACAATCAACAACAATCCTGATAGCAATCTTTGTGATGCAGCTTTTCGAATAAAGAGATTGATAAATGATAAAGATTTAAAATTTGGGCAAGTTGGTTATGCATTAAGGAGCTAAAAACCACGGTTTTTGTCTCTCTTTGCACCAATTTTGTTTTCTTATTGTTTGATAAGGAGCAGCCCACCACAGTAATAGGCCAACAAGAGCATTCTTAACACAATGTCTCTCTTCAAATATGGAGGAACAAGAAATTAGCTCATTGAGCTTTCGCTCAATGAGCTAATCTTTTGCTTGTTGAGCGAGAGCTCAACGAGCAGCGGTGCACTACTGCACGCCGCACAGCGGCGTGCAGTAGTGCACCGCTGCTGTGCGACGCGCATTAAAGACGCCAGGCTAGCAGTCATGCTGCACTGGCTCAATTCTTCGTCTACAGTGGAGACGCCAGACGACCATCGGGGCTGGCCGATTTCCAGCTATCCGAGCATACATGCTACACATTTACTTTGTACCGAAAAGCCTAGCCAAGGAAAATCGGTCGCCAAGCTGATGGGTCCGCCGCCGTCTGTCCAGGGAAAGTCAGCGCTCTGGTCACACCTGCTGAATTACCTCGAGGTCGAGGAGTGCAGAGCGAGTGGGAAGCCCATAGACAGGAATTTTTTAACTCCAGGTAAGATGTTTGTATAGACTTCTTTTATTTCTTTTTTTACTGCTAAAAGTTGAATGCTGATGCATTGTTATCAACTGACAATGCTGATGCATTGTCGTCAAGTCAAAATGCTGATGCACTACTGTCATTAAGCTTAAATGCTGATGCATACCGTAATATCCCGAGAAATGCCCCATCCCCGAAAGATTACCCACCCCTATTTTTGGCACGATTTGCTACTTTTTTTTTTTTTCTAAACCATCAAAAGACAGCTTACATGTAGTACTTGCAGGGCCCTGGCCAAGGTTGACCTCAGCAGTTATGGTTTTACTTAGCCAAGATGGAAGATAAGCAAACATTGCTGGCTGAGAAGGAGAGTCGTCTTTGGTTCGTTGCCCTTTTCTGTAATCAGAAGTTTCACAGGTCACAAAATCTAAACCTAGCTAGCATTTTTTTTTCAACTTTTTCGATGGCACTTTTCATGTTATCCCACTCCTTGTTTTCACCAGATTTGCTTCCGATTTTAGGTGGGCTATCTCTCAAAGTATTACGTTCGTCATCAGGTTTGAATGTTGGTGCATTGTCGTCGAGAATCCATCTCCCCTTTTGTCCTGTTGATAACTTGTCTTGCTTTTGCATGTTATGCCTTCTTTCTTGCTTCTGTGGCGGCCTTGTCTTTGGGCTGACAGATTCTATCATCTTGGTACTGTTAGAAGAGGCTTTATTTGTCTGGTTACTCGGCGGGCTTGTGAATGTGTGTGCGATGCCTGTGCTTGAACAAAAACGGTATGTCTATTTTTGTGACTAGCAGTTACTAAACAGTAACCTACCACCTTGTTGCATCATTGCAGTATTATTAATTCCTCCAGTTCTGCCAATATTTTTTACATAAAAAAATCTTTTTGTAACTTTTTTTTAGCTGCATGATCCATGTAGCTAGTTACAAATCTGTATGCCTGAAAGCCTTTTTTTAAAAGATCGCAAAAGTTCTTTGTCACTTACTGAGGCAAGGCTTGCTTTGCAAATAACTATTCATGAAACCAAAAATATATTTTTTTTTTGTGTGTGTAGAGTTAGCAACCATTATTAAATATGGCCAAAGCCTCGAATAATATTCATTATTTAATTGTATTCATACTGACTTATGTTGGAATTATTTGGAGGAAAAGTGTTGTGAGGCTGTTACATTGGATAACGCCCCATTTTAATTGGGTTTATTTTTCTCTTCTATGTCCTTAACTTCTGCTGAATATTTGGTTCAAGTCCATTGTAGCTTGTTAATAGAGTGGAGAAATGTACTCTGAAAATGCAGAGTTGCTGCTCTCCCTGTGAAGAGTAAAACAAACAAAAATTGGAAGTTCCCTGTTAGCCAGTCTCACACACGTGCACAACATGCTCATTTACATGCATTACAGATTTATTGTGGGCACACGTGCATGTGCAAGAATGACTGTGTTTCATGCTCCTTGAGGTGCATAATTGAGTAACTCTGAAAGGTTTATTCACACGGTCCATTTTTCAGCGCGCAGTAGTTTTGCGGAATAGGCTAGTTCACTCTAAGAGTTTGACGTGTTGACTTACAAGGATTTCGTCAAATCTTGTCGTCCGCACCGGGAATATTGAGCATTTTGCTTCAAATGATATGAAGTATGCTCAGTGTTAAGAGACAGTCTGCTTTATTAAAGGGAACTCCGGTCGAAAACGAAACCAAAATAAATGACTGGTATCGTAGCACGAAATATGATTACAGCCGAAATATTACACAAAGTGAATCCGCATACTTCATTAAAACCGATTTTAAAGATGCGACCAGCTGCTCTTAGCGGGCAGCAAGCGGGTTAGCTTTTAGTCAACGAAGACTGGCGCAGCACTCTTGAGGCGTCACAACGCAGCCGTACAGCTGACGATCAGTGTTGCCATCCTTCTAGCAGATAGTTTCAGTTTTACCGTAGATGCCCGAAACCAAACTTTGAGCCGTGATATATATATAAAACTATTGGCAATATCGAAAAGAAAAAAAAATTACCCCTTATAATTCAGGGACACTGCTTTAGCTGAAAACAGTTGTAATTCCAAATTAAAAAAAAAATATTTACCAAAGTTTCTCTTTAATATCACTTTTTAAAATTTATCGGATTTTTCTCATTCTGTTTGCTAGGCCTGCTAAACCGAGGAATGACCACAAACGCCAATGATTATGCAAACAATCTCGAAATATTTACTAAATTTTTGCACCGCTAAACGGTCAGTTATCTCCAGGCATCACGTTTATATGCTGCGCTTGCATTTGTCCCAACTGTTGAGAAAGCTGCGCTGCGCTAGCAAACCATATGTCTAAGCCGTACCTCCCTTATGCACGGCTTCTCCACTTCGTCGCTCGCTGCCACATTAGTTTTCTTTTTTCGGCTTTGGCTCGGATACAGGATTGGCCGAAAATAAGGCTCGCCCAAAGGCTTACTTTGCCTCAAAGATCAGACGTCACAGCAATGTCGAGCAGCCATTGGCAGTGTCAGCGTTTCTGCTTCGGGTGGTTGACAGGTCTCGGTGAGGCTTCGGCAAAACCCCACTCTAAGAGCGAGAAGCACGCGCACCCTTTTTCGGATGCGGGCGTCTTCACTTGTAACATTCAAACGGCACGTCTGTTTCTCGAAACCTAGTTTTACTACACCAGACTTGCCAAAAAGATGCACCGTGTGAATAGAACTTTAGTGGCATGGATGTTCAGCAACAGTATAGTAAATATACACTAGTAGTCTGCTAATTATTGTAGGTGATGTAGAGCTTCTCAAAGTGACTGAAATTAGTATCCAAAAGCCGGAATTGCTAGAGCCACGATTAATCAGGGAAACGGATTCACAAATTGAAACATGTCTAGGGTTTTGTATTTTTGGTAAGTACCGTTGATCCCCAACAATTGACCCTTGTGCCGGTTTCATTGAAATCAGAGAAAACCGGAAAACCCCAAAGGGCAGTTATCCTTGACTAAGAAAAGACCAGGCTTCGTGGCAGGAAAATTTTTTTCTACAGCCTTATTTTGCATTGACCCAGAATGGCCTAGGCTGCATTCTTTCTTTGGAAGCACACACCTCGTCTTGCTTCCTCCGCATATTGGTTCGAGGACATTTTCCAAGTATTCAAGATACGTGCGTGTTCCATCGAGTTTGGAGAATTCCGTGTCCATTCTAGTGCTTTCTTCGACGTTAAACCCCCGCTCGTTGTTCGACACCAGAAACTAATACCGCAAAAGATGCCAAATTTCTAAGAAAAGTAAACCCCCGTATAAAACGCCCCCAAATTCAAGAAAAGATAAACCCCGAATACATGAAACCCTAGACGCAACTTATCCAACAAAAAAGGCGAAATCTGCGAACAAAGCTTTGGGTGCACGTCCCTTGCCAATTACTGGAGGGGGAAAGAAATAAAATCAGAGATACCATATCTGGGATGTTTCGGTATAACGTAACCCTGGGACATTGTGTTGAGCGGCTTGTAGACGTCGTGCTACTCAGGTTCTGTTTCTAACTCTCAAGCCTGTAAGCCGACTCTGTGCAACAAATTTAAATGTATTTAGGTGCCCACTTTGCACGCACGTGTGTTTGCTTAGTGGAATCGTGCAATATTTTCAAGCACCACATAGTGCTTTTTCTCAAAAGATATCAGTATACTATGCATATGTAAATGGCTTCGTAAAAAAAAGTTACACAACTATTGGCAAATTGTTACTTGAATGTCATCAATGTAGACGTTTGAGCTGCTGCCTTGGCCTACGCTGTGGCAAATTGTGTACATTCATCTTTTAACCCTTTGATTTGTGTCAGCTATTTCTTTTAGCTTGGGCCATGTGTGCTATCCAGCATTTGGTCCATAGCCTCTTTGCTTGCTAATTTTTTAATACTTGCTTTTAAGCCGTCCTTAACAGTAGTTTCATTAACCTATTGCTTCCAATGCTGCGCTAACCCTAACCTGCTTTTTTTCCTTTCTCCTTCCTTCTTTTTTTTCTTGCACAGCCCTCGCTTGGTGCGTCTTGAGAAGACGGATTGACTGTATGTCCTAAGTTCCGTGCTTCCTCTGATTGCTAATTGCCTGACACCCTAATCGACGTGTGGTGTGACTTACTGCCTTGGCGCTGTTGCGCTGCTTGCCACAACATATGCTCAGAATAACATCCTCTAATTTTCTTTCGCACTTGCATCAGTGCTGGGATTCAAACAAATGCCAAGGGTGTGGTGTTTTCACGCCAAGGGCTTTTTGCTGGCATAATTTATAGAGGTATTAGTTGGTTCTAACGTGCTGTTTATTTATGCTGCCGTTCTAAGCCATTAGTTTGAACCATATTGTTAATTAAGAAAACATAGAAGTCTCACTGCCACTGTCAGATGTGTCGATGATTGTTTGTAACCCGTAGTTGCGTTGAGTCCAGACAACAGAGCAGTGAGTTTTGACAATGTTATAGGTCATTAAGGCAGGCCACTGAGAAAAGACGTCCGGTTTGGGATTCTAAAGAGCACTTTTGGAAAAGATTTTTTGTTTTAATTACAGTCGAACCTCGATATAACGAACTTCAATGTAACGAAATCCTCGATTTAACGAAGTATTTTATTTTTCATAATTTCTTGCCCATAGACCCCATGTATTTTTAGTCCCTATATAACGAAGTCTATTTTGCTGCAATTTCAATATAACGAAGCGCCATTGCCATAGAAGGCAATAAATAAATCAACTCTAAAAAACAACTTCGCAAAAAAATTGTGGTTAAAAAAAAAAATTATGCGCAAACGCGAGCGCTTGATAGGTTACTTCACGGGGACAGGCCTTCCAACGTTCCTAGGCTGCCCGAGGATGCGGCGTTGGTAGCGCCGGCGAGGCATGCGGCAAAGCGGATTCCGCGAGGCTGGCCAGAAAATGCCGAGCAAAAAGTTAACACGGCATAACAGCATCACCACTGACATTCACTGATCATCATAGTCCACTGTACCGCGGGTAGCGCGGGAGCGACGTGATGGCGCGACCGCGCGACCGCACGGGCAGTGCCATCTAGGAGAAGACCGAAAAGACCGATTATCGTCTTGCGAGCGTGATGTAAAGCAAAGGAGCAAGCGGCGCAAGCACACTGTGGGCGCAAGGGGGCAAGTAAACTGTGCGGTCAAGAGTGCTGTGTAAGTTGGAAACATTGGCACCGCCTAAACTAAACAGCTTTATTTTTTTAACCGGGCGGTTCACTTACGTGCTTGCTGCCATAAGGAAACGTAAAGTTCTTTCTTTGGATGAGAAAGCAAACGTTTTGGACGCCATCCGGAAGAAACTGCCGAGATCACGAGCACTCGGGAAGTGCTCAACGCAATGGACGTACTGAGGAGGTACACGGCGTCGCATGGGCAGCAAGATGCCGTGCAAGCGCTCTGGGCGCTCGAACGCCGTGTGACGCCGCCGACGCCGCTGCTACTGTCGGACAAGGCGCAAGCAAAACTCGCGGACTACTTTGCCCCTAAATAAATGTCATTTTCGGTGAGTTTTCATACCCGTAAAATGTATCGGAATTTTTTTTTTTTCCCATGCTAAAGCCAAATTTCGATTTAGCGAAATTTCAATGTAACGAAGTAAATTGCGAATTTTACCGACTTCGTTACATCGAGGTTCAACTGTATTAGCTTTTTGTCAGGCACTATGGTTCTATGACACTTTAAAGAAGAAGCAGTTTGCTGTGTGGGGTAAAAAAAGTTCATCTAAATAATACTTGTAGAAGTAAAGTACAAAGTAAATGGGAGGATATGTACTTCAAGTAAAGTAGTAAATACACGGGGCACATTGTACTTGAAGTAAATACTATAAATGCAATGTACAGTGAGTTCCCGAGAAAAGAGAACCGTGTTTCTTGGCCCAGGAAAATAAAATATGAATCACATATAGCTCAAACTCCGTGAGAATGTGACGCTAGCAGCGGGAATAGAATGGAAAGTTTGACAAATGGACGTTACCTGGATCAAAAGATAATTGAATAAAAACGAAATTTTTCTATGAATTGACATCCACCTAAACCTAACATAGTCAAAATGAGAAATGACATTGGGTGCATCAGTAACGGCTCTCTCGGCTCTGAACGGTGTAACTCGAGTCGGAGTTCTTGGAGCACCTACTGAACGTCTGCTGAACGAGCACGATTGCTTTTATTTGGCACCGGTACTGAAGAAGTCTCGACAAGGTCGTTAGAGATCGTTAGGAAAAAAAGTGAGTGACTGTAGACATCAGTGCTGCTGTTCAAAGCGATCCAAAGCGATCGAGCCCTTTGCGGGGCAGTGCAAAGGCTGCTACCATTGGCGGACTTAGCAGTTTGCTGCCCTTGGCGTCATTTAACAGTGCCACCGCCCTACAAACAGAAAGGGTGGGGAAGTAGTTAAGCTTAGAGTCAAAAATTTTGTAAAGTACCTAGATTTAAAGCTAAAATTCGGAGCTAGATTCAATAAAAAAGCCAATTAATTTGTGGGTGGCCGCACGTGGGCCACCCCAAAAATTGTGCCACTCTAGGCAGCTGCCTCCTTTGCCTATTGGTCACTCTGCCCCTGGCTGCTACTGTTATAAGAACCGACAAAAACGTCTTCAAAACATGTAAAATGTGGAGCTCGGTGAATCTACACTACTGGTTACGATACTTTTATACGGCCATACGTTTGTTCTACAGTTCTTTACAAACTTACTATAAAATGTATTCGTATACAATCAGGAGGTCGGCCGCGCATGGTGGTCGAGGTTTTTTCGACCGAAGCGAGTGTCGGCCACCGTCTCATAATTTCACACATTCCGATTTAGCTATGCACAGAACATTAATCGGGATAGTATCTAACCGCGCACCAAAGTCATGTCATAAACTGTCCTACTCTGTTGAGCACGAACAGGACTATCGTCGATAATCACTAAGTTTTTGTTCAAAGGCAATCAAAACCAGCTTCAAATTAATGTTTTATGAGGTTTGTTAGCATCTCCAAAACAAATTAAATACACTCCAAGTCATTTTCCGAAAAGAGCCCGATCCGGAAATGAAATTAGAACGCATTATTTATCTTACCTTGAACACTTTTCATTAACAAAAGCGAGCAAACCACAAACCCACACCGTAGCCAATGCAGTTCCTCCCGCTATTTTGTTTGGTTTTGTTGCGTGAGCTACACTGGCCTGGTTGAGCAGTTTCGCGTGGCACGCATAATGAGCCGTGCTCCGTGCTGTGCATGCGCAAGGAACAGTGATGTCACACGGTGCACAGCTGGCGCACCAAAGCCGCCGCCGCCGCGTGCTCCGCCGCTGCCGCGCTTGCCTCGCCGGTCTGCGCATTCGAGAGGAGTGACATCATAGCCGCGGCAGACGCACTGGCACCACCGCGTGCCCAGCTGTGCTACTCCGTTGCGCAGTAGCCAAGTCTGACGCTGCACCGGAGCTGCTTGATAGCGCCTCTCATTTTGTGCGCATAAGCTCATGCTACGTATATCCTGGCATAGCCGAGCTAAGCCACCGCAATTTTTTTTCTCTTTCAACACCGGAACTTCGTTGGTGATCCGGAAATATGTCATACTGTGCTCCTTTCACTCCTCCTGCACCGTCTGCGGACTCGGTGTACCAGAGCGCGACTCTTTTACTCCGGAGTAACATGCATTGGAAGTCGCTTTTTACTGTCTAGCGGAAAGAGCGCGAGCTCCTTGACTTGCGGATTCGCTACTGAATGTGTCCATTGTGGGCGCCTGTAGTATCTTTTGCACTGAAAAAAACTCATTAGCAATAAAGAAGACAATATCCTTTTTCTTGCTGACAAGTGTTTTCCACTGACCCACAAGCGTCCACAATGTCAAGTTCTGTTTTGACGATATTAGGCTTACGTGGATGTCGGCTCGTAGAAAAATCTCATTTTTCTCAATTATCTCTTGAACTTTTGCGTTTTGTCTTGACTGCTAGCATCAGATTCCCTTAGAGTTCGAGCTTTCTGCGATGCATAGTTCATTTACCCAGGCCGAAAAACACGGGTCTTGTTTCTCGGGGACTCCCTGTATTTTCTAAGTAAAGTACAAGTACTCATATGTTGCCCCAGGGGTAATTAGGGGTGCATCAGTTATTTTCAGATATGGCAGAGAAAATTGGATAAAATCAAGTGGCCAAAGAGTGATTATTTTACTCTCTCTGGTGGCTGATGAACAATTTAACAGAATCAACTTGTAAGGCACTTATTTGTATCGATCTTAAAGCCACCATTACTTCACTCAGGAATGACTGGATGACGTCTCGAAAGACTTTGCGCATTTTCACGTGATGATACGCCATTTTGTTTGTTAGAGGTTGGACTTTACCTTACTGGGGAAACCAAAGACATAAGCATGTTGTTCTGGAAAGAGCTTAATTTCATTGCGACCAAATTTGGGGAATGCAATTCGAATTTGGGAGTTCTATTTTTCTCGGAACTACCGGAAAAAAATACTTTAGGTAAAATACAAGTACCGTAAAGTTCCGAAAGAACGCCCCCCCCCCCCCCCCCCCAAAATGAAGAGATAAATGGTGAAACAAAATGGGGTGGGCTATCTTTGGGGATGACACAGCAAAACTTTATCAAAAACTATTGATAAACAAAAGAACCCCCTCCCCCGCTACAAACCACGTGACGCGGGAGCTGATACTCCAGATCGCGGACACCGCAAATTTACGTTTCACGATGCGATAAACACACGGGAGTTCACTACGAACTGCCGTGTCACGGAAAAGGATATTGAAGGTTGCGGACGCAGCAGATTCTCGTTTTGCCGTGCGAAGGACCCGCTGAAACCCGCCGAGAACTCTCATCTCACGGGAACGAATACCACAAATCGCGGACGCAGCAGATTCAAGTTTTATGGTGCAATAAACGCGCAGGAACCCACTACAAACTTGCCTGTTACGGGAACTGATATTGTGCATGCAGATTGCGGACAGAAACGCGGGAATCCGCTGCGAACAATCACGTCACAAGAACGAATACTGCAGATCGCCGACGCAGCAGAATCATATTTCACGACGCAATATACACGCGGGATCAACTAGCGTGCTACGGGAATCGATATCGCGCGCAGGCAGGGGACACAAGCGCGGGAATCCGCTACAAAGTCTTATGTCACAGGAACGGATACTGCAGTTCCTGGACGCCACAGATTCTCATTTCACGATGCTATACACACGCGGGAAAAACTTGCGTGTTATGGGAGCCGATATCGCGCGTGCAAATCGCGGACAAAAACGCGGAAACCTGCTATGAACTTGCTTATCAGACGAACCAGTGTAGCAGTTCGCGCGGCGAATGGGATTCTTGTCGGACATCGCGTAACGTCCAACGTGAATCGGGGGGGGTGGACGATGTTTCGGAATTTTTATGTTAACAGATATTTAGCCAGAAAAACAGGATGGGCAATCTCTCGGGGGCGGGCATTCTCTTGGAACTTTACAGTACATCCTCAAACAATGTACTTCAAGTAAAATACAAGTTTCCTAAACCAACTTGAAGTAGTAGTTTAAGTATAATGTACCAGTATGTACTTTTAGGTTGAGTCACCCTGCAGCATTGTCACTTTTGGAAACAGCAACTAACTTCCAGTTTACAAGTGTGGGGTGTAAGTGGCTTAGGGAATGCTCAAAATCCTTATTACCTCAATACCAATAGCCATGGCAAAGTTGAGAGTTTTTTGCGTCTTCGTGGTTTCAATGCACTTATTTCCCGCCACTTTAGGCGCCATTGGTACTGTCGTGAACTTCAGTAGTTACGCTTTGTTGTTCAGTTCTGCTTCTGTTTGTGTCGCTCGGGCGCGCAGTGCTGGATTGTGTTGTCCCTAGCCTGCCCTTGGTTGCCGTCTCTTGTTTTGTTCGACGTTTGGGCGTCTGCTTCTTTCTCCTAGTCCCGGTGCGCCCTCAGGTCCCCAAGAGCTTCGGGTTCCCCGAACTAATTTTCTCCCTTAAGTCGGGCGCTCTAAGTGCTGTAACGAGACATCTTGCCAACCTGGGTAAGTCGCAGGCTCTTTCGTTTCTTTCATGGGCTCGGAATGAATTTTAGCCGATCTTGTCCCTGACTATAGCCAACGTCGGGCCAATTTATGGCTGACCTTGTGCCGGGATATAGCCGACCTTGTGCCAGACTTTGGCTGAGCTCATGCCAGGCTAGGGCTGACCTTGTGCTAGACTATAGCCAACTCCGTACTGTACTACAGCCGACCGCGTGTCAGACTATAGCTGACCTCGTGCCGGATTATAGCCACCTTTATGTCGGATTGAAGCCAGCCCCATTTCTGATTGAGTCAACACTAGCCCGTTCACGAGCGTATGCGTCACAGTGCATTTGTGTTGAGTGGGGTGCAGCTTATTTTTGCTTTTGCTTCTGAAACCTCTTAATTGTTGTCGCAGACTTGTGCTGCCTTGTTTTACGTGGAGTCAACTTTCTGTGGCATACAGGAAGTTGCCCCCAAGTATAGAGCTGGAGCTTTGCAGGCTAACCTTGAAGGATCACTCTGGATTAAGAGCCTGTATGCAGCAACCCCTCAGAAGGCACCAGGTAAAATGTAACGGTAGAAGCCAACTAATTTCAGAACTAGTCCAGTCCACACTCTTGTTGTTCATTGTAACGAGTGAACATCTGCAGAAAAGTAAACCTAGGCTGCAGTGTTTTCTTGAGAATATGCTGCATACGCTATGGAATTTTTAAATGTCACTATGGTATAAATAGAGAAGTAAAGTTTCTAGAGAAGTCCTATTATTCATTTAGCAAATGCTGCTGTTGCTGGTTCGCAACATTGAGGGTATCTTAGGCATGAAAAGTACTGCAAAAGTTTTGACATATTCATTAGCCAATCTCAGGAGTGGCAGCTCTCTGGTTTCAAAATTAAGAAACATAATTCTTTAAAGGGGTACTCAAGCAATTTTTTTATGGTCGCTGATTTGCCTCAAAATTGGTTCAACTTATTGATAGACACGGCTGTACCGATCCCCAAAGTATTATGTGAAAATTAAAAATAAAAAAAATATTGTGAAGTTGTTGAATTTTTAATTTTGTTCTCATTGGGTTTCCCCGAACCGAGCCCCACTACAGGCAACACTGAAGTGTGACGACAGAAATGGTACAAAGTGGGCAGTAAACCACGTTACCAGCTGATTACAAGAGGATTGCAAGAGGCTTGGAAACTCATTCACTGAATAGCATGAAGAAATCCTGGACGCACCCTAATTAAGACTACCATGCCTGCACGACCTGAAAGCCTGTACCATTTGTGACGTCACACCACTGAGAGCGCGCAAAAGTTTGAATGTTGGTTTCGGCATCATCTTCATTTATGGTTTTCTCAATAGCTATTCTGAATTTCGAGACAATAAATTGCATACCATGAAGATTAAAGTCCGGATATTCAGAAATGCAATTTGTTTGGTAGCTCAAAAAACTGCCAGAGTACCCCTTTAAACAAGAGTGGTCTTTCACACTGCCAAAATGAATGCTACTAATATGCTTAGGGCAGCTTGTTACGGTGACGATGCATCTAACATTTGTGTGTTGCTTATAGGCTTTTGTTAAAACGTGATTGGTAGTATGTTTGCATCTGTGTGTCTGTCTGCATATTTGGGTACATATACAAGCCATACCTTTTAGGGTTCATGTTAGTAGAGTTTGAAGTTAAAAACATGTTGCCTTGGGGATGATTGTATCGTGAGAGATGTTTTCTAATGCATTTTGACCAGTCTCTTAGTGACAAAGGCAATTTCTCAGTCTAAAAACTTTGTTTTTAGGGGCAAAGCTCCTTAGGGGCTAGCCATGTCCGTATGTCCGTCCGGCGTCGGGTGCTCGTGCTCACGAGCACGTGAGCACATGCTCCCGTTCTCGTGTACGGCAAAAAAAGACCGCATCTCCACGTGGTGAATGATGTTGATTGGGGCGAAGCTCTGGTGGTGCTTGTCTGCGTAGACGGTGCGCCGCAGCATGCCGAGCCTTTCGTTCGTTTTCATCCATGTCAGAAAGAGAATGTGTGGTATGGAACGTGGTTATACACGCATTTGAGCGTTTGACCGCAGCGTGACTTGGATGAAAACGATCGAAAGGCTCGGCATGCTGCGGTTCACCGTCTACGCAGACAAGCGCTACCAGAGCTTCGCCCCAATCAACATCATTCACCACGTGGAGATGCTTTTTTTTTTTTTTCTTCCTTTTTGTTGATGATTTGATGAAAACCTCCTTGTATTGTTTGCCGTGAGCAAGTAACCAAAAAAAAAAAAAAAAGAAGACATATTGTTAGGCATGTCGTCCTTTTGTGGACTTGTGCCAGCAGCCGCTTACTGCAAAATCAGTCATTTAGTATTAAAAGTTAACCTTCACGCAAATACGACCAATTAGTTTACCGTCGCTCTCGTTTTATCCTCTTTATTCGAAGCATGTACAATGCTCTGCTCTTATGCAAGCTTGAAAACACTGGGGCACGTTTTTTCAATGGCTTTGTTTGCTTTATTTTTGTTTTTGCAGAGTGTGCTGGTTTATTGCACTCTGTACCAGTGTGTTGTGGCAAAGCAGCTGATGGTGCCAAGCTCGAAGCTCTTTAGCATCAAAGGTTACCTGCTAGTATCAAAGGTTATTTGCTAGAAACAGAGTCTTATCTAACACTGTCAAAGAGAAAAGCACCCATAAAGTCAGTGCATGAGCAGAGGCACGTGAAGTTGAGCCCCTAGCGCCAACGTGCCCCAGGCTTGACAGCCTTTTTTTCTGCTTTCAAACAGTTTTAACTAAGACAATGTTCCTAGCTATCTAACCCAGTGCTCGTTTAGAAGTGAAGTGTGCTAAATGAGGTGCATTCTTGGCTTGAAGTGGTATACTGAAAGGCATCAAAACTAAATTGCAGAGAGAAGGCCAACAGTGTTGTGAAGTAGATAGACACAAAAAGGTCAGGGCTGTGAAGTACCTAGGCACAAGTAAACTGCAAATCAGTAACTATACTCATTGTCACCTCAAGAAGAAAGCATCTTTTGCACATAGTTCATATGTCACGTGAAGTAGTTCTTACAAGATTTGGTTGTCAGTGAGAAAACCAATGCTTGTTTTGATGAAATAATCCTACGGTGCAATCCACTTACAACACTGTTAAGAAAACCCTAAAATATAATCATTATAACTGATTATTTTTGTATCTGGACTCACCTTTAAAATTATCCAAAACAATACCTTTATGCTTCTGGATGGAGCAAGTTACTCAGTATTATTACAAATGTATCGGATTCAATAGACTTGGAATTGTACCTTTTCTTTATTTAATAGTTTTTAAAGAAACATGTAAACAATTGTATCATTTACGCATAAAAAGATTGGAAATCCATGTCTTTTGCAAAAGCTAGGGGATCCTAATGTGCAATGTGTCCTGTTGCTATGCACGTGCCAGTTGCAACCTTCTCACACGCACAAAGTCTACCACTATCTAGAGCACGAGAAAAACGCCTTATGTTATTTTTTTATTATTTCAGGAACACTGCGGATAATTTTTCATCATTTAACCAGGAGAGGGTTACGTCAATTCTTGAACAGAAGATTCAAAATAGTCAGTATTCGGAGCGTGTACTTGAAACAGAAATCGGACGCAGACAATCATTGACGATGGTGTTGATGTCGTCATTAATGCCATCATCAAACTTGCCGTCGACAGCGGTACCAGCGATGAAGGTTGTCTGGTCGCGACACCGTCTCGGGCTGCGGAGATGGTGCAGGGGAGGAGCTCACGCATTTGAACAAAATTTCAGGCTTTTATATTTTTTTAATCTTCGCTCAAACTATGGAGACTTGCATTGTCACCTTTTACAGCTGATGCGATAATGACGATAATGACCGGCTCTCGGGCCGTGCGTAGCGTCTACTCGCGGTTTATTCGACTTGCGTCGAGTGCCGCGTTTTCATTCCGTGCGACTTATTTGTGCATCTCGCCCCTGACCAGACCTGTCCAACCTGGTGCCCGAGGAGATACCGCAGACGCGCGGCAGGGAAGCCAAGGAGCGGAGTCGCCGGGTCAGGACCTCAGACCTGCCCGGCATCAAGCCGCTCGCTGTTTCTCTGCTCGTGGATGTCAAGTGAGTCGCTGGCAGTGTGGCCGACAACACCGCAGATTACTTCGACAAAGCAGCCATAGTCCTGATACCTTACGACAGGCCATACAAAAATACTTTGTGTCTTCCCACAGTGTCGACGTGTAAGGAAGGCTGGTTACGTGGCTCAAGAAAAAAATGTTTTAATTCACCGTTCCATTTAAAGGTCCGTGCTCCCGCTCGGGCATCCCCCCCCCGGTGCTTGTGGATTAAGGATATTTCTACAGATTCACTATTTTCTAATGCACGCTCGTCATAAGAAAGAACTGTCAACTATGAGACGAATCTCACTGATGATTTGGGGGAGTTGGGGGGGTGCTAATAACATTAGGCACATATTAGGTAATATTTTATCGTTGTGTGGAATATTCTATGGAATAGTACTTGATTTTGTATTTGCTTCAATCAGAGTACTGCCCTCCAGAAGTTCTTATTCACTGCTAGGAAACAAATGTTTCAGATGGCAGTAAAAATCTGCTCACCATTGCAAAAGGCGCAGGTCCAAGCATGTGGTCATATAAAGTGCTTTACTTGGTCGAGTGCTAGGGTAAACAAAGCCTTTTGCGGAGCTGCGCTCTTGCATCCATGTTTTTGACGGTGCTGCAAGGAATACTCGTGCAGCGTCATAAAACAGTGCTATTTTAGGTTGCCAGGATTTAGGATAGTCCAGAATCTTGGAAAGGAAGAGCCTCATTAATCGCTGGAGCAGTGAAGCTGTGTGCGTCTACGAGAAAGTAAATGTGCCGGCATTGTTCATGAACAGTTTGCCCGAGATGTGGCACGTAACATGAAATGTGATGAACCAGACAAGCAACTCTAAGTGCGCCCCATTGCAGATGCACCACACGGCAGATAGTAGATCCTTTCTATATTTTCGCCAAACAATCTTGGCAGTTGCCATTTCTTGGGCATGAACAGTGTGATTCGATCCGAGTCCTCGCTGAGCACCGACGCAGGTCTCGATGTGAGCCGAGCCAAGTTCATGCCAAAAGCTGATGCAAATTTTGCGTCTGATACATGCTCAGAGTGCCTCTCCAAGCGATGGCAGTCGAATAATTGGTGCTGTGGCTATTAGAAGATGGTGTGCGCATTTTGAAAAGGTCTATTGATGCCCCGCTCTCGTTCCATGTGCGCAGAACGGTGCAGGCGATGAGGGAGATCAAGACGGACATCGGCTATGCGAGGGCCTGGGTGCGACTCGCTCTGGAGAAGAAACTGCTGTCAAAGCACCTCAAGAAGCTGCTCTCTAGTCAAGAACTACTTAGGTATTTTCATCCCCCTTTTTTTTTTTTTTTTGTAATTATCAGCTCTTTTTATGTTTGTTCACATCTTTGGTTCATGTTCTAAGGTCAGCAATTGGTGCTCATCAGGACCGCCTAGTCTTTTTTATCTTTGTAATTGTGGTTTTAGCTGCGAAACGAGGAAGACGTTGACTCGTTCATGGTTCGCTACATGTCGAGCTCGTTTCTCTTTTTCGCTCGGTTCTTCATTTTTTGTGATGCATCATTTCTGAACCCAACGACACACTTAGTTTGTGCATAACGATGCTGGAGGAGAGGTCGATGTTTGCAGCGCGAATTTTCAACACAAAATGTGTTTTATCGGTCGATTTTTATGGAGTTCTGTAACTCTTTGCTGTAACAGAAAACCGACACCGAAAAGTGATATGCCCATGGGGGACCATATAAAAAGACTCCCGTCCCCCTGCAGGATTTCAATTCTCCACCTTGAGCTCGTGAGCCAAGTGCTTTGTTGACTAAGCTAATCAGGGTCTGTGGTCAGAGCATGCAAAAGCAAACCCAGTGGTGCAAAGACATGGTCGCGTGCTTCGCGGCCTTAGTTGTTATGCTGCGCCATCTCGTGGCGTGTCTCCGAAACGAGAGCGAATCCTAGGTAGGCTGTGTCATTCCAATACCCTTCTCTTATTCCGTCGAACGCTTATCAAAATTTTTTGCTTATCAGTTTCTGTCTGCATGATGGAGCTTGTATAATTTTTTTTATGAATTTGCGAGTTGCAAGTATGCACCTTCTCAAAAGCCCCAGAGCTATTCGTGGATGCAGAGAAATAGCATGGATTGCCAAAGAACTGCTGTGCATAAACTAACTAGCACTTTTTTTTCGTCTTTGTATGGTTAGAACTTTTTATTGCCATTTTAACGGTTAAGGCACTTGTATATGTGCCAGCACCTAGCAGCAGGTTGATACATCTTTAAGGGGGCCACACAACGATATTGGGTTGGAATGTTTCTCACTTGACAAAAGCTTGCTGGTATTAGTGTGATCCAAGTATTCTCATACACGACACCCCTGCCCAAGAAGCGTCTTTGTCACAGCATAATTTTAAGGATAAAAGCAGACTTCCTCTTTCGGCCTCTTTGCAAAAATTGATGACGTAGTCATGGGGATTGCGTTGTTGACGTGGCCACATGGAGTGTACCCTATGGCGACGACACCCAACTGCAGCTCATAGGTTCGACGCTAGCACTCGATTTGGGCTCGTGTGATGATCAATGAATTGACAGACGTTCAAGTAGTATCTCGTGTCCATTTGCTGCAAAGTTGGATGTAGCGAAACATTAACAATATCCAGAACTGATAATGTACCATGTGCTTTTTCAACCCCAGTGTGTTGCTATGGTGAACATTGGTAGGATATAATCGGCATTAGATCATGTAGTGGCTTGTTCCAACTGCAAACTAAAAAAATAAATGCCGCTATGTATTTTTCTGTTTTTAGAGCGCAGTTCTTAGGCACCCGTTTCCGGCTTGAGCAGCTTCGCCGTTGGCGTAATTGTGCGTAACCCTCGTAACCCTCATGAGGGTTACGAGGGTTACTCTCACGAGGGTTATGACAGTTACCCTCACAAGGCTCATGGGGGTTACGAGGGTAACCCTCGTGATCCTTGTGGAGGGTTACTCTGGTGAAGCTGTTTAGGTGACATTCACTTTACGTCACTCACTAGGTGCGCTGGCATCGGCCACCACGGTCGCCATCTTCGAGGTCTCCTTTTATCCCACGTAGGTGCCGTCTGGCCAGACCTTTCAGCGTTGGTTAGCAGCATTTTACGACTTTAAAGGGTCTTTTTGACCGAAACTAGGGGTTATTCTTAGACTTTGGTGCTTTTGAAGCGCCGTAGGAATATTTTTTGTGTGTGTTTTAGTTTGTTTCTGTCGTTATCAGGCTTTTCCGCCGCGGCCGCGTTGCTCCATCGGCTCCATGCAGCGCTCCGTGTCGCGCGTCGTGCCCACGGCGGTAGCTCTTTTGCAAGAACTGTGATTTTCTACATTGGGGCTTTTGTAGCACGGTGTGATTACTTCGTTTTGTTTTGCTAATTTCCTTGTTTTTTTTTTCTCTAGCGGATTTTCCGCACTACGGCCGTGTAACCGTGTTGCTCCATCGCCTCCGCGTCGTACGTCGTGCCTTCGGTGTTCGTTCTGTGCAAAAACATACCGTGCGGCTCACCGAGTTCGCAGCTAATGAAAAATGTGTCGCATTTTTCAATAGCCCGAACGATCTAAAAACCGCATGCAAGCGATTTGGCGAGCGACGATACAAGCGACGGCGACCTGCTTCGCTGTTGCTCAGTCACTCGCGCGACAAGGCAAACCGCATGAAAGCGACGGAAGCAAACGACCAAAGCGATGAGCACTAAGTTTTCTAAAAATCCAAAAACCGAGCTACACGACAAGCGACAGTGAAGGGTGAACCGCATGTAAGTGATTTAGCGAGCGACGGAGATTTCTCACCGTTGCTCGTCGCATCGTTCGGTTTTTAGATTTCTGGAAATCGTCGCTCATAGCCTTGGTAGCTTGCTCCCGTCGCCTTCATGCGGTTTGCCTCGTCGCGCAAGTGACCAAGCGACAGTGAGACGAGTCGTCGTCGCTTGTCTCGTCACTGTCGCCGTCTCGTCCCGTCGCTCGCTAAATTGCTTACATGCGGTACAGCCTTTACACGCGGTACTCGGCGGCAACAAAGGAATTAAAACGGCCCGCCCCCAAGATAAGCTGTTTTCTCTATTCTGTTCAACGAAGCTGCTTCAACGATATGAAATTAACACACACTACCAACTGACGACCGCATACACAAGCCAATCAAACGTCAAATCGCGACCTCGAAGATGGCGGTTCGACGGTGGCGCTCCCTGGCAAAATCAAACCTGCAGGCTCAGTGAATACCACCTATACTGCTTCACCAGAGTAACCCTCGTAACCCTTGTAACCCTCGTAACCCTCGTGAGGGTTATGAGGGTTACTTGGTAACGAGGGTTACCGAGTAACCCTCGTTAGAGTAACTAACCCTCGTAACCCTCGTGAGGGATATGAGGGTTAGTTACAGTCTAAAGGGTTTTCCTTACGAGAGTCACGAGAGTTACCCTTACGAGGGGTATGAGAGTTACCCTCACAAGGGTTACTAGGAAGGTCACGAGGGTTACCCACACGAAGGTTACGAGGGTCATGAGGGTTACCCCCCCTGAGGTCACGTGACCCCCCGCCTTGAAATCGCGTGACCCCTCCTAAGGTCGCGTGACCCCCCCAAGGTCACGTGACCTCAAAGAGTCACCTATCCCTCAGTACCCTTCCATCCTATCCCTCAGTACTCTTCCATCTTCTCCTCAAGAGCTGTGCTCTAATCCGGCGTTACAGGGAGTTGTAAACGGCTTTAATTTTTTTTTCTATTGTTGCAGCATAAAGAAAAAAAAACTTGCATTTTTGTTATGAGCATTATGGATTTATTCTAAGTGGTATCTACTGCAAGTAAAAAAATTGTTTTACTGCCCCTTTAAATAGTCCTTTGTTCTGCTCTGCCTCTCGATTACCATGCGCTGCCGGCAGGAGTTCCTACAAGCGGTATGCATTCCTGCGATGCGAGGACGAAAAGGAACAGTTCCTGTACTACCTCCTCACCCTCAATGCGGTGGACTACAACTGCTTCACCAACACCTACACTGCCACGGGTGAGTGGCCAGGCTTCTTCGGCAGTTCGCACACAAGATTGTTCGCACGAGCACGATGGGCAGTTCCGAGGGGGAGAATGAACTGATTCAGCTTGCACTGCCGTTTAGTATGATTTTGAAGCGCCACCTCTTTTGCTTTTGGCAAGGCAGTTTTGGACCTTGGGTGGCTCCTGGTTTTTTTTTTTTCCTTTTAAAGCGAAGCTGTATTCGCGACTCCAGCAAAACGGACGCCGCCAAGCGGGAAAACCGGGAACCAGCCGGTCCAGGTCGCTCCGCGCCCCTCCGCGTCTCTGGTGGCTTTCGCGGAGACGTGTTGTCGGCGCGGTGGCGAACAATGTAATTTGACGAAGGTCCGAATATTTCTTAAGTTCGCCTGAGTGATCATTAGTGTGGTGAAGCCTCAGTAGATTGTTTTCTTCTATTACGTGTTTGAAAGCCCGTTTACTCCACAGCACACGGTCGCGTACTTTCAATTTCTTTGATGGGGAGGAATCACGGAAAAACTTTTTGATTTCTTGTCTGTCTCGAATCACATTCAAAGTGACGACTGCTTGGTAACTGATACTGGAGGGAACATCAATGTTGCAGTCAAGTGAATGGGGAGGTTCGATAGCTGCTTTTCTTGAGTTTGGTTGTGTTCGGTTAGCTTCAAGTTTGAGCCACCCACGCCGGTCGGTGCGTTGGCTATTCACCTTGGCTGCTTTTCGCCGAAAAAGCCTCTGGACCACACTGAAGGAGTTGGGCTGATTTCGCAATTACTTGATTCAGGAAAACTTGCTCGCTGCAAATGATGAATGAGGGAAATTATCTGTTTTCAAAAGGTGGGAGACAAGTCTCGCAACGTTAGATGCTGTCACGGCATTTTGACCTATCGCGCCTCCAATATTTATATTACGAGGACGTCGAAGCCAACAGCAATCTACGTCTACATTGGTCAGGTGGACCGGCCACAAAAAAATACTAAATTTCTCCGTTCAGGATTCGAAGCTAAGTTCAATGCATAGAGGTTCTGCGTGGATGTTCAATGAAGTCTCTCTTCAGTCTGTCTCCGTGCTGCGGGCTATAGAACCATTTGGCTAAGTTTAAGTAGTATGTCTCCGTCTGTCAAATATACTTTTATTCAGCAGCTCACCTAATAGCTAGTCAACTAAGCTCATATTTCAACCCGAAGGATATACTAATATCGCTTTAGTGGGACCTCCCCCCCCCCCCCCCCCCCCCCCCCCATAGTACCCGCTCGGCAAAATGACTTCTCGATTGCTACTAAAACCTGAATTGAAATACGAGTATCAGCTGCTTAGCGGCTCGCCGGTGGGTTAACATGGTACTTGGCTCAAGAAGCGGTTGCTTAATTTTCGTCATTTTCCTGCAGCCTGTGTTGTTGGCCGAGCAGGCGACTGGAGTTGTTTCGTAATGCGGATACGCACAAAAGCTCGATTTCGCGGACAGATAAGTCGCATGGTCAAGGCATGCGAGTTAGCTGAGAACTCACTCTCTGTGGAACAATTCTATAGTCATCGCCGCTTTCCTTAGATGATCAAAACTGATTATTATCTTACCGTCTCTCCGGAGCCCATAGTTTCGGTTTTGAACGAAATCTCCGAAACGAAAGTTTGACACGAAAAGAACAAAAAAACACCGGCAAAACAAAACTATGCTTTGCAAGTTTACCTGCACCAGCTACACTTAACCGTCTCAGTTCAAATACCTATAAAATTGGAAAATTAAACAAAAGAAAATCTGTTAAATTGAACGCGCCACCTGTTCAGGCGGCCCGGCCGAGCCGCCGCGACCTGGACTCAGCCGCCATGTTTGTTTGGTGGTGGCGCCCCCTATAGGTCGCTGGAGTCGCGAATACCTCTACCAACCAAGGGAATTTTCGTGTCGTCGGCGTTGTAAGCGAAAAACGCCCGGTGAACAATTGAAGGCAAAACAGTGTATCTCCTCTGAAATCAGGCATACAGCATACTGCTCAGTATCTGTTTTAATAAAGGAAACCACGAAACAAGCATCAAAACCACATGATGGATGATAAGGCATGTGTGAACAGTAGGAACACTCTCCCACGCGTTCCCGTAAAGATTAGGTTTGCAGCTGCTTCGAAAGGGGTTGACGTCATTCGAAGCCTTCAAGTGGAGTGCAAACCGCATAATGGATGATAACGGCGTCTGTGAACAATGCGAAGCATGTTTCTTCTCCCCGCATGTGTTTTCCGGTAAAGATTACGGTTGCGTAAGCTACTTAGAGTGGAAAAGTACCCAACAGCATAGAAATCACATAGTGACATCACCACGCTTTTCAAGTGACGTTGCAATGGGTAATCATTGTGGGTGTCGTTTACAGCTTTGCGTCCAACTATCGTCGCAGCGTGGATTGAAGCCACAGTTTCTTTTTCAATTTTTTTTTCTTTCCTGGCAGCGTGGTGAAAACGCGTGAAAAAGAGATACAAATAAAACGAGAAAAATTTCTCGCTTTTTTCTCGGTTCTTTTTTTGGACGGTTCAAACTATTTGAGTGGCACTTTGAAGGTACAAAAGCAAATGTAAAAAACACACCAGTTCTTTTTTTTTAGCATCGCTTCTGTGTGCTGCCGTGTATCTTCATGAACTTAGGCCTGCTTCCAAGTAGACAGTGGTGGTGTTTTCTTTTTTACAGCAGAGCTGTTAAGGGTTGGTTTCCCCAGGATCGTGTCCATCCTCAAATGACCTGATGACACAGAACTCTGGACAGCTACCGCCATTTATGAGCGACGGCAGCAACCGGCTTGCCAGTTGTCTGGTTGCTGTCGTCACTCATAGATGGCGTCAACCTTTCGAGCCTTTCCACTCTGGCTTGCCGACTTGTGGCCAGCCATTACTTCACTCCCATCATAGTACAGCTTTGCTGGTCTTCCTTCTGCACCAGAGTGGAAAGGCTGAAAGTTTTTTCTCATATTCTTTAAATTTTTATGCATTCGGGCAAAATGTGCCATGACGTATGTTGCGCCGAGCCTTTCTCCTTCTCCGGCATTCGCGAGACCTTGAGTATGGTGGGATGGTCGCAAGACCATACAAACTCAAAACTCCGCCGCCTCGGAGCATACCAAGGGGCTGGTTCACCTACTGTCGAGAGCGGCTATAACAAAGTCAAATCATTTCGCTATATCTGCTATTTCGTTATAACCAACTTCGGTTAACGAAGTGCAAAAGGGAATGGGAAATCGTGATCGCTTCACTGTAGCGCTATTTCGTTATAACTGACTTCGTTATAATTGGTCTCGACGGTATTTGTGTCCGACTGTGGCCGACTGCATTACAACAGCCTGTGATAGTTCCGGCATCACCTACCAGGCAGCGCCGGAACTGCGTGTAACTATACTCCGCGACAACTTTTCTTGGCAATGCAGTGGAAAATACAGGCCCGCGTCCCCTCTCCCATTTTGAGTGTACGCAGGCTCTCCTCCTCCCCCTTTTCCGGGGAGATGAGGAGAGCCTGCGCACACCCAAAATGGGAAAGAGGACGCGGGCCTGTACCCTCCACTGCATTGCCAAGAAAAGTTGTTGCGGAGTATAGTCCGAAGGCTTCACAGAATCAGGTCTAATGTACATATTGTTTATGAAAAGCAGTCGCTCGTATCATTTCTGGAATTATCTAGCTCGCAACGAAAAAACAATGCATACGAAAATGCGGGACGGAAGCGTTCCAGAGCTACCCAATAGATTGTGCCATTGCGTCTTCTCGACGGGAGCGGTCTCGAGCCACTGCACCGCACTGGTCACGGTCAAACGCAAGTGCGCAAACTGGCCGGCCGAGTTATAATGCGAGATGGGCAGGGCGCTACAGCGGCGACAAGGTTTCCCCCATTCTCCGAAGTGCGCTTTGTCCGCCGCAATTTGTGTTAACGGCATTGCTCCTCTTCCCTCTTCCCGTCGTTGCGGCCATCAGAGATGCCGTACCGGGTCGTGGTGTTCCCGAGCCGGAAGCTAAGCGCCTCCACGACGTCCGCCAACGCGTGGGTCAGCCTGTCAGGCACCATGGGCACCACGGGCGTCATCCCCGTGCCCAAGCAGTCCCTCGAGTTTGTCTGCCACGTGAGTCCCTTTCCGCTCGTCTCGCGAGATGTCTTCCCGCCGAGCTCGGCCATTCCACAACGGGTCAACTCTAAAGCGGAGTATGTAGAGAGCGAGTCGTCTGCTTCTTGCGCAGAGATTGCGGCGACATCAGAATGATGCCGAGCTCCGATTAGAAGGGTAGCGGGTAGTCCTTCAGGCAGCTAGCACTGAGGTTCACCGACTATTCCTTCACCGGAGCCAATCGGAGCTCGGCGTTCTGACGTCGGTGCAAACCTTGCGCAAGAAACAGACAAACTTTCGCTCTTAAGGCAAGACACTGGTTCTAAAATCGACTTTTTTGTTTATTAATGGATTATAATGAAAATTAGTGTGTATATGTGTTTTGGCTTCCTCTTTTCAAATATACAATTAGTTCTGCAATATCTCAACTACTTTTTGGGTTACGAAGAAAATAATGAAGCCTAATTAGGTCATTTCTTACGACTCATTAAGGAACTTTCTAATACGAATTTTTTTGCATAAGTGATATGGATTTGTAGCTAAAGACCTGTCATGCAAGATGACGCTATTTATATTTTTGTAAAGATAGATCATTGTATAAAACTAGTCTAATTAGGTCAAGTACACTATTTACAAAGCTTAACAAGGTCACATTATCACTAATAATAAAATTTCGGGCCCATACTGTCATACAAAAATAGCATCACCCTGCAGTTCACTTCTTTCTGAATTCAACGGTATAAAGTTTATAGAAATCCTCGAAGAATAATCTCATGAAAACAACCGTAAGGCTAGGCATGTAGACGAAAAATGCGAAGCTGAGAAAATTGCAGTGTAAGTTTTGACACTCATTGCATAAAATTGAGTAAGGGATCCCATGCAATAATGTTCAGCAATATGAAGCATAGCTCTATCTGAACAAATTGAGATGAAAAATTCTGCAATCCGTTCCCAAGAACCTTTAGAAATAATATAAAACTGAGAAATAATGTCTGCAATGTAAAATGAAGTTATAAAAAAATGAGTAGACTCTATAAGGGACAACGGGAGGAGGCACCAAGGCTTGCACGTTCCGAAAGCAGATTTTGTTTGGCCCTGAAAAGGGCCTTTGTTCGTGTAGTACTTGAAAGGGGAGCCCCCTCACAGCTGTACAGGACTGTAGTCCCCAGCTGTTCCAGTTTGGTGTTGCCTGGAGAACCTCTGCTTTGCATTGCTGCTGCTCTGGTGGGCAGTGTTGGCCTTACGCAGATTGTCCTTCTCCATGCTTTGAGAGCTTTCATGTCCACTACAATGAACTGTGTCCCAGCGTCGCGCGTCTGGGCTCCTGTGGTGACGCCGAGAAGGTCGAATTTGCGCTGGGTCGCCGACTTTTCCGATAGCGCACGCTTGCATTCGTCCGATCGTGCGACTCGTTGCGCCTGCTCGGCCGTGGAGTAGTATGCGGTGTCGACACGAACCGCACTCGCAAAGCTCGACAAACTGCCGCTGCTGCATGGAGTCGCAATGTCTCCGGCTGATGTTTCCGGAAGATCCAAGGCATCCGGCGGTGCCGATCGCGGTGGCGCACTTGTAGCAGACAGCTTCGGCTTCTTGTTCCACGGTCGCTTCCTCTTCCTTCCGAACGCTTGCCGCGTGCTCAATTTCAACCGAGCGTTGTCCGGCATCTCGAGAACTCGAAGCGAAACAAAACAAAACACGCGCGACTTTGTAGGAAAACGAACCAACAATATTCAACGCAAGCGCGCAAACAAGAACTAAAACGTGCGCTCGACCACGGAGGAAGCAAAGCAGACAGGCCTAAGAAGACGGGCGGAGACGGGCCCAGGAGCAGACGACGCACCTCTCGCCAGCGCGGGAACGGAAAGGAGGAAAGGAGAAAAAGAGCGGAGGGGCGCGTTTAGGCCAATAGCAGGGGCGCTAGGCGCCGCGCGTGCTCTGACGTACGGGCACTTTGCTAGCTGGCCAATGAGCGATCGCGATTGGGACTTTCGAAACCCGCGGAATGCGGACGTTTCCCGATGTTGTCGCGATAACGAATGGCATGGGGACGTGGGGAAAATAAGCGGCTTTCCAACAAGACCAAGATGGCCGCAATCCGACGAGCGATCGCGAAACGCGCGGGGCGCGAAGTTCCACTTGTTTTCATTGAACTTGCTGTGTTAGGGCTCTGCGGGGACATCGTAAATATCATTTTTTTCATGCTTAGACATTGAATTCGACATTGAAACTTTGCAGGCAGGTACCTTAGACTACAATTAATCCAAATATGTGAATTTTGAAACACGTGAAATTTCGCGTTTTTTGACCATTTTAAGACCCGCGTCTCCCCTTAATTTGGAAATACAGTGCCTGGAACGCATCTTCTACTGGTGTGTTTGGTGCCCTATCCCACCCGTGCTTCGAAAGTGGTTTCGAAGTGGCAACAGATGACGTCGTGGAAGCCGAAGTGTCATAATCCTGGCGGTGAGTGCTAGAGGTCCTGGCAAAAAGTAGGAGCAAAAGCGAGTGTCGCCGTCTTCACGGCGTCCCAACTCCCGACTGCCAAAGCTTCCGTTTACTGTCACGCCGGAGGGTAACCTGCAGCAGAAGAGCCATCTGCCACATTTACCATCACCGCTGCTTCGACGCCTCCACTTCTTGCCGGCAACAAGAGGACGCTTCTACGACGTCGTGAGGAGGATATCGAGGTACATCTTTTTAGGATGCGATAAACACACCAGTTGGAGACGCGTTGCAGGCACCATAATGGAACACATTTAGCCCTCTCGTATAAGTTCTGAACTGTGTGTGGACGGACGCTCTTGTCGTTCCCGTTCTTCGTTGAGATTTTGTTTTCCGGCCGCACCTGCAGCACAAGAACCTGGGCCTCCTGACCACCCTGAGGATAGGCCACGACAACACGGGGCTCTCGCCCAAGTGGATGATCGAGCACTGCCTCGTCAGGAATGACGTGACGGGGCACACCTACAAGTGAGTGGTGCCAGCGCGCCGCACAACTAGCATTGGTTTAAAGGCTCGCGTGCGGGCAGCACCTTCTGCCAAGCAGAAGAATGTTTTCCCTCCTCCTCACTCAAAAGGACTGGATCTGGCAGGTGCCCCCTGCAGAAGGGGGAAGGGGTGTCCTCTTTTCGGGAAGAGAAAACAAAAATCTAGGGGCAGTTTTCTCCTTTTTGCTCGTCTGTCTACCTTTAACGAGGCACTGACCTCCTAGAAAAGTTTTAATTAGGTTTCGTCGAAAAATAAAAATATTTATCATAATGGTTTTTGTCACAATGTGACAAAAACCATTAGGATAAATATTTTTTACTCAAAATCACCAAAAATGTAAATTATTTCACTTTCTTTTTTTTTTTTCCCCGGAAGTGGGGGAAGTTGCTTATTTTGTGACACGTGTCGCTCTCGGGCACTTAAATTAATTTTTTTGGGAGGAGTTCAGTTTCTCAGGGGCAATTCCGAAATATGCTTATATTTCGGGTCGTTGCGCCAAAATGGAAACATGCTCAGAATCGCTCCTAACTCAATATGTGTATGACATACATGTCCTGTTCAAGTACTTAAAGGGGCCCTGCAAGCACTTTTTTACTGGTTTTTTATTTGCACCAAACCTGAGCGCACTGACCGTAGTAACGTAATGTAACTTTTCTTTTCTCGAAATTCCCTTTATTTTAAAAGTTATAGGCAAATTAAAATTACAAAAACAAGCAAACAATAACCTCCCTCATGACGTCCTTGGTTGCTTGAGTGGCCGTGAACTAGAGGAGGGATAGTCAGCTCAGCGAGCGCTCACGGCTGCCGCACTGCGTGTCGATGACGCGAGAGGGCGCCACTAAAGCATGTTCTGGATAGGCTGTATAGAGCGGGCAGCCAGATCGGCTCTCATTGCATTTGCTGCGCGATTAAACACTAATTCGGCATGACACTTCATTGGCCACAAACGACAGCAAACACGGGGTAAAGACCAGTTCAGAATGGGAGCCACTTCACGCTGCCGTCCCGCGAAATGGCCAAAACGCAAGACAGAGCTACTCGCGGAAGGCCTTCGGAACGCTCGGAGCCGGTCGGATCCTCCAGTCCGTAAACGACCGCAGCGCCACCGCGTACATCCGGGATCTTTCCGTGTCGGTGCCTGATCCCACTATTCCTTTCTAGTATGCGCCGCCTTTTCCACCGGTTTGTGGCCGGTATGTCGACGGGTCATTTCTCGTTTCCATACTTTATAAACTGCATTTGTTTCTTTTCTGATATAAAATACTGAACAAAAACTACTTTTATAAATAATTGAAACGGTTCGGCGCCACTTATGTTTTGTATTTCAACCAAAAAGAAGCTTTTAGCGGCTCTGACCAGTAGTAAGCCCAGGACCAAAGACGTCACATTTCGCGCGCTTTCGGTACCGCGGGTCGCCCCCGTCTGTGGAGGTGGTTTCCGCGTCGCCCGGTGAAAATATGATGCACTGATGTTTAGTTACTCTCTCCGTGCCCGCTGGCTTGCCCGAACCCCAAGAGATGTGGAAACCGCAAAAAAGGTAGACGCTTAAATATGATTGCAGGGCCCCGGGACATGGCCTGGGAGGGTCAACCTTTGAACCGTTCCCTTAAATAGATTCAAACTTTCAGGATGCATTGAACCCAATTAGGATTGATGACATCTAAGATTTCAGTCTTGTAGGCCAATTCTACTACACGCAATGCTTAAAAAGCTCCAGAAAAAAGTGACTTCAGTAGGAAATGTATTTAAAAAATATAATAATTGCAATCCACAAAACATTTGTTTTAATGTGAAGTAGAATACCTATAGCACAAGTTAAGGTAAAAATTTATTGTAGAAAATGCAATTCTGGAGAAAAACAATAACACCCAAAAAGTGCAGAAGATTTTAACAAATTCTGTGTTTTAAAATATTCAGTTTTTGTCATGAAGAAGTTAGCTTTTTCAGAGTATGATTACCTTAACTTGTTCCTCAGGAAAATTCAGCCCATGACACCACTGAATGAATTCTTTCAACTTTCAAAATGTCAAATGATACATTTCCTCATACCACATTTCCTGCCAAAAAGTGGAACTGAGAAAAATGCATCTGAAGTTTCAACTTTAGGTTTCTTTATTTTCTATGAGCCCGAGGTAGGCGAAATTCACCTGGGGCATTGTTAGCACCTTCCTCTTTGAGACTTTGTTGTTCCCCTAGCAATAGCTACCAGTTTGTGTCATTTGCAGGCAAGCTAACTTGTGCAGCAGGCATTCCTTGAGAGATAAACTGGCTAGAACTAAGGCAAATCATACTAAAGAAGAGCAGCAAAGCAGGAATATGATCTGAAGTGATACTGTGAATGGGTGTTACTGAAGATGACAGAATATCACGTCGCCGGGCAGGACCAATCGTAAACCCTGTTTCGGGTCTCAACCAATAAGATTGCTCATACCAAATTTTCAGGATTTCTTCTGTTTGGATGTAAAGGGTTCTCTTGGGCATTGATACTTTTAAACTTTGAAAGCTTCTACGGGCGAAATCTAGAGTAAATGGCGTTTCCAATGAGGGTGAGATGTTCCGGCTATGTTAAACGAGTATGAAGCAGTACTAAACAAAAAAACACACAAAACTTGCTCCCAGCTGACGCGGAGGGCTGCCGACTTGTCGAAAATAATTTATTGTGAGATAAATCCTGCACGTTTATAAATGAAATTTTCTGAAACCATTCTTTGGAAGTTAATAAACATAAACATAATTTTTGAAAAAAATTTTTTCTGAAAATTTGGATATCCGAGGCCATGTCCCCCCTTAAAGGACACATGCAAAGGAAAAAAACATTTTTTTTAGACAGCTGAGATGGAAAAAGGATGTCATAAAACGATTTTACAACGAAGAAAAAAAATTTTTAGAGCTATATTTACGGCGCTATACAAATTTGTAGTTGGCGCTCGCGGGAGCCGCCGCTGGTCACGTGGTAGGCCCGCGCGCCGCCGCGCTGCGTCGCCGCCGCACGCTGAGCGTTCTGCGAACGCCGCTTCAACGCGTTTCTCCACGCCGCCGTCGCCGTCGCCGCACAAGTTCGTCTGCTTCGGGGCGCCGCCGCCGTCGTCTGGCCGGCGCACAGGTCTATCAAGTCTGCTTGCGCTTTTTTAGGAGTTTCCTTTGGGCTTTAAAAGATACTTATTCATCTTAGATTTTTGTTATACTTCAAACAAAGATGAATAAGTTACTTTTAGAGGCCATAGGAAGCTTCCGAAAGAACGCAAGCACCACGTGATACATAAAGACCAGTCACGTGATAAATACAGACCACTTTTCCGCGGTGCCCGCGGGCGCCAACTACAAATTTGTTTTGCGCCGTAAATATAGCTCTAAAAATTTTTTTCTTCGTTGTAAAATCGTTTTATGGCGTCCTTTTTCCATCTAAGCCGTTTAAAAAAAATGTTTTTTTCCTTTGCATGTGTCCTTTAACAAAAGAATGTTGGGGGGGAGTTCAGCGTTTTTTTAAAGTGTGGTTTGGATTATTGCCTAGTAATGCCAGCTCAACTTGATTGGACAATCAGTTAATCTAACATTTCGGCCCCGACATGGCTGACGTCCCCGTCGGTCCTCTTTCTTTTTTTTTTCTAAAGGGTGAATTCAGCCAAAACTTCTGTTTTGTTTCTTCTTTTTGCCCCTTATGACAACCACTGTGCAGACATTCATAGGCTTAAAGGTGCATTCAAGTAAATTCTGAGACTATCTATTTATGATGTTAACTCAATCTACGGGCTTTAAGCATCCCAAGAAACCCAAACTACACTCATGGGCAACCGATTTCCCTAATAAACATTTAATCAAAGATCATGACATGCCCCCTTTTCTATGCCTTGGAGCAGACATTAGGGGGTGCCGTCGGAGGCCGTTTTCAAACAATAATTGCTGTGCTACATCTCCTACACCTAAAGGTTTGACGTTTTTATCAAGATATAATTCACAATGCACCTAAAGACATAGGTCGGCATTTTAGAGCCCCTTCATTCACAATCACATCATGAACAAAATCACGTCTCCAAATTCATTCGCCTTCACGTCACAAGGTACTCCGACCTCCCAAAGTCACGGCCCTTCACATCATGGCGTTCAACTGCTCCAAGAACTCATCCCCATCACATCACCGCCACCTCTGAATTCACGAAGTCATTCACCATCACATCACCAATTCCTGAAGTCATTCACCCATCATCACGAATTCATCGGAATTCACCATCACATCATGAATTCATCCGAATTCACCATCACATCATGAATTCATCCGAATTCACCATCATTTCGCAACGTTATTCACCATCACGGTCAGCACGATTTCACTGGAATTCACCATCACATCATGAATTCCGCATAATTCACGAAGTCATTCAGGTTCATTCTGACTAAATTCGACTTCACGGCTGGCAGCCTTCAGGAGTTTGCAGTTCTTGTGGAATAGGACAGTGGCACCTTTTTGTGTCAGCCACTTGAAACCAGGACCCGACTTCGTCGGGAAAGTGGGGTGTTTCGAGTGCGCGAAACACAAACCAGATTGATAGAGCGCCAACCCAGCCAATGCTGCGCTGCGATCGTGTCACGTGAATGTGCTCCGTGCGCCCCCGCGCAGAACCGACAGGTCATGTGATATGGTCTCGGCGCCGGATTAGGTGCGCCTGCTCGTGACGTCGGCTTCGGCTTTGTCTCTTTTGAAACGATATATGGCTGCGCCGAGTAGGCAAAGCGGCACCTGGTGCTACTAGTGCCCGTGGACAGCGCGGCTGCGCCACGCACGACTCACGAGCGAAACGGCACAGCGAGAGCCTTCAGGGATTCCGGACCATATGCCCCGAGACACGGAAAGACAAGGTCGGCAAGGAGCTCAATTGATTCACGAGGAACCACTCAGAACAACGGCAAAATTAAATGTCAAGTGCCAAAGAAAACGACTAGCCCCCCCCCCCCCCCCCCTTCCTTTTGCCTCCATTGCCACTGCCACCGCACTTCCCTTATAAACAGCTGTTACTACAAAAGTGCTCGACAAAGGGCCATTGCGCTGAGGCGCGCACGGCTACGCAGCGAGACTGGTGCCCAAACTGCTAATGTCAAATGGGTTCCTGTGGTTTGCGGTGAATGATGAAAACAACCAGCAAGCAAGCAAGCATCTGCGTAACATGTTCTCCACCTATTCTGCATTCATAACCGTATTCACTATCACTTCGAGAATTAAGTTCACGGTATTACTTCCCATCACAAACTTATCCAAGTTCGCAAGCCACGCACATCACAAATTCATCGTGTTCATGAGCCATTCACCATCACGTCACGAATTCATGGAGTCATTCACATCACAATGAATTTTATTTACTTCACAAAGTCCTGCACAATCGCAACACATCATGAGTTCATTCAAATTCACGAAGTCATTCACCATCACATCACGACTTCATTCAACATCACATCACGAATTCATTCAAATTCACGAAGTCATTCACCATCACATCACGACTTCATTCAACATCACATCACGAATTCATTCAAATTCAGTCATTCACCATCACATCACGAGTTCATTCACCATCACATCACGAATTCATTCAAATTCACGAAGTCATTCACCATCACATCACGACTTCATTCGCCATCACATCACGAATTCATTCAAATTCACAAATTCATTCACCATCACATCACGAATTCATTCAAATTCACAAAGTCATTCACCATCACATCACGAATTCATTCAAATTCACAGTCATTCACCATCACATCATGATTTTTTTCAAATTCAAGAATTCATTCAGAGCCATTCAGATTCACACCGTGAATGTCAATGTGAATGAAGGTGATTGAGCGAGTTCATGAATGAATTTGCCGAGGTATGCCTAAAGAGAGCAATAATATAACTTTTGGAATCTCCATGCAATTAACTATTTTAACTATTTTCATTGGTCAAATTTTATGGAGGTGGTGGGGATCCGAGGATGCCCCCCTCCCCACCCCCCTTCCTTCCCCCCAAAAGAGAAAATAGTGCCCGTGCATTTCTGTTGCTGTGGGTCTACTGGGCGTCTTGCCATCTAGAACTGGTCAGTTTTATTGACTAAAGCCAAATAAACAGTATGGCATCAAAAACAAGCTTCTGCAAAAAGCACTCGAGTGCCCCGGTTGTAAGCTGCCGCAAGTGTGTAAACCAGCCTTGAGATGGAGTATGAGTATAACTTTTTATGCCTCATTCGCAGTATAGAGAAACACAACTTTGTAAGCAGTCTTATGTCGACTAAGAAAGGTAGTTCCTGATTCCTGAGGCGACAAAAAATGCTTTTGTGGGCCGGAGCAGCTCCTTTTAACACCCACTTGAAATTGGCACAATTGGAGTGGAACACGGTCGGTCTTCAGGTTCCCGTGTGGCCGGTGGCTCGGCAAGGGCATCGACGACGGGAGCACGGAGCGGCTTCTCGTGGCTGAGATGGTTCCTGCCGACGTCGACAACGAAGGTAGCATCCCTTCTCCCTGCCCCGATACTTCGTTCACCCCTAGGCTGATGGTGCAGTGAGAGTTACGCGATTGACGGACGTATCAAGTGCCTTCCTTTCTTCTTTTGCTCCCACTTTCTGCACACAGGTAGGGGTGGGAGTGTGATCATCAGGTGGTGAAAGATAAGGGTGTGAGTGGTCAATGTGCACGTAGTTTCTAGTGCTCTGTTAGCTTAAGGGCGAATGGAATAAAACTGACTTCTCTGCAATGTCGGGAAGGTTGATTCACTCCTGTGTTGGCTTGACTGTGTCACCATGAAGCGATAATTCCTTTTAATGCGATTGCATTATTTAGCTACTCATTGCAGATTTCTGTCTGTCTGGTGTCTGGCCTCCTAACGTGCAGTAGGTGTGTGCATCAGACCGTATCAGCTCACCGCTTGCTCCCCATTGCATTGTGCGTATGCGGAGTGGCAGTACTCTCTCCCTCGCATCCGGACCCTCTTTGAAGGACCTGATGACCTTGACGTCGTCCTAGACGTTCTTGAGGTCGTCCTTGAGATCACATTAGAGGTAGTCCTAGGCGTTGTCCTACAGGTCTCCCTAGATAGAGGTCATCCTTGAGGTCGCCCTAGAGGTCATTCTAGATGTCGTCTTTGATGTCATCCTAGAGGACAAAGTTAAAAACGTGTCTAGAACGACCTCAAGGATGATTTCTAGGGTGATATCAAGGACGATAAAGATTTAACTTGGTCCTAGAGGACAACTTTAAATTTAGCGAGGATACTCCCCGCCAAATTTAGGAAAAATTGACATCATGACTTATGCACCAATTCAGTTTCCACACTAAATTTGGCAGTGTGCAATGATAAATGCTATCACATTCATAGATGATCACCCCTGTGGTTTTTACAAATTTGCCTCGACCACCACTTTGCTACCCTGTATATTTCTTTCCTCTCCCAGTGCCACTTGTGCCACTTGTGGTTGGACTTCCACTGCTTCTTGCTAACTTTTCTTTAAATTTTCCAGCATTAATAGATATCCGCTTCACACAAAAAGAACCTGCCTTTGTAGTCCGCTCGTTTTTACGGAAGCTTTTACACAAAGCTGCAATTGGGGAAAGCAACCATTGAAAAGCTACTTATTTTGTTGCTACTAGGTAGTTGCTGGAAATTTGTTTTTGAAAAAACTAGGATTAGTTACATGAAAGAATGAAATGATGACTTATGGTGAACCAAAAAATATCACAGCTTGTCTGTGTTTGTTTATGTATTATTTATTTAATTTGAGTAAACTCAGGGCCACTAGCACATTACAGAGGGGAGGCCAACAAAACAAAATAAAATACAAATGATGTAAAACATGAGCAGTCAAGGTTAGTATCAACAAAGATGGTTGGTTATCGTGTTTTTGAATGAATCGGGTGATGATATGGACACTAAAGATGCGGAAGGTGGTTCCATTCGGAAGACGTTTTGGTTATGAAGGAGTCAATGTAGGCATTGGTACAACATTGATGAAATCATACTTTGCATTGATGGTCAAGGCGAGCTGAGATATGTGAGGGAGGAAGAAGAAACTTTTCGTTTTTAGAGTAGGGGTAGAGTAATACATTTTGTGAAAAAGGCACAGGCGAGAAATTGTGCGACGCAAAGACGGAAGAGACATAGATAAGTGAGTTTTCATAGACAAGACTTTTTGCGGTACGGTGATAATTACAAAAGATAAATCGTGTGCCACGACTTTGTATGGCCTCAATGTTTGATGTTAGATGATAGATATGTTAGTGACCGGGATCCCAGATTGCTGCAGCATAATAAAATTTTGAACGTACCAGTGTTTTAAATAAAAGTAATTTTAATGACACGGGGGCTATTGTACCAATTTACCGAAAAGAGATTTGTCGCTGTTCTCTGGTATGTACCAAGATGTACATGTCTTGCGTAAATTACAGTCAGACGAATTTCTGGCAGCGGGGGGTGGGTGATGACTCGGAATATTATGGTAATTTTACTATTTGCAGGTCAGGTCAGGTCAGGTTTTTACTATTTGCAAAACATTAGTTGCACAAATCAGTTGGGCAAGATGTCGGCATTTTAGAAAAAACATTGAGAGATTCAGTCTGACACGAGTGTGTGTGAGATGGGCACACTGAGACGGAGCATTTTCACATCTCTTTTTATGGGGGGAGGCTAGAGTGGTGGCAGTCACGAGTAATGTATGCCCTAAAATCATTCGCGCTTGGGCACAAAATTCTTGGATCCTACCTCAAGTGAATCCAGGAATAGCATAGGCAACCACATACAACAAAGCCAGCAAGAACGCCAATCTGTATTTTTGTCCTTTTGGTGATAGACACTTAGGAATGAGCTAAGAGCTTCCCATTCTATAAAGGGGCTGGGGAGTTAAACCGTACCTTTGTCTCGCAATATTTATTACCCACGAAACATTTCAAAACCATAATCTTGCACTAATTTTGTCTTGCAAGTAGGATTAAAGAAAATGTTAAAGAGGCTAAGATGGCATTGTCGTTTTCAGAGCTGATGGAGGCCTGCAGAACCCCTCCCCGGTGTCGGTCGCCAAGTGTGCCAAGGAGACCGAGCGAACCAAGTAAGTCCTTTATTAAGGCATCGTTCAGTCGACCTTCAAAGTCCTTGGGTGAAAACACGTCGTTCTAGATCAAAAACCTAAAATTAACGGCACTTTCTACATGTATTCCTTGGCTCCTTATTTCGGCGTTGGCTGTACTTGGCTTTTTGTACTGGGCGAGTGTTGTGCTGCCAAAAACGAATGGAGCGTTCACGCATTCATTGCAGGTGGCTTTGGCGCAGGGAGAGGGCGAGTACAGCAGTGATGCTCTTGCCCTTTTACGATAATAGTTGCAGTTGAGGTATGGTGCGTTCAGCCAGGGTTGGGCAGTATCGCGATACAAATGTATTGCGATAGTATTTCAGAAATACATTTTGTATCTGTATTTCTGTATCGCGATACAGTTTTTTCACTAGTATCTGTATTCCTGTATCGAAATACATTTAAAATGTTCCTTTGTATCGCGATACAATCAGGGTGAAATGTATTTCATCACATTTCTTGAAAAATACTCCCCCCCCCCCCCCCCCCCCCCCCCAAAAAAAAAAAAAGAATAAAAAAAATCTGAACGCGCTTTTTTTTTTACTTTTGAGGGCATCAGGGTTAAGGAGATGCTGGGGAATTGTTACCATGCTGAACAATTTTCTTCCCAATTCTTCAAAATATTTTTCTATGCATCCTCTTCTTTCTTCCAAGAAGTGTTGCATAGTCGGGGACTCAAACCAGGCGGCGTGTCAGGAGTGGAGTCAGAGCATCTTCTGCCGCAGGTCCTTAGAGGGATTTCTTGAGTCATTGTTTGTTGGCATCCAAAGCCCGCTGCTAACCGTCTCTCTTGCCTTAGCGTACACAGTACACCCAGCCGGCAAAGCTGAGTCACAGTCCGTTGCAGCACAGGCCTGGCGGTGGTTGACTTGAAATAGTATAGGATGACTCACGCAGTGAAGTTCAGCACATATTCGAATGCGTCTGCGGCTGCGCCCGTAATATTGCACGGCTCAATGGTACGTCATCGGCCGACGTGAAAGTGACCCGCTGCTTTGGTGATCCGAAACCCAGGAAGGAGGTCAGACGTGGCCACGCTGTGCCGATCCAGACTTCGTACACGGGCGACTCGTCTCGTGCGCGCCATTTCTTGGAGAGCTTGCACCTGTGCCAACAATATCAGGTCGCAATCCACGAGGTCTCTATTTGGTGTATGCAAGGCGGAACTTGAGGACTGCATTCCATGCGTCGGTGGTGGAGGGTCGGCAGGAAGGACCTTCACAGCCGGGATGCCACCGTATTGTTTTTTCAACCGTAACAGAAGATAAGACGTGCTCCAGGATGCTTCAGGTAGTTCACCATTCTTGAAAGTCTTGCACAATCTTCAACGAGGTAACCTTCAACGACGCGTATTGTTCTATCATACAACAGCGCGGTAAAGTTTCATGTTCAAGGCCACACCTACAGATAAAGAATGCCAGTTCATTCCACCGTGACGTCATGTGAAAAATGTTGGCAGGGCGTCCTTATCGGGCAGGGGCGTGGTGACGTTTTCATGGGATTTAGGAATACATAGAAGTTATTTAGAGGTCGAAGTATTTTCGCATCCCTCGTCAGACAGACAGGATGTCAGGAGAGGGACCGCGGTCAGTCCTTGATGGAACATTTTTTTGAGCCCATTGAAGACTCCTCGTCGTCTGAAATCACTACCTTCAAGGCAAATTGCCAAGCCTACGGGAAAGTAACTTCAGGATCACAAACTTCCACTTCCAACTTCAAGCTTAATCTCATTTGGCGTCTCAAACAAATCTGAAAAAATGTATTGCAGTATCAGTATTTCTTTATTTGTATTTCTGCCCTCCCTAAAATGTATTCCTGTATTTGTATTTCTAAATACTTTTTGCCTCCATTTAAAATGTATTTTCGATACGTATCGCAATATTCTTTTACAGATATATTTCAGTATCAGTATTTTAGCTCCTATTTTAATGTATCCCGGTATTTGTATTTCCAAATACATTTTCGAGTATTTCTGCCGAACCCTGCGTTCAGCCAATCGCGATTGCTCTGGGGGTCATGCGATTGTGCTCCTTGCCACCTGCACTTCCCCGCCTTCGGTCGCTCGTTCCGTCGGCGCTCTAAGCCTTTGTGCGCATTCGACAGCATGACTGCATGGGACGCATTCGACAGCAAGATCACGATGTGCGTGAACGTGAAGTGGCAGGTGGAAGAGAATGTTACGGAGCAAAGAATGGACATATCAGTGCAGCTAAGCAATTTGTGCAGCGCGTCCGTGAGAATATGTTTGGTGCTGGCCGTTCTGTGCTTGGTCGGTCGGGGTTTACGTGAGACACTGCACGACGCTACGTCACCGGAATTTTCAGTCATTCATGATGCAATATCCCTGAAATGTTGCACCAGGTGATGCTGTCGATTCACATCACGTCGCGGGATCGTCCGCGCAATTTTGGGGGTATTTACTTGGAATGTATTATACAGAAGACGATCGCACCTGCGATACGTGTACTTACGTTCTCGTCTTAGTACTTGGGTAATTTACAAAAGGTCTATTAAACATTCCTATGTTTCTCACTGGGTTCTAGTTTTTGCGGCGATTTTTCTTTCATACGTTGCTTTAATCTGATTGATGATCTGGGTAATATTAAAGTGAAATGCCACAATTTTATTTGCTGACTTTTTTAATGGAAGTAGAGCACCTCTGTTGTCCCCCGGTTCCTCTTCTCGGCAGCCGCAGCAAATCTTTTGCTCGTGATTATGGCTCATGAGCAGCCATTTCGGAATGCAGACAGCACTATTCGGTGCACCATTGCATGGCTGCAGTGGATGGAACGATGAGATCAATTCGTCGCACCAGTTTTCTAATGCCAGTAATGTGTGCCGCAGCAAATGGATACGCAGTGGCTGCCTTGTATAAAAGCGCATTTTGGAAAACTGAGTTAATTATGAGCAGTCTGCCCCTTACCACATTGTTAAGACCGCTGTCCGAGGCTCTAGATGCAGAAACATGGTTGCATTTCATGCGGTTCACACAACGAAACTCGGTTTTGCAGGGCTGACCGTCCCGGAGATTCAGCAACTGCTGGGGGATGCCGTCAACAACATAGTGAAGTACTTTTACAAGTCGGAGCGGGAGGTCAGTTTCTTTTTGCTGTGCCCCGTCTGCACGTGCGGCGCCCGCTGACAGCGGGAGGATGGCGGGCTTTTCGGAAGCATTAACTGGGCGGTGGCACAGTTTGAGTAAATGTTCACCGACGGGCCGAGTATGGCGGGGAGATCTTCCGGTTGTCTTATCTCTGGTGTGAGCTTTCCACCTTCGAGAACGGTTTGGCGTCTCTCAAGCCACGACGGAAGGCAAGGAGCGCGTTGGAGCGTCCAAGCGAGACACCCGGACGTTCTCATTTTGCCGTTGACTGTATATGACAGCAGGGTGAACTCTGTCAAGTATTTGGTACAAAAAAGCTTTTTCTCGTAAAATTGATCTTGCAAGTCTTTTCTTCTTTTTTTAAGTTTAGGATTTTTTAATTTACCGATGATCTGAAGCCCGTAAATGAAACAATATATCATTGTTGTGTCTCGCTGGTATGGACACCTCTGCTTTCCCCAAATATCTTCCATCGTCTGTAACATTATAGGGCTTCAAAGGTAAAGGTGGCTGTCAATGTTTATCTTCTCGCTTCGTGATTTGTATTTGAGCATCCTCATCGGCTAATGCCACCATCTCAATGACTGTAAAGCGGTAATAAGGCACACAACTTGCCATGCCCCACATTTCTAAAGCTGTCATGACTACAGTTTATCTATTCGACTCCCGAATGCTGGTTCACATACACGTTTGAGTGTGATCGAGTGTGTGGTGTTCTTTCGTAACCACTTACGACGTGCAAACGGTCTTGCGCACCGGCGCCGTCTGCTGGGTAATCCTGGAACACTTTCAATCCCCGTGTAACTGAAAGCTTTTTGGTATTTGCATAATCAAATCTACACACTTTTACGAGAAACGGTCGCGTATAACTCGTCGGAATTATCTGGAGCGCACGAGAAAAGAACGATGCATAAAATATGTGTAGATTGGAACTGTTTCCGGGCTACATAATAGATGGTGCCAGTGTACCCATATGTTCACTCGTCGTAAACGATGAAGAGTGAGCGCGGCGCACTCGTTCACACACGGACACAAATGTGCAAACCGTTCTTAATGTGGCCACGGCATCCGAGGCCAGTAACAAAACGTGCCCGCACGGCTTTCCTTGCAGCGGGGCAACCTGACGATCCTGCTGTGCGGAGAGCTGGGTCTCGTGTACTGTCTGGAGCAGGTCTTCCTGTATGGCTTCAAGGACACGCGCTTCTTCAGGCACATCTACCTCTGGGAGTACTTTGGTACGCTCCAACCCCAACGGTTCTATAGCGGTCCATCTTGACTCGAGAACTGATGTCCAGACGTGATGAGGTGGGGAAGAGGGACAATGCACGGTAACCATTCAGCCATGGACGCGCTTGCTTGGAGACATGCGTGGCAGTATTAACTGTCAAATAAAATTTTAGCATCAATTTTGTGTACTACTGTTTATGCACTGAAACTGAAGAGCTTGTGGCATCGTGAAACACTGGATGTTGTGCGACAATGTTTCATACTTTAAATGGGTCGCAGGGTAGCAGAGTTTGGGAAGCATCGCATTGGCTGGTTCGACAGCAGGTGTCGTTAGTGAGATGAATGCATGCGGGAGAGAAGGGTTATCTAATTCCCCCTCATCGACTTCTATTTCATGGCTTTTTTTTTTAAATGTGGCCGCTCCTTCAGTTGCGTGCAACAGGATAGGGAGACAAAGCGGCAGAAATGAAGCGGTTCAGAGGATGACTGTGCAGTTCCGCTCGTGCGTTGCGCAGTGAAGGTGAAGGAGTTCTTTGAGTCGGTGCTGCAAGACGGCCCAGAGGAGGACGAGCGCCCCAACGAGGTGTGGCGCGGCTACTGCCGCCTGGCCAACAAGGTGGACCGGGCGTCCCACACCATGGGCAAGGATGGCAAGTTCCAGCTCTTCATCTGCCTGGCCGCACGGTGAGACCGCCGCTCCCTCACGCTCAGAGCAAGAGCTGCCCACGGGTGTGCACTTCGTTCATCTCACACTTTTTTTTGCTTTGGGCAAAAGGTGCAGTGAAGAATGCTTGAAAGTAGGTCACTTACCATTTACCTTGTGGTACCCCTGATGTTACTGGAGGGAGGGTGGAAATCTTGTCATTAAAAGATACAGGCTGTCTTCTATTGGACAAACAAGAAGCTACCCAGTTAACTAATTGATATCTGGACAAAATAGCAGAAAGCATCAAGAGCAGTTCAGGGTAAGGTATGGGATCGAAAGCTTTTGATAAGGCAAGAAAAATTAAGTCTGTCTGGCTCCTATTATTGACTCTACTTGAGATCTCATAAACTGATTCACTAACTAAATGCTCGTTGATAGAGATCTTCTAAAACCATGTCGAGATGGGATAAGAATATTATGATCATCAAAATAGTTTATCATATGGTGAAAAGGTTTATATGTTCTAGCTGTCTTGTGACAGCAGGCTGTAGCGGCCGGCCGTAACAAAAAAAAAAAAAAAAAAAAACGGAAAAAAGTGTTATGCTTGTAAAGAACCATATAGAAAGACTTCAGTCTTTTGGCAGGAATGAAACTCATCACCTCGAGATTGTAAACTCAGTGCTTTGCCAACTGAGCTGTCCAAGGTGGGTCGGCAGTCGGAGCACGCAAAAACCCAGTCATTTGCACGCGAGGGTGCGGTAACACACTTTGTGGCCTTTTCTGTCATGCTGTGCCATTTCACGGCATGTGTCAAAAATCAGTGCGAATCTTCGGTAGGCGATGCCGTTCAGAGGCCCTTCTCTTCTTCCCTGGAAGGCCTATCACATGTTCTGTGCTTACCAGTCTTTGTAAGCATGAGCAAGCTTGTATAATTTTTTTCTTACTCGTGCTAAGATAAACGCTATAAAACATACGAGCTGCAGCTTGTTTCGACGTTATAAACATTTTCTGTACAAGGGTAAAGGATTTCCTAGTACTCGTGCATTCTTTTCTTTTTTTTTGAACCGTCGTGTCCTGAGATGTTTGTTCTTTGTGGGTGTGTCTCCCCTGGCCCCCAGGGAGCACCTGCTGCACCAGCTGCTGTTCGAGCTGGCAGCGTGCCCTGTGACGGCGAGCATGTACGAGGAGCGGTCGTTCCTGCGGGAGCCCGGCCTGGTTATGTTCCTCGTCCAGATCCTCGAGGCCCTAGCAGAGTTTGACATCGCCCTCGAGGCCTCCATAACCAGGGGTGTCGACAACTGAGCGGGTAGCAGGTGAGCCGGGCAGGTCTTAACCCTTTGACAGTCGTGTTTTAAAGCAGAAGCTTTATAAGGCCATCCAACCTCAAAAGCCCCGTAAACCTGAATAGTAAAGGTCAGTCAGTCCATATCTGCCAAACAGCCTTGAAAAAAAAAATGGCAACCGGTGCCGTGGATTAAACCCCAGTCACCGGCATGGAAGGCGAGTGCGCTGCTGACCGAGATACAAGCATGCAGGAATGGGAGGAGCAGAAGCAGGTGGTGTGAGAAAGAGCGCAAAGCAAAAGGGCAAGAAAGAGAGGATCAGAAACAGATGGTGTCGGAAGGATGAGCGAAACAAGGAGGAGTGTAAAGGGCAGGAATTGTGCTTCCCCTCTCTTGGTGATCCAGAAAATTTAGCACAAAAGCTTTGTGGTGGTGGTGCTAAAGGGAAGCATGTGCAGCGTCACAAAGAGACAATGGTGTGACATTACCTGTTTCCATACAAAACCCTGTCTTAGGCACACATGAACTAAGAGCACCACCTAACCCAGGCACTGAAAGACTAAGGATCATCCTGCCCTACCCAAATTGAGAGCAGCACCCACTTTATAAGGCTACCGCATTTAAACGTGTTTGGCAGAATGACCAAACATACACCCAACACCCAATTTTTCTTGCTTTCCCAAAAGATGATTTCCAGTGGTTGGATTTTGTTTCCAAATAAAATGCTAAAAAAAAAAAAATCGATACACTTTTTTTTTTATACTGGCAGGAGCATTTATTGTGGTTGCAAGCTATTCAGATTGAGAAGCATTGAATGTAAATATTAGAGGTTTCATTTTGGCGCATCCAATTTTGCAACATTCCGGCAATTTCAAATTCCGAACCTGAGGTAAGTACTTTACAAAGTTGCTCCTTCGGAAGGTAAGCTGTCGTCCTCTGAATTCAATCCTAAGAGGCATCAGAAGTTTGAATCAGAAGAGCTGGCGTTTCAATAGCCAGAAGTGCACGTATCATATGCGCGGAGCATCTAATTTCATTAATATGAAAAACCCCAGCAAAGCAAAACACTGTGAATGTAATGTATGTAGGTTGCCAAAGACATTAGAAGTATGGTAGGCTCTCAATAATTCAAACTCGGATATCTCATACTTGTGGTTAATTCGAACAAATTTCAAAATTTTGGTTGTCCCGCTATGTTTTCAACGAATTGATGTATTTATAAGCCTCTTAGTTCGAACGGTGTTTTCGTGTAATTCATACTTTGTGTTCTCGCGGCCTTGTTGAGCATGCCTCTTACCGAGCATTGGTGTGCTACGCAAAAGCAAACGCCCGCGGAACTCGCTTCCGCGGGCGTTGCTTCTTTGCAGTGCACCGGTGCTCGGCAAGAAGTGCGCTCAATGGGGCTAATAAACAACTTTGTGTTAGATGAACATTTGCTGGATGAACAAAATTAATTTCGTTTTAAGGTTTCCTGTGCTGTCTAAACAGTCCATGATAGGCAACATTTTTTAGGGATAAATAAACATATCTCGTACATTTCAGCAGTGTTTTGGTGTACCTGTTTATGATTAGTAAGTCTGTGTAGAGAAGATCGTCAGATATCTGCTTTGTATGTGTGGTCATCCATATAATAAATCATAATTTTATCTCGTGTCATATTTAGGTGAATTTTCGATAATCCAAACTCGCAATAATTCAAACAAATTTGTGGCTTCCTGGAGTTTGAATTAACGAGAGTCTACCATAGCGACACACCCCGTGGCACGTGTGGCTTTTTGCGTTTAGGCAAGCACTTTGAAATGTGTGATCGCTGCGTACATGTACGGCGACGACCATGAAAGGGTTAAAGGCAGGCCACGATCCTTCTTAAAGACACTGTGCAACGATATTAGTACAGTGCCCATGCATCGAAAGCGTTCCCGAAATGGCAACAAATGACGTCGCACAAGCTGGCGTGTAATGCCGTTGGATGTCGCAATTCTGGCGGCTGGCGCCAAAAGTCTCGGCAAAAAATATGAGCGAACGCGAGTGTCATCGTCGTCACGGAGCTCCAACTTCTGGCCACTGTGGGTCCCGCGGATTGCCATGTTAGAGAATGACCTGCTACAGAACAGGCCACATCGGCAGCTGTGACATCGCCAAGATTGTGGTCGGCGACAACGCGACACTTCTATGACGTTGTCGGGCAGAAATTAAGGGGTCACTTTTTAGGACGCAGTATGCACACCAGTCGGAGACCCGTTGCGGGCACCACCATAATAGTGGCTCGGAACGTTTCTCACTTTATGTGAGCTTGCTGGCACTGGCATTACCCAAGCACGCTCGCTTGCAACGCCACCGATCGTGAGGGTTCCTTGGCGCTGTGTAATTTTAAAGGGGCACTGACACCCCAAAGGTTGTATTTTTTTTTATTGTCTAAAACGATGCACATTGTAGTCATAGACGCACAAAATAAAATTTTCTTACGCGTGCACATACCTTTTTAGTTTTGGCGTTTTCCTCTCCCGGTTTTCGCCTCCTCGCTTTTTGTGATCGTGACATCAAGAATCATGATATTTAAAAGCTTTATAGGTGACATTTTTTTTACATTCAGTAACGGCAATCATAAAACATGTTTTTTAACGGAATTGCAAACGCACTACGGCCCTTCTTTTTGAAATACCAAAAATCGGAGTCCGTTGTGATGTCGCCTTCTGGATTTTTATTCTCCCTCTGAAAACATGGCGGCGCTTGACGCATGTAGCAGAGGGTGATCGGTGAGTGGGGGAATGGGACAAAGTGGTCTTTTTTAGGCGCCCGATCGACCTCTCAGACATCGGAAAGGAAATCGTCAGATGGTCAAAACAACTAACTGGGTTTGGTGTCTGTGTATCGTAGTTTCAGTTGTGACACCGCCGGGGCACCGTCTTCTGCTCGAAGCGATAGGCAGCACGGCACTCACGCAGGCAGGAGACTGGTTTCCCGGTATGGTGGTTCCTGCGACGCCGGCGCCCTTCTCCCGCTCTCACCTCCTCACTTTGGCTCGCGGAGAAACGTTTTGAAGCGGAGGTGCGAAAGAAACTCGACTCTCAGGACCTCTCAAAATTTGGATTTTGTTTCTTTACTTCACAAATACTAAATTCCCAAGTTGCGAATTTCGAGGGTAATGTCCAGGCATCGTTTTCAATCCTTTCAAACGATAAAAAAAAAATGTCTTTGATGTGCCAGTGCCTTTTTAAGGATAAAGGCAAACTTTTTCTATTAGACTCTTTCGCAAAGCTCGATGTTTGTAGCACACAGGGTTGCAGTGTTGACAAATTCATATCCGGATTGCCCCGTGGCAACGATGTTCGAATGCAGCTCATAGATTGGACACGAGCACTGCACGAGCGCCCAATTCCCAACTCGTGACGATCAATGCTTCAACGAGTGTTAGGGTAGTAGCTCATGTCTAGTCGCTGCGATGACGGGAATGACCGAACCCTCACAAGGTCCGGAGCTCGACGCATGCCCTGCACTTTGCCAATCCCAATGGGTGGCTACAATGAACGTTGGCGACATATCGTCGCCACCAGAACGCATGACCACTTGTTCTGGCTGCAAGTTGAGAAGGTGAATGCTGCTCTTTTTCATGTAATTTTTTCTATGGCTGCCATTGCAAGGAGAGAAAGACTAAGCTATGTTTCGTAGGTTATGAATGTCGAGGAATAAATCCGATTTACTGGCAATCCAAAAATTTTTGCACCACCCCCTGAAGGCCGGAACAGGGAGCAGAAGTCCCGTTCTTAAGGCTGCCCTTGGCTTGAACTGTTTCTTAAAGGGAGGTTCAGCAAAATTCTGATTGTCTCCGATTTTCTTCAAAATTAGTTTGACGCAACGGTAGACACGGTAACATTAGATAATGCGACAAAACTTCTTTGATGTGTTGTGTATATTTGCTGGTGTGATATTTGTAGCCAGACATTTCTTTGTAGCTTGGAAGACATGGTGAATGTGGTCGTGCTAGGCAAATGCTTTTGATACTGAAGTGTTGAAACTACAGGAGGGTAGTGTACTGTTCTCCACCCCAGTTTAACACCTACTGCAGTGAACAGGGTGTCATTTTTATTGTTATCCAAACTAAAGAATTGGAATGACTCATCAAGTTGAAAATTGAGATGCCGAATTTCGGAAGCTCTCACGCATGTAGTAAAGTATAGGAAACCGTAGCATTTGGAGGTAATTGGTAAACTTAGTTTGTTCTTTTACGCGTTTGGTTTTTCAGGCTTCTTCTTGACCAAGACTCAAGATTAGATTCATGTCAGCACAAAATGGAGGTGTCATCACAGTGCAGCCAACGAAACGGCTAACAGCAGGCAAGTGGTGAACGGTGCTCCAATTAGCTCTAACTACAAGCTCCAAAGACACCGCCATCTCAGAAGCATCTTCCATCATCCGCAACGAGCCTGTTAGTCGTGGCGGCGTTCCTATGTCATAGACACGGACAGCACTGCACATGTGAGCATTTCGTCATCCCAGAAAGTGGACATTCTTTCATGAAGGACTTGCACTCGGCCGTGTGTCTATGTACGTTCGTACAAGTAAGCGCAGTTCGTGGAGCACGAGCCACGAATCTCCGGAGGCCTTTATGAAGCCTCGCCGTGATAGCTCGTAACCACAAACATGTGCCTGTCTGTAAAATAAGGTGCGATCCCGTTTTTGTAAACTGACAAGACGCCATCCATAACCGGGTCCGTTGGAAGTGTGTTTGCTTTTCTTGGCAAGCATGTGCCGTCAGTCATGTGTCTCAAAGTGCCATCGCAATTTTTTCATGGTTTGTTTTTGCCTGTCGAGTCAGTTTTTTTCGCGGCTTGTTAGGATTTCCAGGGTTTTTCGAGCGAGTCCTCTGAGCGATATTTTAAGGTCCGTGTTTTAATGCGTGTGTTTTTAGGAAGCTTGTCTAAGTGTCGTTAGTTCAAAGACGCCCGTGGGTTCCAAATTTGTGACATTCTAGGGATCCCAAAAGGGCCGTGTCACATTACTAAACATTGCACAGATGTGTGCACACCTGAATGCGACATGTTTTGCTGCAATATTACTTGCATTTCGGATTGTTTTGCCATGTAAAGTTGCTGTTAAAGTTTTGTGGTACTGTTTAATTGATGTATTTGCAATGCATTAATGTTCATCTTGGGGATATGATCTGAGCTTTGCTTGATTGGAGAGAATCTTTGTAAATGACTCAGTCACTGCTGATGAAGTTGAGGTGTATATTTTCAGGTGTATGTTTGGGATCCTTTTTTGACCCAGGAAGTTTTTAATTCTTTCCGTTCATTGCTTTATGTACAGGAGTTGTTTGGATCCATAATATCAAGACATTGCAGTTGCTGTTTAGTAGTCAGACAGTTTGGCATCATTACCCATTGCTCTAGTTATTGCTCAATTTTCATTTCCATACAAGTTTCACTAGTGTGAAGTGTTCAGCAACTCAACTGTCACTTGATTGGCCATAGTACTTAATTTAAATGGCTTTACTGCTGTATTATGTTGCTAAACAAGCTTAATGTTTGCAAATGTAAATGCTTAAGTTGTGTATTTAGCTTTCATTTAGTTCATTTTGTAAGCAGTCAAGGAAAGAGCTCAGTCTTTGTTGAAAGTGGTCTAGATCTGAGACTTTATAAATGTTTAAACATTATTTGCATGTGCATGACATTATTTTGAGTGCTTGGATATTTTATTTTAGCGACAAAACGATGTTCTGAGAATATGATCGATGACTTGATATCTGATAATTGCTTATCTTTTTTTAATCCGATGCATTTTTCCAGTGGGGCTTCCTAGCTTGAAGGAGTTATTGGGACATTTTTCTTTACAAAGATTTGCTGGTCAATTTTGAACCCAAAAAACATTTACGGACTGTTTGGTGCGGGCAGTATTCTCATAATGTGTGACCTTGAGTTTAAGCTTGTTCTCTTTCCTTCGTCATTTTTGACTCTAGATGAGTTTGCTCAAGGAACAGCATTTTTGCCGCTACATAGTCGATAAAGCTATATCTATATAGAATGCATAGTGGGCGCACATTACCATGCTAGTCTTAAGGTCCACACCGCTAAAAGCAATGCCATGATGGTAGCTGGCAAGACAACTTCCTGCATAAGTTTATGTTTGTTGTATTCTGAAACAGATGTAAATACAGACTATTTCTTAAAATGAAGGCCACTCCTTATGTCGGTTGATGCAACCCTGAAGTTTTATTTTTCTCGCTTTGCAATGTGTTTACACGTTTTTAGTGCTTGCATATTTACTGGATACTTAACAGCTGATGTGCACTCTGTGTGCCCTTTCCACGTCAGCCCTTAGTCCTTGCGAGGAGGAAGCTGGGACCTTCTGACTTGCTGAAGATCTCAAGGCTCTTCTAGGATGCATGCCAGCTTTTAAGTTACTTTCAGCTCAGAATTGCTTGTTTGACTTCCTATGCCAGTCATGGTCAGGAAGCAGGGGGGAGAATAAAAATCTACATTTTAAATCATGATTGAGATAGTGATGTAGATGAGAAATCAGACTGCGTTTACTATGATAATTTAAATCAAATCTTTTCCACAAAAACAATCCCAAAAGTCTTTTTTTTTATTTACCTTTCTTTTATCATTTTATGTGGCTTTGTTTTGTATTTAAATCAACGAATCATCAAGCTAGAAATCTTTATATGGGGCTGAACACGAGCACAAAACAATTGTCTTCTGAAAAAATTGAAACAATAACCCATTCGCTACCGCGCGCGCTTCACGCGCTGCCGGGCTATTCGTATTGCACATATTTCCCCTAAGACGGAACCACATCAGGCGTGACTGTTTTGCTTCTATAATGAGCTTTTACAGTAAAACTCGGTGCAGAAAACAAGGAAACATGTTTATTTACATGCTTAAGTGGTTCGTTCAAGTCCTTAAATCAATAGGCCCTCACAGATTCTTCCTCGTATGAAAGGTTTAGAAGCACTGCAGCCTCGGTCGCTTAGGCGTCACACAACCAGTGCGCTCTTGTCGTTATTCATACTCAAAACTGGTGTCGGAATCGCTCCCGTCGTCGACAGAAGGCTCCGAAAACTCGCTATCTCCACCAGACGTCCCGCCGTCATCGCTGTAGAAGAGGATATATATGATTTCATTGTCAGAAAAACCACACTGGACGCTGCCATCTTCTCTAAGCAGGCAGCGATCGAGCGGGAAAGACTACACACAAAAGAACAAGCTCAAACAAACACAGCGGGCAGAACGACCCTCGCCATCTGTTGGCAATGTATCTAACTGCACTACCCCAAGTCTACATAGCATGCCATCTATGAATGACTCTTTAAAACAGAAATTCATGCAGACCGGCGAATCGCCGGCTTTGGCGATATGGCCCCTGACGGCACACTCGGCGATTCGCCGGCTTTGGTAGCGAATGGGTTAAGCTTTCTTCCTGCCATCCACTTCTTTCGTCAGTTACATCCTACTGAAAGTAAATAAGAATGCAAAATAAAGAGACTAGCACTCTAAAAGTAATGTTTTATTCAAAGAAACTCATAACGCGAAAAAAAGCAAATAAAGCTTTTTACTAACTAAAAAATATTAACATTTTTATGTTCTACTATTGCAGGGTTTACTCGATAAAAAGCTGTTAATTAAACTGTACTTTACAGTAATTCCTTCTTTGCCATTGTTTTCAGTGATCAAATGGAGTGATCAACCTATCTGTCATGTTTAAAAATACATCTAGGGATTGAGAAGCACTTTTTTGTAGCTACATTGATTTAAATCAAGTTAATCAGATTTAAATTTTTTTTTTTTTAAATCATGATTTTTTTTACCTTGTTAGGAATGCAAGGTACACCAAACAGTAAACAGTCCTGGGTTTATTCGCAGAGTCTGTACAGTAGATGTGTTTGTCCTTCTACATTAAGCAAGTTTGTTGAGACATCTGGGGTACCTCTTAGGGTGGCATATTTTCTTGGGTCACCTTAGTTTTTGTAAGACTGGACAAAGTACAAAACTTTTTGCGTACATATAAATGCTTTTGGCTGTAACAGGCTGCTGCTACTAAAACTCCTTATGGAAATGCTTGGTTTTAGAGCTGAAACATTGTCAGGAACAGGCTTCGCAGGATGTTTAAGTATTGAGTTAGATAAACATCCCAAAAGCCATTCATGTTTCTTTATACAAGTGGCATGTGCACGTGCATGCTTGACTTGCCACTTGAACGCATCGTGGATCTGTCGTCTGCTGTAGATGTATTTATTCACCGTCAACAGCCCGCACGCAAATTAACTGCTTTTCCGAGCCTTGCGTGAAAAGCTTGCATGTGAAAGGCTCGTGTAATTCAGAAAAACATTGCACCAGAGAACCTTTGCTGTCTGTTTGCAACCCTGTTTTGGCTGCTGTTGCATGTTTTCTCGTTTTAAATTGCGTTGTTGGCATCGAGGGTGCATCCATGACTATTAAGGACAAAGTTGCATGTTGTTGGCACTTTTAAATTTGTTGCTCTTCCATACAGTTTTCTTAGCATGGAGCAGATTAGAGGTTTTGGCGCCTCTGGTCAGGGGTGTGTTCTGGGTTGTCATGTGCAGTATGGGGTGACATAATGCGCAACGGAAACTAGTCGGCCATAATTAATCTGAGACTTGTGCTTCTTTTTTTTTTCATGCAATGATTTAACTAAATGAAGGTCAAGAAGTGAATTCAAAATATGGAGTTAATCATTTTGCATTTATTTTTTGTGTTTTGTTTTTTAAGTGGAGTGCATGGTATTTTTAGGAACCACATGCCAGTGTTAGTTTTTGTGGGAAGTCTTTTTTTTTTTCTTTTTTTTTACTAAAGATTGGTGCCACGTGAGGTTTAAACTTAATGCAACTCATTAGTGCCTTGTTCTGATAATTGGGTACATGCAGTCTTCATTTGGCTCTTGCCTCAGTTGTGTGAAGTCTCATATTTTGACTAAAAGGAGAGCACCTTTCCAAACTTGTAGTCTGGTCCTGACTCCTGCATATGCAGTCTAGACTAAAAGCTCCGCCTTCAGCGCAAGCTTTCTGCCCTTGCTAACACAAGTGTGAACGCTCATGCACGCGCAACCAAAGCACTGCGGAAGCCAGCAAGCTCGCGCTGATTGCGGAGCTTTCTCTCAGCGCAGTATACATGCCCATAGTCCTGGCACTGCCTGTCCTCGTGCAGATGGCACAACAGAACTTTAAAGAGAAAGGAATGGCAGCTAAAATTAAAACACTTAGTACAGGGATAATGTTCAGCAAGGTGGCGCAAATCGCTGCCCAATTCAAATGGGACCATCATCGTGCATGCATCCACTCATCTCTATCGGTCTACTGCCACCAAACTTGCGCCTACGTTGTTTTGGCCGCGCGCTCCACTTCTTCCGGCACCATGTCCCGTTTACAATTTTGCAGGCATCTTCTCCGTACCGTGCTTCGTACACCACATCTGGTCAGTGGAGAATGCAAGACCATGGAACAGGGTGTCTAGCGACCGGGAAAACCGGAAATTGTCAGGGAAATTTCAATTACCGGGAAAAATCGGGGAACTGTCGGAGATATTGTCAAAAAGTGAGCCATGTCAGGGAAAATGAACCGGAAACGTTATAGGGTTCCCTGAGCAAAGGCTCGACGACGACTTGGGGGCAAAATAGGCAATAAATTCTGCTTAGAGCGGAGCGCGGGCTCTGCTCACCCGATGTAGACTGTGCTACCCAATGCAAAGGGAAGAGCCAACAAATCCGGTCCAAGCCTTGGATTGGATCGAATTGAATTAAGGGCACGACACTGGTCTAGATTTAGTTAGAGCTACTAGATTTAGTAACAGATGGGAAAGTCGCAGACCGTAATTTAATCCAAACCTTAAGCCGAAAGTGTGAATCTGGCAAGAAAGTGCTCATTTCTCCGTGGTGGACGAACCCGAATATTTCGGAATATACAAGTTGGATTAAGCCCGTGCAAAATGATCCTCACTGTGCTCAATGCTCAATGCCTTGTGTTGTAATGGTCTTAATACTTAACCGGCTCTACTCTGGTCAGGGAATTTCACCTGAAATTGTCAGGGAAAACCTGGAAAAGTCAGGGAATTTCAGAATCATAATTTGCTAGACACCCTGATGGAATCTGAAGTGCAGTATGACTAGAATATAATGACCAATAGCTTAAAGGGCAACTCCGCTTCATTTTTGGTTTTGAAAAAACAATGCAGTCCTCTTCAGTATCGCCTAGGAAGACCACACGTCAAATATTACGACGCAGTTCTGTCTAAATGTTTCTTAAACGGTGCGGCAAACTTTGCAACTCGCCAAGTTGCCGAAATCGGCTGACTCGAGCGGGCGAATTCAGGCGCAACCAACAGCGCAGTCAAGGCTACGGCATGGGCGGAGCCAACATTGAGCTAAACGCCATCTACATGGCCCCCTTTTGCTTGTTTACACTTCTCCGGGCGAGCGTAGCGCATGACGTCAGCAACGTTGCCTCTCGGCGCTCAGCGGTGTCCACGTGATTGGCGCACGCGCCTGCGCAGCGCGCTTCTTGGGAGCAGACCAACCACCCGCCGTGGTCCCGCCGTTACCGCCGTCTTCCGCGTCACAACCACCGTCGTCGTCTCACCGTTTGTGATGAGTTTCGTCCACACTATGGACACCACGTGCGCAGAGTCGCAGACTTATGCCGCAGTTGTGCAGACGTCGTCGAATGTCGTAGACACCAAAACGTACCGAAGAGTGGGGTGCAGACGACACTCGCGCCTGCCGCACGCCCGCCCGCTCCCATCCCGCCCGTCGTTGGGCCGAGGATCACATGACATCTCGTACCACGTGATGGCCATGTACTTGGCGGCCCGAGGCCAATGTTGCCGGACGAAGCCGAAGTTTCGGTTTCCGCTCGTGTTTGAAATTAGATTTAAAAATATATGTCCCATTTTTCGCGAAGCAAACGACGTAGTGTCTTTTAATTGGGCTTTTTAATTCGAAATCACTCATTATCCCGAAATCTTCGGAATTGAGCGGAGTTGCCCTTTAATCGTCCTGTGTGCTGTTGCTTGCACTTGTGCGAAACATGTTTTAAATTCCCCAGGGCATATTAACGTAAATACGTCAATATCTGTACGCAAATATACAATGCAGTCTTCTAATAAATAAATAAAAACTTTTGACGCTGGTTAAATTGTTCCTGAGAGAAGTATGCATCGTACTAAAAAA